ATTGCCCTCTGGATTTGCTTTTGGTGAACTGGATGTGCGAGTTGCATTTTGTTTGAATGTCTTCTCATTTTTTTTTTTTTAAGTTTTAATTCTTGGAGTGACGCTTCTGAATTGCCTATAGTGGGTTGCTTTATTGCTAGTTTTAGGACCGTTGGTGATCATTACTTCTTTGAGGTATCTTCCAGGTGTAGCTGGTCTTCTGCTGGCAGACCTCACCTCTTTTAGAGATGAGTTTGTTGGAGATGGGAAGCTGTTTGTTACTTGGCCTAGTCCCTGGTTCTTTGGCACTGTGACATAGTATTTTTCTGTGATCCTTTGTTTCTTTTAGTCATAGAATACCAGGACCAACAGTTGTTGAAAACAATTATGTCAGGTTTTTGTTTGTTTTTTTCCTTTTTATCGGTACTGGGGATCGAACTCACGACTGCCTGCTTGCAAGGCAGGCGCTTACGCCGCTGAGCTAAATCCCCAGCCCCCGATTATGTCAGTTTTAGCTATAGTGGAACCGATAACATCAAACAGCATCAAAAATGAGAAACCAAGTTAATCCTTAATTTGCCACTTTTAACTAGATTTGTAATTATGTAACAATATAAAACAAACTAGAAAATTACGTACACTATGTAAGTTCTTAATGTTTCAATTTTGCCCTCAGGGTTTAAACTTTAAAATAGATTCAGGAGAAAATAAGACAATTGGAAGAAGGGGCAGAGATTAAAGGCCCCCGTTTAGTAGCCCACACTTGTAATCCTGAAGCAAGATCATTGGGAGTTCGAGATCAGTCTGGGTTACAAAGTGAGCTCAAGGCCAGCCTGAACCATATAGCGAGACCGTTTCAAAAAGATGAAAAAAAAAAAAAAAAAACTAGTAAGTTTAGAGGACAGAGGAGTTTCATGCCAACTTTTGGAAACCGGTTCAGAAGACATGGAAAAGGAGAAGCAAGGTGTTGAGGCATTGAGGCATTGTGGGTTCTTCTACGTGTTGCTGTTTGAGCCGTTGGTTCTCCTGGAGAAGCTCTAGAGGGTCCTCACACTGAGCATTGCTCCCTGGCTCTGGAAGGGAAGGTATGTACCATTTAATCTCCAGGATGAACTCATCACACTGGCTTCCTGGCATGTACTCAACTGGGTTTGTCGTTGGAGGAGGTCAGGGCCTCCCTGTTGCTGAAGATGGCTGTGGTGCTTTTCAGGACAGTCCTGGTCCTTGTTTTTTGAGTGTGACTTCTGGGCTCCAGCGTAGAACCCTCAGCCTACCAGCACAGCTCCTTCACCCTTCTGGCATAGACTTTCTAGTTTTCATCAATGACCTTTGGGCCGTCCCAGCATGGATTTGTAAAATGGACCAGTGTGAGTCCTTGTGGGCTCTAGACCTCCAGTTGGACTAAAGGGAGGCATAGTCATGAGCCCTGGGTTTTCATCTGGACTCAGGTGGGACATTGCTGTGGGATTCAGGCCCTTGGCTAAATATTCTGTCTTCAGTGTTATGGATAGATTTTCTGCATTTTCTTGTGTTAAGTCTGGGTGGCCATAAAAATAATATTATAAACTCCATGTCCTGATTCTAATTGTTCTCTGCACAACCCCTGACTACAAGGAAAATCAGAACAGAACCACATCCACAAAGAAAATGGAACCATGTTCATATATACATAGAACAGTGAAAGAGAAAGAAAAAAAGACACACACACACACACACACACACACACAGTTCACTTCCAGGGTTCTCTGGTTTCACTAGCAGCCAGCCTATGGAGAGAAGAGCCCCAAGTCCTGCTGATCTATCCCAGCTAGCCAGCAGTCTGTGGGGTAGTGGGTAACCTCAGCAGGCCCATTCCGGGCATTGGGCTTGCTGGCGCCTGAGTGATTTCCCCAGGTCTGAGCCCAGCTGAAAGCTGCTAGATGGAGCGGGCAGCAGTTCTGCTTGTGAGCTCAGCAGGCCCTAGGTGGCTCCCAGGTGACTGCTCTCCAGTCAGAGGACCGAGTCCTCTGCTTTCACTGCCAGCCAATGCAGTCCTCCGCGTCCACTGCTCCCCTCCACTGCTGTCTCTAGTTGCCAGCTGTCACTGTTGTCACTGTGTGTCCACAGGTTTGAGCTCCTCGCACGGTGTGTCCTATCCAAGGGACAAGGTGCTGCTGGCTACCTCCTGTTGGTTGAAGTTTTTCTCTTCTCTCTCCATGGGCTTCGGTTTGCCATTCTTGGGTCCCATGGACCCACCTCCTCCCTCCTTGCCTTTCAGCACCTGGATGGATGGCGACTCTCACAGAGGCTGTCATCTCTGCACCTCACAGCTCTGCCATCTTGGTCTCTGACGCCTTGTTCCTTGATAACATACCATGGGGTTCTGTTCAGGAAGTCCTCACAGCTTTGTTTGCCCCCCCCCCACGCTTTTTTTGGTGTGTTTACTTTGTTTTTTGGCACCAAGGATCAAACTTACGACATCTCTCTTACCAGGCAAGCACTTGAGCTGCTGAGCTAAATCCTTGGCCCCATGTGTTTGTTTTTACATCTAGGCCCGAGAATCATTCTGATTTGATGGTAGTGCAGGGTGAGAGAAACAGGTCTAGTTTCATCCTGTAGGTTATGGCAATGTGTCCTTTAATAATCTTTTTTAAAAATGTTAAGTATTCACTGTATATTTTGACAGCACCTTATATCAAAATTGTTACCCTTTCCCAGGAATTGTTTTGTCTTTTTCGGTACCAGGGATCGAACTGCACACTTGCAAGGCAGGCTCTTATGCTGCTGAGCTAAATCCCCAGCCCTGGGAATTGTTTTCTCTACCCCTGTGCAGGACCTGGTCTGTCTCTTCGGTCTCTTCTGGACTGTGAGGCTCTGTGAGGAGTTAGAGCCGCTGCCCCTGCCAGCTTCTGGGCGTGGTGTGTGATGTCCCGGAGTCTCTGGCTGGGATGGGTAGCATTGGCTTGGTTTGGTGCTGACCCACTCCCCTCTGTAGTTTTCACTGGGAGTTAAGCCCATTTACACTGCGTGTTGAAAGGCATTACATTACGGTGTGCTGTCATTGTCTTATTCTTCCAGGGTTGGGTCATTTTTTTCTCTCTTGTTCACTTTCCAGTTGGTTTATTCTTTCAAGCTGTTTGGTGACTGTTGTGGTTTGTGTTCCTGTGGCTCTGCCCCAAGCATCATGCAATCATAGACGCGACCAAACCTAGCATGTGATTGGTTTTAGCACTCGGATTGGTGGTGTGCAGGCTACACCCGCCCAGGGGTGGAGCCAGCATTCAGTGTCAAAGCGGGAAGGTGGCAGGTCTCTGTCACCCCTTTCCAGCTTGCTGTTTGCAGCTGCCATGAACTGCAGCCCGCCACACCACCCTACCTCTTGGGAGCCAGCTGAGTATGGGCTGAAACCTTCAACCTGTAAAGAAATAAACCCTTTCCTAACTTTGGGCGTCAGGTATTTGTCTCAGGAGAAAAGTAACCAAGGTGATCCTGGCCTCAGTCTCTTAGGACTCTCTCATGTACTTCCTGCTGGTCCTGGCTTGCTCCACATTCTCTTTGTTGTGGGAAGCGTCTTTCTTGTCCACTGTTTGACTGACTGGTACCAGAAATTAACTCAGGACCTTGTGCTTGCCAAGCAGACACTTATGCTGCTGAGCTATATCCTTGGTCGGTCAACTTTTTTTGGTCTTTTTGAGACAGGGTCTCACTGTGCAGTTCAGGCTGGCCTTAAATTTGCAACGATCCTCCTGCCTCAGCCTCATGAAGACTGGGATTACAGGCATGCACCACCAAGACCGGCTTCTGTCAAATTAAAAAAAAAATTTTTTAAAATTTTATTAACACATTTGCACTGCCACACCCAGCCCTTAAGCAGGTTGACAAGGGTTGGGCTGTTACTCCACAGCTCTCAGAGCACTCTAGCTGCTGTGCGCAGAGCTGGATGGGGCATGCAGCTTGCTCACTCCAGGCCACCATTGCTGAGGTGGACAGAGGCGGTGGAGACACTGGTGCTTGGGAGGTTGGGCTCACTGTTGGTCCTGGAGCAGAGCCAGGGTTTCCCTCTTTAGCAATGGGATGCTGGCCCCTCCAAACAGGCAAGGGCAGTTCAGTGCCCGTAAGCTGCGGGGCTCAAGTGTGCTGCAGGGAAGCCCTTGTCTTTTTGAGAGTCTCACTGTGTATCCTAGGCTGGGCTAGAACTCAGGAATCTTCCTGTCTCAGCCTGTGGAATGCTGGGGTCACAGGTGTTCATCACCACAAGCAGCCAAGTCTCAGTCAACTTTCAGTTTGCAGACAAGAAGTAAGTGTCCCCTTCGGCACCCATGGAGGGAAGAGGACAGGGAGGCTTTTGCTGCTCAGTCCTGGACGATGAGGCCCACTCCTGCGTGTTCAGACACCCACCGTCCCTCTGGCTACACATGTGCAGTGTTCTCAGTGCAGTCACCTTCCAGCTTTCACCTGCACCGCCTACGAAAAACCTTTTTACTTCCAGTGTTTATACCCTGCAACGCCTCTGTATGGTGAGTGGAACCTTCTGGTGGATACAGGATCTAGTGCCCTCATGCAGAAAGCCGAAGCATCAGGCCAGGTGTGGTGGTGCACTCCTGTAATCCCAGCACTCAGGAGGCTGAGGCAGGAGGATCACTGAGTTTGAAGCTAGCCTGGGCTAGTTTGAGTTCAAGGACAGCTAACCCATTTTAACAAGACAAAACCAGAAACACCAATGTAGAAAAATCACTGACGGTTTATCCAATCATAGAGTAACATCTGTACTGGGAATTACCACTTAGGCACAGGTTTGGCACCAGCAGCTGAGACTGCAAATACAAAGCATAAGCCCGCATTTTACACAGTGCTCGCTGCAGGGCAGGGCGTAAGCTCAGCGCTCAGGGATGCTGAGGCTCTGGATAGGTGTCCTTCTGAGTCCCACGGAAAGGACTGTTTAATTCTCACATAGCTGACACATGACACACAGAACACTGCTATGCACTCAAATGGCTTTACAAAAAATTAAAAAGAAAACAAAAAAAAAGATCTATAAAACCTACGTGTAAGGATGGACTTTATTTAAAAAAAAAAAAAGTCTTCTGAGAACTACAAATTACAAAGTAAAGCAGAGCATGGTGTAGAAATCTAGTGAATACATTTTTGCCAGCGCATGAAAACTTAGTCCAAGCTACTCATTTAACAATGTGACTCCCTTCACAATGCAGCCAGTTCTACTGCTCTTAAGGGCATTAGACCTTGATCCAGCCGTCTTACGCGGTCCTCTGTCAAGACGAGCTGGCAACACCACTGGTCTGGCTAAGTCAATGGCACTTTCCAAGGGCTACTTTCTACTCGGTCTCTGGCGGCACCGTTTTGGGCTAGGTTCTCGCCTGCGAAGACCCTGCACCATGGTCACCATGACCACAGTCCCCAACCACACAGATGGGCAGCAGCAAGAACAGAGGAAATGAAATGGCAGACATGAAAACCACCTAGTTCAACCGTCTAGAAGTGTTTAGCTCACAGCAATGAGAACCTGGCAGGTGGGGAGCGCTCCAGCCAGGTGTGGAGGGGTGCGGCTGATCCACCGGGCCAGGCCACAGGAAGCAGGGTCCTACAGGAACAGGCCGATCTCGCCACTGTCAATAGCTCTCCGAGTTTAGTATCCAACGCCTTTCCGGAAGTTCTCTCCTGTCAGCCTAAGTGCACTCTGTGCGTGAGACATTTAAATGCTAAGGCTTTTCTAAGGTACGCTGAAAACCGATGCATGGAAAGAAAACCCATCTGTTAACGGACTGCAGAAGCTTCTCAACGGGAAGAAGGTTCCCCACCTCTGCCACCTGACTCCACCTTCTGTCCTCCACGGCTTCACTACGGACGAAAACCGGACAGCAAAGAACCGGACTGAAAGACACCTGGGGCGAAGAAGGCAAGAAACGCTAACATGCAGGCAGTGCCCGGGCATCCGGGATCCGTGTTAATGAACTTGGCCACTGAGAGCGGTTCGGGGACGAGCAGGGCTCTCTGGGCAACCAAATTATCACACAAATCATCGGCTTTGGAGAATTTGGATACTTTTACAGTTTAATTTGCAAACAGAATTTTTATAACAAATTATTTTAACCAAATCATATTTTGAAAACTGTATATATAGAAAACCCAGGGAATAATGTGAACTGTTCATTGTGGAAGGCCTTAAATTACAGTATTACAGTAGAAAATACAGGAGGTAGAAGAGAACTGAAGAGACTAATGCAATATTAGATTCAAATCTACAGCTCCTGTGATACTTAAAACATGGTTTTAGGAACTAAACTCAACATTTCCAGTAACCATAGAAACAGTTAAAATAAATTTGCCACGAAAGCCCTTCTATCATGCTCGATACAGGGAGGTAGGAAGATGTACGAACCAGGACACATGAGACATGACATTTATCTACACCCTGCTCGCTTTACTGAGGACGCAGGTTCAAAACTCAGTCCCCGTCTTCGGCTTCAGACTCGGACTCTGAAAGGGGAGAAATACAAGTCAGAAGCGCACAGTGGAACACGCAGCTTCCCGAAACTGAGCCGTGGTGCTGCCCACAGCTGGGTGAGCTCTGCACAGCTCTTACTTGGGTAAGAGGGACGTAAGAGTATGTTCATTTCAACATCTCAAAAGCCATAAATGCTCTCAGAGATCTCAGCTTCTGTCCTAAAGATGTTTCAGGAAACACACTGCGGTTAAAGCCTGGTTTCCCCATCTGCCTCAAGCCATCCTCGAGCCTGGCCCAGAGGATCTGAGCTCAAGAGCGGCCTCAGGGGCCTCGAAGGTGTGGGCGCACGGCCACAATGACCGGCGCTGAGGACTGACCTTCCTCTGCATTCTTGAGCCACTCCACGAATTTCTTCATCTGCTCCAGGAAGACGCTCTTCCCCTTGGCCATGTGTGCATCCTTGTACCACTTCAGAATGGGCTCCTCACTCAGGACCTCAGCTAGGAAGAGCAAGACATGTCTCGTTAGAGGGCTGTGAGGAGTTATTTTGCTGTTTTCAAGATAAATCTGTTCAAAGCACTGATTTCTCCAACAATCAGTTTCAAGAGAAGCAGGGATGATGATGCAAGACCCTCGTTTAGGAGACGGATCAGCTCACTGCCCATGCATGAGCCTCAACAATCCAGAGGACAGTGCTGCAGGCCACTGGCTCCCTCCAGCCGCTGACACGGAAGTGGGGCTGTCCTTTCTCCTGCTCCTCTTGTTCTTAAAGGTCGGGGTGGGGGGGAGGGGGGCTTTGGGCAGAGGCCAGAATGAACCAGCAAAATCGTTTTGGAAACTGGAGGGCAGAACACAGGAGCACCCCCTGCACTCACTGGGAGGCAGCTGCCGGGGTGCAGGCCCTGAACACGGGCCATGGAGGGAGTGTGGCTGGAGCCAGGCTCCATGGAAGCATCTCGGTGACAGCGGTGCTGGAGTAAGAGTGGCCACTCTCCCTCCCACACGTTGAAGCTCCGAGGAGGAGGCCCGAGGCTCCACGCTGGGCTGTTACCTTTGTAAAAAAGCACCACTATTTTCTGGAAGGCTTTCATGAAGTGAATGTTGTCATAGCAATACTCCTGAATCTTCAGCAACAGAGTCAGCTCCGACTGACCCTGCGTGGTGAAGGCGGCGAGCAGAGGGCTGTATTGCTTTGGAGGGAAGAGCAAAGTGTCACCCATGAAAAGGACCGCCCACTCCAGCACCCAGCAGAGCTCTCAGACCCTGCAGATCACTCTGCTACTGGAAATTTCAGGGATGCAGAGAAACCTACGCATTTGTATCCCATAGGCGAGGCTTCTATAAGCATCTCAGGCAATGGCTGAATGTTAATATTTTAGAGGAAACAAAAGGGCCCCCCTACTTCCCTAGACTTGCTCAGAAACAAACCTCAGCCTGGAGGCTGACATTTTTTTCAGGGTACTAGGGACTGAACACAGGGCCTGCACTTAGCTTCCATCCTCAGCTCCTTATTTGGAGACAGGATCTCACTAAGTGGCTAAGTTGCCTGGCTGGGCTGAAAAATCACAACTGTCCTGCCTCAGCTTCCCAGAGAGGGCGACTATAGGTATGCACCGACCATGTGTGGCTATGCTTATACCACTCTCAAACTTGTCCTAAATATTCCCTTAATGTGTGAATCAAACAAAGCCCAGGTCAGGAGGAGAAGGGTTCAACATCAATGGGTCATCTGGCCACCTCCCCGCAGGGAGCCCAGGAGCCCCGGGATGCGGGGAAGCCAGGACCGCAGCCCTGTCACCTTCAAGTGCTTGATGGCCTGCTCTGCTACGAGCTCCTCTTTTTTGTTCCACTCCACCGTGCTCATCACACTCGACCAGACGATCCCAATGACAACCGGTTCTGGGATGTTGTTCTTTTTCATCTCCTCCTTGACGTATAAAATTATCTACAAAATAAATAGTAGTGGAAGTAAGTTTTTATGTGTACTATTTTACACATCAACTTCCGGCCTGTCCAAGAGCACAGAATTACTTCTCCATGCTGTGGACAACTACCGGCCAGCACCCCACACAGGCAGGGCCTGAGTGTCAACCTCAAGCTCTCCAGAGACTGACTGAGGAAGTAGGGCACTGCCCAGCACTGAGTCAGCACAGTGAGAAGGCCAGGGTCAGGGGCCACACCCCTGTGACAGCCTCCCACGCTGGACACAGCTTCAGCCCAAGCTTACGTCCTTGAAAGGGTCGCCACGGGACATCTGCTCCTGAAGCTCCTTCTGGAGCTCCTTCCGGGCACCGATGGTCTGCTGGTTCCGGACGTACTCGGACAGCTCCTTCAGGCCCGCCTCCGTGAAGTACTTTGTGAAGTGTTCCACACTCTGCTTATTGGCAGGAAAAAGTTCCTACGAGGAGAATTCACTCCCTTAAGTGCGCTTAAAAACACTAGGTTCTAAAAACAAATTTCCTCCCGTTACACATGTGATACCACAAACAGGGAGGGCCACCAACCATTAGCCTGTTATCCATGCTGACTTTGCGAAGACTCGCAGCCACTGCGTTGATGTCCTTCTCATTGATCCAGGACTTAAAGAGCTTCACAGCGAACGCGGCTGAAACCCCTGAGAGGAACAAGGGAAAGGCTTCCTAACCAAATGGTGGAGACCCTTTTCTGTGGCCCAGTTACCAGGATACCAGTGGTGAGTCCAATCCCCTGCCTGCTCACGGTGCGTGGTGGCAAAGGAAAGAGAGCAAGAGACAAAACAGAGGGACGGCAGAGCAAGGATCTGGGACTGCAGACGGCCCGTCTCCAGCTGGTCACCACTCACTAGCCAGTGTGAGAGGGGGGGCAGGTACTTTAGAAGCAGTGGTAGAACAGGCAAGTTTAACGGCACAAAGGAAATAGGCTAAGCTCCACCCCACATCTGGCGTCCATCTCAATGACAGAGGCGGCAGGATTTCCACATTCCAAAACCAGCCTGCAAGGCAGGAGGGCCAGGAGAGCCTAGGACAGGTACCAGGGTCACTCACTGTCCCCTGCTGAACCCTAACCCTCAGCAACCAAGAGTGGTCCTCCTGTGTTTTCTAGTGTGGACTTGGAGGGTGACAGTCCCTATACTGGTTGGGCTGCTGTATGGATTAAAGGAAAAAATAAAAGCAGGTTTGTTTCCTACTGTTCTATAACTTTCTGCATCAAAGATTTCCTGGATCTCACACCCTGCAGTCTGCGGAAGAATGTGAGAAGGCACACATGAAGCATCTACCGAGCCGGAAGGAACCTCAGAAAGTCACCCTGGTAACCAGGAAACCTCGCCCTTTCTGCCAGCCCGCCCTGCACACCTTCTTTCACCAGATTCTCATTGTAGAGGCTGTTGAGGATGGATGCGTTGAGCGTCCCATTGGCCAGGAGCACGCCAGTCAGCATGGCCAGCTTGTTCCTCTCTGACTCCGAGAAACCCTTTAAGAACAGCAGCAGCTGAAAAACAGGGAACTCGAGGTTAACGCAGCAACTACATCACAGTAAGAGAAGTGGAGACGTGGCCATACTGCTCGCAAGTGGTCTGGGCCCTGCATACTCTGTGGCCGCAGTGCACCTTGGCAGGTGAATCTTAGGCAAACTACTTAATGTGCACCTCCACTTCCTCACATTTAAAATGGGGACACTGGTCAGGGCACAGCTCAGGTCCTGAGTTTGAGTCTTGGCACTAAATGAAAATGGGGATAATTCAGTGTAACTGTGACAGTGCCGAGTCCTTAACAGATGTACTACCAGATGTCCCGCTCATCTACTTATGAAATGTTATTATAATTATTATAACACTCTTCCTTTTATTATGAAATGAGATTCAGTTATTTAGTAAGTTCTGAAGTTCTTTTTCTTTCTTGGTGGTACTTGGGATGGAACTGTAGCTTCATACATGCTAGGCAAGGGCTCTACCACTGAGCCGCATTCTTAGTCCTTTGAATACAGAGCTCACTGCCACTCTCCTGCTTCAGTGTCCTAAGTGCTGGGAATGTAGGTGTGCACCACCATATGAGGCTCAAGTTAGAAAATGGTCACCAATTATATTATATACCATAAAAAAACTACATTTCAGCGATAGCCTACCTATGGATTTAAAATTACATCCAATCGCTGGCTGAGTTGGGAGTTAGCATTGCCCTTTCCAGTCCTACTCTTCCTTTTATTTTGGTGTTGGGGACAGCACCTGGCCTCATGCACACGAAGCACGTGCTCCATGGCTGCCCGCATCCCCAGACCCCACATACCTTTTTAACCTCATCTTCAAAACCTTTCTCCAGGTATTTGTAGCGCCTGATTAACTTGTTAAAAACCTACAGAGAACACGGAAGTTATTTCTAGAGCCGCAAAGGAAGCCTTCCACTGGATGTCCAGCTCACACTTTTCTGTCATGTCTTCCATCCTACAATACCCGTCATATGAATGCTTTAAGGGCCCTCTCAAAAGGTCTGTACACTGCACGCCGAAGTACTAAGTACTTCGTTTACCCATCTGCAGGACATGAATAAAGTAAGACAACAGAATTTCCCACTCTCTAATGATGCAGGTATTTCCAGTTAAATGCATTTAAATTGCTTTTAATTCACAATAAAAACTATGCCTAACACCTTCAAAGGAGATCTTAAGAAGTTAATCTGCCTAGAACTCATGTATTTTTTTACACTTTTTTTTTTTCATTTTTATCGGTACCGGGGATCGAACTCACGACCGCCTGCTTGCAAGGCAGGTGCTTATGCCGCTGAGCTAAATCCCCAGCCCCAGAACTCATGTATCTTAAAAACAGCTGCATGACTATATATGTATGTATGTACACACAAGATAGATAACTACTGATCTGTTAGTTCATTAAAAAGAAGTTTGTGCTTTCACTGTTCCAATTGTGATCAGTTTTTCATGCCTGTATCTTTTGTTTTTTTGGTACCAGGAACTAAACTCACAATCTAGCGCTGGGCAGGCAGACACTGAGGCCGCTGAGCTAAATCCCCAGCCCCTATGCCTGTATCTCGTAATCTGAACAGCTACTTTGAACATAATACGCAGTATATTAACCAGTGTTAACCTATTCATTTGTTTTGAAATTCTGTATCATCATTTTTATTTTCATTAAAAAACAAACAGCAGCAGTATGTAGAATAGTTCAACTATGGAAATCAATAGGAAACTCATTTACCTTTTCAGGCTAATTTTTCTTAAAAATGTACCAATTCCAGAAACACAAAGAACTACTTTAATTTTTTCTGTTTGATTCTCCCTGACATACCTAAAGTTTCTATTCCACTAACTGCACCAAGGAGAATATGCCGAAGCTTAGCAATGGGTTTCGCTCCCCAAACTCTCTACTGAGACCTTTAAAGAAGGGCCCGGGTTGTGGCCCACCTTGGCTAGGTGGGGGAAGGGCGCAGCCACTGCTCACTCACTTGTGCAAACGCCTGCATGGTCTCCAGGTCTTCCTGTGCTGCGAACACGCAGACATCTGTGCGCATCATGTCGTCGGCCAGGGTGCCGCCTGGGGCTGAGGGCGTTTACAGAAAGGTACGTGAGCGCCACAGAAAACCCACATCACTTCAACCTCATTTCCCGCATCAAAAGGTACATAAGAGTTAAAGCAACACTGCACAGGACCCTGCTGGTGCCCTGAGGGTCAGCCAGACCTAGCGCAGCTGGCGGTACTGTTCAGGGCAGTCTCTGCCAACATGGGCTCCCTGAGCTTCCAAGGCAGCGTGCTGCAAAGCCACAGCTGGAGCTCACATGCCAGCACATTAGGTGGGGTGAAACACGTGGGTCCAGATGAAGTAACTGAAGTCGGACAGCACCAGAGGCTCTGAAATGTATCAGCAATTTTCCTTAGTAAATACTGGGCAAAGTGGTACATGATTATCATGTCAGCCCTTGGGAGGCTGAGGCTGGAGGATCTTGCATTACAAGTTCAAGACCAGCCTTGGCTGCCAAGTAAGCTGAATGCCAGCCCGAACTGCACAGCGAGACCTTGCTGCTGCAACACACACACACACACACACACACACACACACACGTTTTTTAGCCAGTCCTGGTGGCACAGGCTTGTGACACCAACAACCAGAAGGTTGAGACAAAAGTATGTGTGGTCTACATACTTTTTCTTAAGAACAAATGTGAAGTTTTGCATGTAGCAGTACTACAAACAGTGATACAAAAATATTTTCCATTTCTTACTCTAAATCATTAGCATGACAAAATATTCATGGGACTAAGCAGGAATTAGAAGGTATGAATTTTAAGTTCCTGATTTTACTGTGTATCATGTAATATATATATAGACATACACACATGTATTTTGGTGTGCGTGTGTGTGGTGGTACTGAGATTTGGACCTAGGGCCTGGCAATGAAGAATATCTCCAACCCCTTTCATTTTTAGGAAAGGGTCTTGCTAAGTTGCCCACACTGGCTTCACAATAGCAATCCTCCTGCCTCAGCCTCCCAAGTATCATGTAAAGCCTTTCTAAACTTTCACTCTACATGCACACAAATGGCATCTGATTTCCCTATAGCTTGGTTCTGAGGACCAATACGTAGCACTCTTATCTTTTAAAAATAAATTTGCTTTTGGTGACAGGGACTTAAAAATCATGGACTGAGGATGCTGTAGCAATTTAGGTATCACAGAAGAAAAGTTATTTCCAAGGCTGATGGATGTGACAGACTTCAAACACAAGGCCTGACAGACTAGGGACACCCGGTGACCTGAGAGGAAAAGAACAGAAAAGGCTCTAGGTAGGAACAAAGTGAGCACAATCAAAAAGCACCCTGCTGGCAGGTCCATGCAACAGCTTACATTCTAGATTCACCTCGCTTCCTTAGATGGTGCCCACCAAGCCACTTACCCAGCATTCCACCAGCCACCAGGATGTCAAAGAGCGTTTCTGCATATCGGCGGTAGTCAAGCTTTGCTCCAGACGCATCCAGAAACTTAGCTACCGCTTCCAAATCAGTACCAGTTTCAGTTAAGCCTTGAATAATACAGTCTTGAAACTGAGTAGGGTCAAATCTCTCTTTTTCATCTGGGGGGGAAAAAACCCAAAACATTTAGTCTCAAAGGCCATCCAAAAGGCCATGAACTGTCACCTTATGAAGCTGTTAATAAGTTTACTAAATTTTTTATGATTTTTATTGGTACATTTTAGGTATACATAGTGACTACATTCATCACGGAGAATTTGTACCTGCATGTGGTATCACTTGATTTTTTTCCTTTCCCATTCCTGTACCCTTCATTCTTCCCATTTAAATTCTTTTTTTTTTTTCCATTTAAATTCTTTACAATTACATTTTTTGCAGTGTTGGAAGAAACCAAACACGAACTACATGGATTAAGACTGCAATAAGGAAAAACTCACAAGGGATCACACACCGGGCCTCATGGCCCAGGCACAGGAACTGTGAGGCTCTTCCACTGTCCCAAACAAAGCCTCCTAAGGGAGCTAAAATCTGCTAGGGCTTGGATCTGTTCCTCTGAAATCTTGCTCCTGCAATACAGCTCTTGGTTTACTTTAAATGCACATAAATTTTAATCTGACCACTCATTTGTTACAGTTAAGTCCCTAACTTATGTATGAGTCCCATTCCAGAATGTCAGTCAGATTTGTTCATAAGGTGACACAGTGAGCCTTACGCAGTCCACCTGTGAAAGTTTGCAACTCTGACATTCGTGAATTAGAGACTTACCATGTTAACTGCAAGGACTGTCGAGAAGTCTATCAGTAACTACTGCATACGTACATGCTAGAAATAGCACTGAGCACGTTACTGTAGTTCTGTAATCTTAAAAGGTGGATTTTGTTTCCACTATTCAGAAAAAAAAGAGAATCAGAAAACGTAGGTAATCAAGAGATGATACTGATGAGCAATACAGAGCCTGAGTTTTGGAGATAAACAGACTATAGTCTGACTACCACTTAAAAACATTTCAAATTTCAGCATCCAGCCGCATTCCTCACACCTGAACCCCTCTCCTATGAAATGGAACTAAGGATATTGCCTATTCTCGAAGGGCTGCTGCGAACAAAACGTAATGTAGAGTAAAGCAGGCAGCCTTTACTAAGCTGCTTTAGACAGAGACCACACAGGATGCAAGGACGGCCCCAGGGCCTCTCACACACCAGGCAAGAGCACTAGATCCCTGCCAGCCCTTTGCCAGGGTGACAGCCCTTTAATTTTCACACAGCAAGCTGCAGCAAATTCTCTCTGCCCTATACTTTCCTGGTTTTAATGTGGAGTCCTGTGTCTTTGAAAATTCTCTGTCTTGGAGAAATGGAGGTGCTCACTCTAACCAGGCTCTTCTTTCTCCTTAACAGCAAGAGGCCGAATGACCTTTCTCTGCTGTCAGGGAAGGGCAACTCTCTGATGCTAACAACAAGGGTACCTGCTGCCACTTATGTAAAGGTGACACCCACAATCCACAGGGACAGGACAATGACTTTACTTCCACTGAAATGCTCTAGTTTCTACCTTCTCTGCACAGATGATAAAAGATCCTGTAAATATGTATCTCTAAGTGCCTTGTCATTCAAGGAAACAACATATATCCAGTAGCTGATCCAGTTCCTACTTCCTCAAATTTGGTCATATGAGGTTAATAAGTGTAACATTTAAGAATGTTTTCAAAAAACACTATGCTTAACACCATATATATCCCAGAGCACATCTTACTTAGCTTGGTATTACTAGCACAAGGCCTTGCTAACAAATTGAATGTTCACTTAATACTAGTGCATTACAAATACCTACTGATGTGGAACTAAGGATCAGTGATAGAGTGCTTGCCTAGCCATGCACCAGGCCCTGAGTTCAATCTCCAGTACCACAAACAAAAACAAAACTCCAAATATATACTAATAACAAGTTTAAAAAAAAAAAGTGAAAAAAAAAAAAAAAAAAAAAAAACAAAACCTCACTTAAACACTATTAATTAAGAAAAAAAAAATGGTTATGGGGCACGGGATTTAGCTCAGTGGCATAAGTGCCTGACTTACAAATGTGCAGTGGTGAGTTCGATCCTTGGTACCAAAAAAAAAAAAAAAAAGAGGTTACAATAATTTTTTCTTTTTGTGGTGCTGGGTATTGAACCACGGATCTCAGGCATGCCAGGAAAAGTGCTGAGCTACTGAGCTATATCCACAGTTCTAAAGTAATTATTTTCTCACTACATCTGTGACAAACATTTCAAAAGACATTATGACCTGAATCTTATTCAGCAGTAACTTCCACAAGCACTGAGGATTGACCTCAGGCCGTCATGTAAGCTAGATAAGAGCTACACCACCGGTCCACACTACCAGTTCTCCAGCTCACCTGCTGGCAAAAGTCAGGTGAAACTAATGACATTTTAAGTTCTTTAAGGGGTGGGGGGAGTCAATCTCTTTGCTCAGGCAGGTTTGCCTAAATAAAAACTGCTGGCCAGTGAAAAGCAGCCTTATAAAAGGCACCTTCTTACACTACGAAGAACACTCAACAACCTACTTGGAGATACTCGACTCTAGAAATTTCAAGAGCTGCCATGCTCTTGAAAAAGCAACAGAAATAGTAGGAGTGGATGTGATACTGCTGCTATCCGGAAATTCAGGTTTTTTTCCCGTTACTTTCTCCTGGAACCACGCACTGATTGTGTGAGCTGCCCGCTACAGAAGATACCTGGAAGTTTGGAGAAGACACTAAAATGTATTTACCTCTTTTTCTGGTTTTAAAACGCTGGCCTGATAGCGTTGGCTTTTGCTGCTTTTGATTATTCATAAAAGACACCCTAGGAGGAGAGAAGCGAGGCCTTAGCGCGCCCGCGCCGCCACCTCCCCGTCCAGGTCCCGACTGCAGGCCCGGCCGGGTCAGTTACCGCGGGCCCGAGCTCAGCCGCGGCGACCGCCGTGTCACAGAGCCGCGGGGCCATCACAAAGCGCCGGCGGGTCCCTCACCGTGCGCTCGCATGGCCCCGCCCGAGCGCCGGCCCGGGAAGCGCGTGAACGCCGAGTCCCACCCGGGCGCCGGGGAGGCCTTCCGTCCCCACTAACCCCGCACCCCGAGGTACGGACCACCGCGACCCACGGACTGCGGGTTCAGATCCGCTCCGCGCCGGGACCCCGGTCATCCGCCGGCCGCCTCCAGCGCTTTGTGACCTGCCGGGCAGGGTCCGTCTGCCGCGTCCGCCGTCGAGGCACTGCGCACCACCAGCCCCCTCACCCTGCCCGGCGACCGGGCCCGGACTGTGGTTGGGACCTGCGGGCGCCGAGCCTCACCGAATTTAAGGCGAAGAGAAAAGAGCCAGAAATCCCCGGGGTGGCGGCAACTGCAGCAGCGTCTCCTCTGCGACCGGAACTAACGCGAAGGAGGAAGGAAACGGGAAAAGGAGCCACCTCCGCCCCGGTCACACAGCTCTCGCGAGATTTCTCCTCCATCTCTGCAGTCTGGCCCCCGACAGCTCAGTTCTCGCGACATTTCTTTCCCCCTCACTATCCCTGCGCCATCTCGCAAAACTCTCGTGAGATTTCGCTCCGCCTCTGTTCTGGCAGCGAGATTTCTCTTCTACACAGGGCTCCGGCCGGGCCCCACCCAAGTTGGCGTGTAGGATGGGAAGTTTGAGAAGGGAGGAAGCGAGGCGCTCAGCTTGTATTCCTGTAAGCGCTCGGGCTGCCCGAGCCTCGTCCTCCATCGCCGCGACCCTCTGCCCACGTAGCACACGGAGCGGTCTTCCCGCCGTGGCCTGCCTTCTCATTGCGCGTGCTGGGACGCGGTCGCCGCTGCTGCGCCTGCCTCTGGGGGGTTTTGCCCGCACGCGCACCGTGGACATCTTCTCTTTGCCCGGCCCGCGTGCTGCTCCTTCCGGCCCTCTGACCCCGGCCCTGGCTGTCTCCGTGTCGTCCCGAGGATGTTCCTTCCCTATACTTCCAGCCAGCTGTGCCGCACCCCGGTGTTCTGCCGCAGCTTCACCTGCTGCGCAGGAGAGCAGAGCCGCAGAGGCCCGGGTGCACCTTGGGAGTGGAGCCACGGCTGCGGAGGAGTCTTTAGTATAAATGCTTGTTACTTTCTGGCTTCTGAAATGTCAGGGATACAGGGTTCCGCCAGGTTAAATATACTGTATCTACTTTTATGTAGAGCATAAATGTGTCAGGCGCTTTTCTAAGGACTTTATATGTTAACCTCATTTAATCCTCATCGCTACCTCAGGATCCAGAGACCACGACTGCTCTCGCTTTCCGAATGGGAAAGCTGAGCGTAGTGGCAGGGAGTTTGCTCAGGGTCATAGAGCTTTAGCAGAAGAGCTCGATTTGAACCCAACCAGCATAGCTGCACCACTGTGATACACGGCCAAGACACCAAGGTCTTGTTTTTTATTCAGAAACTGGGTACAGACTAGTAGTGACAAAGAAGTGAGAATCTGACCTGTGTCCTAATGAAGGTCATCTGTGTTTTCCCCAGTTCTTAATTCTGTCACCTTTTTCTGGTACCGTCTTGCTGGAGGGGTCCATCGGCCCAAGGTACACAGGACTGTACTGTGGCTTCCCAACTGCTCTGCCCCTTTGCACTCCCTGGATGGTCTTATCGCTGTGCTCAAGAGGTGGGGGGCCACCTCTTGCTGCTTTTCGTCCTCACCACACCCTGGTTGTTTGGCTTCTATTCTGGTGCTGGGGATCCAAGCCAGGGCCTGGCATGTGCTGCCACACACTTCCCCACTGAACTACACCAGCCCCACATCAGTGGTTTGGTCACCGCCCTTTGCAGTGACTAAAGCTAGTCCTTGTGGGTGAAAACTATACAAAAATTAGCAAGTCATTTTCTTTAAAAATTAAAGCCTATCAAAATACTTCTGTTTTAGTTACTTTTACACAATACCCAGCCCTACAATTTGAAGGAGCAAAGATTTATTTTGGCTCACAGTTCTTTGTTCGAAGACAAGATCTCATCACATTGCTCGGGCTGGTTTTGGCTTGAGGTCATCCTTCTTCCTCAGCCTCCCAAATGGAGGGCTGGGGTTACATGTGTCTGCCATCATACCTGGCACTGGCTCAGTGTGGAGCAGTTTCAGTGCATAGCTGGCTCCAAAGTATGGTGATAGGACACAGGAGCCTGGCAGAGGAGAGAGCTCATGGCGGGCAGCAGAGAGATGAAGAGATGAGAGAGCGGACTTCAGGCTACACTCCAGGGTCACCTCCTCCCACCAGGCTTCACCTCCCACCTCCCACTCAGCTATAAACCGTCAGTTGGTGAATCTCCCAGTGAGCATCATGGTCCAAAGCCCCATCTATGAGTGCATGAGGCTTTGAGGAGACACCTAGACACAAGCCATGATGACCCCCCCAAAGGCTCTCGCAGGTCCATTTATGCAAATGTATTTAGTCTGTCTCCAAGAGTTGCTAGTCCTAACAGTTTCTACATTGCTGAAAGATCCAAGTGCCAAGTTTCCTCTGAGATTTAAACAAATTCTTAGCTGTGAGACATCCTCTTCCTCTACTCTATAAAGGTTTATCAATTTTATTGGTGTTTTCAAAAAAACTTTTGGTTTCATTATTTTTCCCCTTTTATTTTTTGTTTTTTGAGACAGACTCACTATTTGGTCAAAGTGCTTCAAATTCACTTTGTAGCCCAGGCTGGCCTTGAACTCCTAGTTATCCTCCTGCCTCAGTCAGCTTCCTGAGTGCTGGGATTACAGGTGCACACCTGGCTCCATTTTTTTTTTTTTTTTTTGTCTTTTTCATTTTTATCGGTACCGGGGATCGAACTCATGACCGCCTGCTTGCAAGGCAGGTGCTTATGCCGCTGAGCTAAACCCCAGCCCCCTGGCTCCATTTTTTATTTCATTGATTTTTACTATGATCTTTGTTGTTTCATTTTAGACAAGAATGCTACATACCTGTTGTTACCTTAACTTTGATGATTCTTCATGAACCATTATTTCTCAAGTCTTGAAATTTTGATGTTAGTTTTACCCAATTTTTATAGTTGTTTTGGAGAGAGTCAGTGTCCTGAGACTCACGACTTACCTGTCCTTTCCTTTTCCTTTTTTTTGGTAATGGGGATCAAGCTCATGACTTTGTGTTTGCCAAACAGGCAGTTACACCACTGAGTAAACCCCTGTCCCTCCTTTTCCTTTTCTGGGACAGGGTCTCGCTATGTAGCCCCAGCTGGTTGATCGAGCTGTACAGGACAGTACTGTAGTTTTATGTTCTGTTATGTATTACAGTACTGCATGGAAATACAAGCACAGTTGTTGAGTTAGTGTCCTTTTACCGGTTCTTGTTCTGAATACCACGTCGTAATGTACTTGCTTGTACACAAATCCATTTAGAGACCAGTTTGTTTAATGACCTGTTCTGGGACAGAATCGAGTCCTTAGAGGAGGAGTGTCTGTTCCCTCTGTTAAGTAAACACACCCTCTTTACTTTAACCTTCTGAGTAGGTTTTGGGTCCCGGCACTGCCTTGCCTCTGGGGGTGGGTGGACAGCCTCTCCCCTCGCTGCGCTGCCGTGGCCAAAGCAATGGGGCCAAACTGGCCAGGGCCTGAGTCCCCGGAGCTCAGCTAGGACGGCGTTGCCATGCAAGGGCAGCGTCTGCAGCGGTTCCCCGTGTTGCACTGTTACGCACTTTCCCACTTCACCAGTGGGGCCATGCTGCCCTCCAGGAGGGTGGACACTGAGGGGACCGACACTGCGCTTCTGCAGCAGTGTCTGGGCGGTGGGCACAGTCTGACGGGAAAAGGCAGAGCATTTCTTCTGATGCATTTTAGGACTCCCTCTTGAAATGCAGCATTAGAACTATCTTGAAGGCTTCCCTAGGCCTCTCTAGGACAAGACAACTTTTCTCCAGAAACGGCCCCCTTCCTAGACTAGTCCAGGCAGACAGCTGTGCTATGTGAGCCACGCAGGGCGGCTCTGGACGTTGTACTGAATGGACTCACTGCTGTGGGAGCTGCGGTCTCACTGTGGAGCCCAGGCTGTCCTTGAGCTTTCAGGGATCTTCCTGTCTCAACTCCCAGAGTGCTGGGATTGCAGGGAGGTGCCAGTACACTGCATGGTAATTTACTTTATTAGTATTTTCCCCTCCTCTTGAGACAGTTTTCACTATGCTGTTCAGGCTGGTCTTGAACTCCCTATGTAGCCCAGGCTGGCCTCAAACTCAAGGTGATCCTCCCGCCTCAGCCTCCTGAGTGCTGGGATCACAGGTGTGTGCTACCATGCCTGGCTTGGTAATTTACTTTAAAATCTTGAGAATTCTAAATTATGTATTTAACCCTAAATTCACTTTTATCTGTACCCTAAGAATATTCAGTTTGCATCCTAGGTGTAGGTCATCTGCATTGGAAGAATCCAGATAGTGAATCTGTATGTCAAATGACATGTTTGTCCTAGTTATTCATTTACAGTTACTGACCAGGCAAGGTGGCATATGCCTGCTTTGAACCCCAGTGCTCTGGGAAGCAAAGGCAGGAGGATTGCAAGTAGCCCAGCCTGGGCAACTGAGTGACTTAGTGAGATCCTCTGGAAAGTAAAAACATCCAAGAAGGGCTTGGTGTGTAGCTCAGTGTGAAGGTGCTGAGTTTCATTCCTGAGTGGGGGAGAGACCGAGATGCTATGTTATATACATGGGGTTGCTCAGAGTTAAAGCCTGTAGGGCTTCTCCCTGCCACTTGGTTGGGCGTGGGAGGTCAGTGGCTGTGTCTGTTGTTGAACGTAATGTTCTCACTCTTATGCCAATGAGGGTGATTGAGTTCCTGCCTGGGGATGTACACAGCTCTTCCCATTGACGGCAGGCCTGCAGGGTGCAGTTGGTTCTGTTGCTGCCAGTGAGGAGCCGCCGTTCCCAAAACCCGAGCCAGACCTAGAGATGGGTAGTGAGGTCAAGGGGGATGCCTTGAGCGTAGGCTCTCGGAAGAACCCTCCTGTACCCTTCTGATGGCTCCCGCATCCCTAAGCATCCCAGAATATGAGGAGATAAATATGAAGTCACTGGCTTGCTGTCATTGTCACAGTAGCCAGCGTGGGATGTGGAGCTGAGCTCTCAGGGGCTGAGGAAGGGCTGAGGGGCCATGCCTCGGGGTGTGAGGCCCGCGCACTTTGGGGTCTGCTGAAGCGGGGGGTGGCGTGGCCATGCCACCTCTACCATCACAGGATGTGACCCTCCGTTTTGCACTGTAGTGTGCTCTCAGGAGGGGCCCCGTGCGCTCCTCCATCCCTTCCCCAGCAGCCTGGCCAGGGTGGGGGGATGTCCTAAAGAAAGGTCTCTGGTGCTCCTTCTGGAGAGGGTGGCCACCTGTGGGTGACCACTGGCCATAGGGGATAGCATGTGGGTGACAGTAAAGTGCTTTGTGGGGAGTGTGCCTTGCTCCAGCAGTGGTGGTAGAAGGGTCCTGAGGGGTCCAGCCCTGGCCCTGGCAGATGTGGGGGTGGCAGTACACACCGTATGGCATTGTGCAGACGACAGAGGCTTGGCCTCAAGGTCTGAGGGGGCGTGGCAGCCTGGGAAACACTTTCTGCCTCCTGCGTTCCTGTCTTGTGTCTCCCTTCTCCATGTGGGAAGGGCTGGAAGGTGTTTGCGCTGTGTCTACCCCAGGGTGTGGGCGACCCCAGCATTGCTGTTCACTGCTCCAGGCTGGGCTGGGCCGTTTTCTTCCATAGCAGGGAGACACAGAGTGTCAGGGACTTTAGGCTTTGTGGGGACAGGAGCCAGGCGGCTACCCAGGGCTGGCAGGAGGGAGTGAGACTGCCAGACAGGGCAGCACAGACCACTTTCCCAAGACTCTGACACTTGTCATTGTGTCCCTGCACTTGATGGGTCAGCGAGTCCCGTGTGGTCGTAACAAGTGTGCGTGGATGCTGAGCTCCCTGTTCCTGGGGAGTAGCAGCTCCGAAGGGTGGCTGCCCTCCGTGCTGTGAGCGTGGGTGGTGCCGACTGCAAACACCGTGAGCTGGGGTTTACTGCTTGGAAGGCCGCCAAGTCCAGGCTACAGCACCACCAGAGCGGTGTCCAGCGAGGCTCCTTAATTGATGACCATGGTGCCTCCCATGCTGGTGGGGCCTGCTGGCTCCCGGGTCACCTGTAGGGCTCCAGCCCACTCCCAGGATGGAGCTTCCTCCCAAGGTCTCCCACCCTGATGTACCTGGTTAGGTTTCAGTGCATGAGTCTGGGGGCTGGGCATGCTCAGGACTAGCTAGGGTCATTTTGGAATTTTTTTTAGTATCTTTGAAATGGGTCCATTTTTTAAAAATCTAGTAAATTTCATCTTTTAACAATGTTATTGTTATTGAGGCCACAGAACTGGTTTCTAACAGAAATGGCTTCAAGTGCATCTTTGAAGTACTTTATTAACGTCCATGTGGAGGACTTATATCTGGATGTCTCTGTTTCTAGTGGGTGGTGTCCTTACTGATAGCAGAGAAGAGAAGGAGTAGCCACCCTTATGCATGATGCACCAGACAGATCTCACTACGTAGTTCAGGCTGGCCTTGAATGCACTGTGTGGCCCAGGCTGGATTCTAACTCAAAGTGACCCTCCTGCCTCAGCCTCCCGAGTGCTGGGATTACGGATGTGTACCACTACGCCTGCCTAACCAAATATTTTAAAAATACAAACTATGTTTGCTATCATTTAAATTAACAACATAAATCTCTCATGTTTTATTAGATTACACAATCCAGGATGTATTTGTAAAAGAGCTTTTAAAATCACATTGCTTTCTGCTTATTTCACCCAGCCACCTCCACAGAGTCCCGCTCTGCTGCCTGTGTAGCTGTCCTGTTGTGACCTCCTGTTCCAGGCTCCTTTCTCCTCTGTCCCACTGCCTACCTTGGGCTCCTGGCCTAGTGGACCCTCCCAAGTCGGCAGGTGGGCCAATGGCCAGCAGTCCCTGTCCCTCCACGAGGAGACTGCAGCCTCAGGACGGGAGGTGCACACCTCCTCCTGCCTCAGCCTCTGCCAGCTGTGACCCTGAGCCGTGGGTTCTGCCGGTTTCCTCCTGACCCTGCCGGAGCAGGCCAGACTTTCGGCCGACTCCTCTGAGTCCCTAAAGCTCAATCCTCGGATCCCGCACACTGTCTTCTTTTCACGTTTGTGTTTTTATTTCTTCAGTGCCTGGGGTTGAGCGCAGGGCTTCGCACATGTGGGGCTGGTGAGCTCCAGCCGCGGTTCCGCCTGTACCTCTGCCCCCATGAGTGCAGTAGAGTGTGACCTGGTTCAATCGCTCGGGTGACCCAGTTCAGTATTCAGAGACGGAGCCCTTGCCACTTCTGAAACACTGACACCGGGTCGGACGTTTTTCATCAAACGAAGGGTTCTGTGACGATGCACTGTGTTCCCTTCCACATCCCAAGGGAAGGTGGGCCACAGCAAGGCTCCCGCTGCATGCAGAAGAACTGCTCCTGCACCATCCTCCCACGACTACCCATGAGCTCGGTGACCACCGACGAGCTGGACCCTCAAAGGGGCCGCAGTTGCCACTCTGATCTCTGGATCCAGCACCTCAGCAGGGACCCTCACGCGCTTCTCCACGGCACGACGTCACCAGGGACTGCGGCCTGTGAGCCCGTAGGTGAGAGGAAGTGTTTGTGTCTCCAGCAGCTTTCCCGTGATCTTTTCAGAAGAAAATCATTACACTTGCAGTCCTTTCTGGCCTCTGGGCCGAACAGTCTAAGTAATCTGTAAACAGTGATTCGTCTTGGTAATGTAATTAGGCTTGAATCAGGTTTCTAAATTTTGCACCTCGTCCCCTGCCCCACAATAGTATAAGAATATCAGCTTGGGGTTATGATTAGGAAGCCATCTTTTCACCTGTAAAAGAAAACAGAAAATAGCTAAAAAAAATCAAGTGCACTGGGCTGGGGATTTAGCTCAGTGGCATAAGTGCCTGCCTTGCAAGCACAAAGCCCTGAGTTTGACCCCCAGTACCAAAACAAACAAACAAAAAAACCCAAGCGCACCACCCCTCAGTTTGTACACCTGGGGAGGAGAGAGAGTTAGCTGGAAGCTGGGCTGCGAGTCCTGAGTGAGTGCAGCTGGGTAGTTACTTATTTGCTCTTGTTTTCTGTTTTCACTTATACAATAGGAAGCTGAAGGAGGTCAGAGGTTTTTAAAGATTTTTTTAGCAGATTAAAATGTTATGGGGACTTTGTGCACATATGACTATAGTTCGGTATAAATTTATTTTTGTAAGGCCAACATTTAACACTTGCTTATAAATCAAATATATGAGTGATTATGCTGCTTTGAGGCATGGAAATTTGAAACTGCAGGGAAGAGATGAGAGTGGAATGAAATCCACATCGGAAATTTGCTGTGATGACACAGTGTGAAGGAAACTGACACAAGGAAATGATTGTAAATGATGAGAGTTTTAGGTTTGTTTTTTATCTTTAAAATTCATCTTGCAGGGAGCTCGGGATTTAGCTGAGTGGCATAAGCACCTGCCAAGCAAGGACAAGGTTGTGACTTTGATCCTTGGTACCAAAAAAAAAAAAAAAAAAAAAAATCATTTTGCAATGTAAGGATGGTCTTTACTTTTAATGTTTGCACAAAAACTTCACTTCTCAGCTCATTTGTAGGGGCATCTAATTTATTGAATTTTTTCCCTGCTTCTGCCTCTTGAGTGCTGGTGTTACACGTGTGCACCACCGGGCCAGCTAACTTTTAAAGTTGGTGTTTAGGGGTTATGTGCCCATCTGTAACTCCTCCTATTGAGTTCCACGTCCTGCATAAGGCTATGTATTTTACACACTTTGTTTCACATGGCAGAGAACATGTCGCATCACACTGACTTTAGTACTGGGAGAGAGAGAGAGAGAGACTGAGAGAAAGGAAAGAGGCTGGGTCGTCTGCCCTACACTCCTTACACTGTGTCTTTAAATTTCTGTTTTACAAAGCTGTGCAGATGTGTGCCACCATGCCTGGCTCGGCCTTCATATTTTATTTTGTCCTAAAAAGAAGAACTGTAGGACTGGTGACAACGCCCTGAGCTTTGACTGCCATCAGCAAGGCCACACACACCTCCTGTTGGGGACTGACGATACAGGCTGGGTGACTGCAGAGGTGGGGACCTCTCAGCAGCTGCCTGTGTGCTGTGGGACAGGTGGGCTGCTGGCGCTGCGTTTCTCTGCATTGTCCTGCAGCTCACAGAGCTCACCTTTCAGGAGACTGCAGGATTACGCTACCGAGATGGACCAGGGTTTGCACGTCCCGGGGTCTTCTCTGGGGACCTGGAAAGAAAGCACATGGGGCAGTCACCTATGTAGGGTGGCAGAGCGGATCGGATGTTCAGGATCTGAACAGTTCTGCAGGGAAGAGGCGGGGTCTGGCTGGTGCCTGGGGACTGGACCCTGCAGTGCCTTTGGAAAGACAGAGGTTGGCGTGCTGTGCTGCACTGCTTGGAGGCTGCCGAGGACCCGGCTCTCCGTCTGCAGAGGCCTGGCTTGATTGTTTTGTTTGCTTCCGGTCTGGGAATCCTGGGCACCGTACATCGGGGGAAATTACAAACCCATGTGCACTGCTGGGGGTTGGTGGTGTCATTCGTGCACCCGCCTCAGCCCGAGGCATGATGCCCACTGCCTGTCCGTACTGGGGTGCTGGACACATTAAACCTGCGGTCAGAGCATCCAGCGCCCAGTGATGCTGTGGACACTGCTGACAGACGCAGCCTCCTGGCAGAAGCCACACAGACACCTGCCCAGGGCAAAGGTTTCAGTTTGTTTTCATTTGTGCTTTCCCCGAGGTCAGCTGGGCAGCATTTTCCTACATTAATGGTTCTGAGCCCTAAATACTTAAAAAATATTTTTAAAAAACAAAATTAATGCTGTAAGAAGTCTTGATTTGAAAGTGTTGTCTGTCTTTTTGTATGTCTTTAAGGGAAGTTTACATATTTCCTGTGGAATTTTAAATGACTGTGCAAAACACATTTCCTGAGGAACACGTTTTCCTTCCATCGTGAGAGGAGAAATATCCAGGAGCAGGCTTCTGGTGCCCCTGGGAGCCGGACCCTGTGGCCACCGCAGCTCTGGTTTCTCACTGGAAATGAGGCTCGTGGTCCCCACCTCAGGATGCAGCAGGCTGCTCCCGGCATGGGGAACATATTTTGAAGTGTAAATGCTCGTTCCAATGGATTTTTATTTTTTTAGTAACAAAAACGCCCCACATTTCTTCCAATCCCCACTTTTGTTGAAGGCAGTTTGCCTAGGACTCTCAGGCCTCTGGTTAGGAAAGTCTCTGCTTGTCCCGGCCTTGCCTGGCAGTCAGTTTGATTTAAGGTGGGGACTCCTTCCTGGCTGCACAGAGGTGGGGTTGGAGGGAGGGGTTGCAGCGAGTGATGCCTGGTGCCACAGGACTTTCCTATGCGTTGTTTTGTGGAATTCCAAGGAAGAGTGCTGAGTGGTTGCCTCCTCTCTGTGCAGTCAGAGGTCTGGGAGGGCAGTGATTGACCTCTCAGCTGGGAGAGGTTACCATGAGGGTGTTTCTCGTGTCCCAGGGGCTGTTCCCTGCAGACCTCGATCAGAGCAGGTCATGCCTGGCAGCAGGGTTCTGAGGCCAAGTGTAAGGGCGCAGGTATTTCGGTGTCTAAAGAAACTTTTTAAACAGAGCGTAGCGTGTGTGCCAGTGTTCATCATATTTCTTTTCTTTCCTTTTTGCAGTGCTGGAATCAAATCCAGGGCCTGCGTACCCCAAGCACTGGGCTGCCTCCAGCCCTGATCACGTACTGCAGTTTCAGAACTACAGTATGGCTGGATCAGATGTGTTTAAGTGTCAGTTCTGCACGGGCTCCAGTGCTCGGGAGGCGTGCGGCCTGGGGAGCTGTGGAGGAGGGTGGCAGGGAGGGTGGCCGGTAGCTGCAGGGAAATGGGCAGGGCGGCAGGTGCCGGTGCTGAACTGAGCTTGCGGGGTGCGTCCAGGCTCTGGGCTTGCGGGTCCCACACTCTGCCCAGCGCTGTCACCAGCTGTCCCCAGCCCTTTCTGCTCTGCTGGGATAGGGTCTTGCTTCCTGGCTTTCATCTCAGACCGGGTCTTAATCGCTGGGGCTATCCTTGATCTTCAGCCTGCAGCCTCTGCCTCCGGGGGACCGGGATCATTGCACCCCTGTCCACACAACTGTCAGCCCTTAAAGGTGAAAGATCATCCTGCCTCAGTTTACTGAGTGGCCAACTGAGAGACGCACAGGGAGATGCTACTGTGAGAGTTAAAACTGTGCACAGGGGCAGTGTGTGCAGTGTAGCTTTGGACATTCCAGCTCTGGCGAGCGGGACACACTTATCCAAGGTCCGGAAGACAGGAAGGGGCACTCTGTGTCGGGAGGGACAGCCACTCCTTACCATCTCTGTGAAGCGATCCTCACAGGCCATGCGGATCTGTTCAGGCGTGGCCGGGCTCCTCACCGTGAAGTCCTCGGCCAGGCCTCTGTCCCTGCGTGCTGCAGCCACCGCGTCCTGGATGGCGAAGAACACGGAGGACCCCAGGAACATCCCGGACTCCCCGAGGCCCTGTCAGGAAGCACAGTGGTTTTAGAAGAGCTGACTTGATGGCGGAAGCTGTGAGAGGCCGGCCAAGGCCTTTTCACCTGTGTGTCCTCAGCGCCTGCAGAGACTTGCATGTGTGTTTATTGACTGACTATCATAAAGCCTGCTGTTAAATTGCTAGTGTGACCTGATGTCTCAGTTATTAAATCCTGGCTGGGCTGCATCTCAAGTCCACTGTACTGGAAAGGAGTGTGATGGGGGGAGGGTAAGGGCACATACTCCAGGTACTGAAGCCCTCTCAGTGGGGGAACTGCACCACCACCAGGGCCTTATCTGACCCTGGCCTGGGGAGCAGGGATCAAATGTGAGGGGGTCATCTGTGAGGAGCAAGTCAAGGGTGGATGTGGGCAGTGCAGGCGCCTGAGGGCATGGAGGAGAGGGAAACACAGGGCACAGTGTCCGGTCTCCCTGCTAAAGTGGTGGCTATTTTCCGTTCTGGCCAGCCACTGCCTTCTGGGAACCAAGTCAGAGTTGCAGGTCACCAGTTACTCAGGAGACTTTAGGTATTTGTATTCCACTGTAAATTTCAACAAAGAACACATCTTGCAGCCAGATGTGGGTGGTGGGGCTGCTTTTCTGCCCTGAGCTGAGACTTGGTACAGCCCAGCAGGCTGAGCCAGGAGGATGCCAGCAGGGTCAGGCTGCCTCGGGAGCGTTTCTCCTGCGGCTGGGATGAGCTCAGGCCTGGTGCATACAAAGCTGCAGTTCCTGCCCACAATTTGCCCCTCTTCTGTGGGGCAGGGGTGGTGCCTGGGCCCTGAGCCCCAGGTGACTGGTGACCCCACACAGGCCCTTTTCCTCTCTGAGCAAGCAGTCTCCCAGAAGACTTTTGAGAAAGCTGCATCTCATTAAGTTTTGACTTCACGTAATCCACACACAGCAATGCAAACAACTATGGCATTTACTGGAATTTGCAGTTTTAGTCCTTGAGCCCTGAGCGGGTGCCTGGTCTCTCCGATGGTCTCTTGCTGGGAAAGGCTGGGCTCTACCAGGAGTAATAAAGTCCCCCAGCCTTAGGTGTGACCAGACACTGCACCCTGGCTTAAGCCCTGCTCTTCTGAGCAACCCTCAAATGTGAGGGGTTCATCCAGGGGCGGCAAGGGCAAACCTTTTAGAGCTTTCAGTGATAACAAACAGCTTGCCGTGACATGTACACCAAAGGTTCAGCACCACCAGTGGGGAATGCATCTGGACCTCCGGCCCCACTGCTGCCTCCACCGGATGAGCAGCCAGGAACGCACCTCCCATCCGCCTAGCATGAGGTCTGCTGTTTTGTTTTTTGTACCAGGAATCAAACTCATGATCTTGCTGTCGAGGCAGGCTCTGCACTCCTGAACTAAATCCCTGGTCCTTGTCTTTGGTTTTGGGGCCAGGATCTCGCCCTGCAGTCCAGGCTGGCCTTGCGCTCACTGTGAGCCTCTTGCCCTACTTGTTGGGTGCTGAGGTCCCAGGAGTGCACCTCCACACCTGACAGAGCTCTGAGGCCCTGCAGTGTAGACGTGGCTCCCAGGAGAAGCCACAGCACGCTGGAGACTGTGTGTTTTGGGGACAGGGTCTGATCTCCGCGGGTGCACCTGTCCTCTGAAGCTGGTTTCCCAGGTCTGTCCAGCGGTGTCTCCCCGGGGTCTCCCCAGGTCGTGAGCCCGCTGTGCGGAGTGGGTAGGTGCTCACCTTGGAGGAGTAGATGGTGAGCCCGGTCTGTGCCTGTGCCGAGGGCAGCAGGGTCACGTTGAGCTTCTCCGGGACATCGGCCGCGGTGGGGATCTTGTACTCCTCAGGCCCCCCGGACAGCAGGGCGCCCTCTGGGGAGTAGTGCAGCTCCTCGGTGGTGTAGAGGCCCGCGCCCTGGAGGAACGCGCCTTCCACCTGGGGGCGATGTTGAGCTGTGACTCCGGCCTGGCCCCGCCCCCTCCTCGGCCTCCCTGCAGCCTGGTGCCCACCTGCCCGATGTCGAGGGCCGGGTTCAGGCTGCAGCCCGCGTCCATGACGATGTCCGTCCTGAGTTTCTGTCAAAACACACATCGGCCCCATGAGCACCGGGCGCCCAGCCTCACACCACTTTCTGGTTTGCATCCCCTGGAGCTGCCAGGTCTGGCCCTGCCCCGACCATTTTGCAGCCATCGGGAGCCCAGGATGGCACCAGCACGGCCTGATTCCTCGAACCCCAGAGCCACGACAGTGGGGAGCAGCGGCCAGGTGTCCGCTGGGCCCTGGCTCACCTGGTTCTATATTACCCACCCACAGGGGTGTGGGGCCCCCGGGGGCTTGGTTGAGCCGGGTGTTCAAGGTCTTGGATGGCACTGAGCTATACCTGGCGTGGCCTTGCATTGGGCGCCTCGGGTGTCCCCAGGCCCGCCTTCCACCCCTTCCCAGAGCTTGGCCTTCTAGCAGGGTGCCTTGGTCCCAGACGACTCTCAGCCTGCCTTTCTGGCCTGGAGTGGCTTCGTCCACCCTCGGCCCTGCAGAGGAGGCTGGCCACAGACCAGGGCTCCCCAGAGCTGGTCTGCTCTGCTCCACTCCACTTTGCTCTGTGTTGGCTGCTGGGCAGAGCTGCTAGGTGATTTCTCCTTGTTCTCCTGAATTAACTGGCATTTTGCCTCTTTAAGATGTCATGTCAGGGGGTTGAGATTCTGCAGTGACCAGACCTTTAACTGTGCGTGTAAACTCAGAAGCCCTGGGAGACCAAAGCCCAGCTTCTCTGGCACCATGAGCGCGGTGAGACTGCATGTGGTGTTACTCTCTCTGTACACCCTCACGAGACCCTCGGGGGGACTGACAGGTAAAGTATCCCTGCTCCAAGTACTGGGGCGCATTTGTCCTGGAAGATTATCTGCTGTTGACCTGAGATTTGGGTTTCTCAGGGTGGTACGTGATTTCATTTGTTAACTCTGGCAGCAGGGCTGTCGGGGCGGAGGTCTTAGACAAGCTGACCCTGAGGTTTCTTGTCTATGGAGCCCCGCCAGGCGCTGGGCCCTGGTGCCCCGAGAAAACCACCAGGAAACCGTTTAAGTAACTGCAGGGGCTGCACTCCGGGGCCTGCTGACAGAGCTGTTGTTCTGCACGGCAGCAGAAATGTGGCGTCAGAGTCCCAGGCGAGTCAGGAGAGCAGGCCGGGCGGTGGGTGGCTCCAGGTGGTGGCGGACACACGTGGGGCTCCACCGTGCCATGAGCTGCTCAACAACTTACATCTTGGTTTGGCTTTCTGGAGGCTTCCTGGCAGGGCGGCCCTGGTGCACTCATGGTCACTTCTGTCTGGGCACAAGCTCTCAGCCCAGGTGAGGGGAGACTCTGTCCTCGGGAGCGAATGCAGAGTTCTGTGGCCACCTGTATCCTGCAGCTCTGCCTAGGGTCAGCAGTGCCCACCACACACCTGGCTTTGCAGGCCCCGAGGTCCATTGCCGCAGGCTGTGAACCTCGCAGGATGACCTGCTCAACTGCGACCTTCCGAGGAGGGAACTCGGCTTTCTGTGACGTGTAAAATGTTCCTCTGGCTAAAACTCCGAGAAGCGGTGAAGTGGAATTAAAGTGTTTGCATGTGAATGGAATTCAGCTGTGTCCTCCGTGGCCTCACAGCGTGGCTCTAAGTGGCTGTCGCCTGGCAGGCTCTCTGCCAAGCAGCCTCACCCTCGCCGGCCTGGACTCCCCTGGACTCACCCTGTGCGCGCCGGTCAGGCAATCTATCTCCACCTCCGAGCAGGCGGCCCCAAAGACGTAGTAAGGGAAGGGCTCTCCCTCCCCCTTCTCCCAGTCCATGAAGGCCTTGTAGCCTCTGAGGAGGAAGAAAAAGCCCTTCGTGTGGGGCAGAGCACAGTTCAAGTCCGCCTACAATTACTATTTTTGTTGTTATGGCTTTATTATTTGAGGCAGGATCCTGTCATGTGGTCCTGGGCGGCCACCCCGGGGCTCAGAGCTCCTGCCTGCCTCAGCCTCTCACCAGCTCGCCCATGCCCAGCCTGCTGACCTTAAGCCATCTCACTCTGCTGCCTGGCAGGGCCGGCCCCCAGGTTTTCACTGGTGCCCACCGAGAGAGGCTTCCTGCTGCAGATCTGGTGTTGAAGAGGGGGCTGGGGCTCAGCTTCCCACCCTGATGCCCTGAAGCCAGCTCACTGGGGGGTCCAGCCCTGGGGAAACTCAGCTGTTTGGATCAAGGGACCCCAGGGGCTAGGGGAAGGGAAGAAGGGTCCCCAGGGGCTGGGGGACGGGCTGGGAGACCTGCTCCCTCCAGGGCTCCCTGCTCTGGAGACGGTGTGGGAAAGAGTGCTCCTCCAGGGCCCTCATCCTGTCTCTGCCCCGTGTTGCCTGCTTTGGCGGCCCCATGTGCTGCATGCACGAGCAGTTCGGGGTGTGCGTCATTGCCGCCTAAGTGCGCTGGCCACCTCTGGAACCGTAGGCTGCTCTTCCTTGTGCTTCTTCCCGTTCATAGGCGTCTGCCAGACCCCACCCCCACCCTGCCTTAGGGGCACGAACACCAGCACGACTGTCAAGTGCTGCTCCTCCTGCCCAGGAGGGAGCTCCAAAGGCAAAGGGCTAGTGGTCAGGGAAGAGAGCTGCAAGTTACAGTTCTTTCTTTCTGTCTGTCTGTCTGTCTGAGACAGGGTCTTGCTATATAGTGTACGCTGGCCTTGAACTCACAGGATCCTCCTGCCTCAGCCTCCTGAGGCTGGAATTACAGGCATGTACCTCCACGCCTGGCACATTATTTCTTTTTTTTTTTTTTTTTTCATTTTTTATCGGTACCAGGGATCGAACTCATGACCACCTTCTTGCAAGGCAGGCGCTTATGCGACTAAGCTAAATCCCCAGCCCCCGGCACATTATTTCTAATGATAACACTTTTTCCTATTTGTGATAAAGACTAGTAACTGATAATTAGATAATCAGTGTTTCTTATCCCAATGTCACTATTCTTATTGCTAAGTATTTCTTTAGACAACTCAGAGGCCTGTGTGACATCACACAAATTTGGGTCTAGAAGAGACATCAGCAATCACATAGGAGAATCCTGTGTACAGATGAGGAACTCAGACCCACAGCAACTGAGCTGCTTGTGTTTCTTCAGCTGAGTTAAGATTTCTTTTTTGGCACTAAGGACCCAAGCCAGGGATGCAGTGCTACCTCCCAGCTCTCCTGCCCACTTTACAGTTTTTTACAGAGTCCCCCTAAGTAGTCAAGGCAGGACTTGAACTTGTAATCCTCCTGCCTCAGCCTCCCAAAGTGCTAGGATTGCAGGTATGAGCCACCACACTGGGCTTTACTTTTTACCTGAAGTATCCGGTGGCTGAGAGACTGATTCTTTGTTCAAATGCTGCTTCCACCTGTAGAAAGAGCACAGTGAAGTGAAGGGACCAGCACTTGACAGGTGACACGGCGCACATCCCACACCTCGGCCTCGACATCTGAGTGTCCGTCACTGCTGTGCTCTGCTGCAGGACAGTGTCCGTCTTAACAGTGCTGCCCTCGGCAGCAGACCAGCTGTCTCCTGCTGACGAAACTACAGGTCTGGATTGAAGAGGCCACAACAGAACCCTGCTGCACCCCGGGGAGGACAAGCTCGACAGCTCCTCATTTGTTTGTTTAATCCTTTTGAAGCAGGGTCCCGCTGTGCAGTCCAGGCTGGCCTTGAACTCAGAGCCCTCCTCCTGCCTCAGCCTCCTGAGTGCTGGGATTACATGTGAGGGCCACCAGCCCGGCTGGAGCTTTATTTCTAAGTGTTACTAACTACTGTGTGTGTATGTGCGTGTGTGCTGGTGTGAGGAGCTGTTCTCCTGAAACGTGGGGCGCTGTGGAGTTGGATTTAAGGAGATCTTTTCCTCCAGGCGCAGTGGTAGCCACCAGGCCTTCGCAGTCCACCCCCACCAGCACCGCTGTTGCGTGAGGGTTAGAAAAAGTCAGTTTCCTTTTCTACTTAAGCACAGAGCGTGGAGCCTCTGGGTGTCTGCACACAGTGCCCTGTGTGGTCTCTCCTTGCTTACCTGACTGCATCCTGGCGCAGCCGTCTCCACTCCGTGCGGGAGTCTCTCAGCGGGAGACGTGTCCATCTCCCCTGAAGCCCTGGGGGTGCTGCCTCTCTGAACAGTGCCTGTGCCCTGCACTGCATGGGTCATTCCCTTATTTGCAGTGACAAACGGTGGGGACACTCACCCAGGCCTCCCAGGTGCCTTCCGGATTTTTCTTCATGATGGGCTCAAGGCGTTTCAGAAGGGTCTGACAGGCATTCTGGAAGAATTAAAGAGAATCTGATTTAGAGAAGACATAGTAGAGAACATTGCCGGTCACTGATTAGGCCCGTGCGTCTCCTCACTGCGGAGAGAGAGGACGGCTGCCCAGCCCCTCCGGGGACAGGGTCATAGCTCAGGGCCCTCCTGGAGGGGTCCACCCCTGCTGGCCACGGCCTGAGGTGTCCACGGAGTTTCTCTTAGCTTCCTTTCCTCTCCTTCTACCTCTTGGACTAAGCCTTCTTTTGTATTCCAGCCACTAAAATAACTGAGTAGCAGCTAACGTTCATTCAGATTTGTGTTTTGTGACCATGTCAGTTTCTCTCTGTCCAATGTCTGTTTGTCCATCCACCATCAAACTACAATGTTGAGGGCCAGGACTTTGGGCGTGAAATGAGAAAGTAAATTCTCTCTGTAATAACCTAGAGCCACAAGGTCAGATCCCAGATCCAGGTCTGAAAGAGAAATCAATAAGACCCGGAAGGTGGATTAACCCAAGTTGGTTGAGGAGCGGATCCATCCACACTGGCCGACCCTTCTTGGGCTTGATCTGATCCGCACTGGGGGGATTGTGTGACTCCGAGATCTCAAGTATTTGTTCTGTGCTGTTGGACCTGGGGCCACCCCACAGGCCCCTGGTGTCCCGGGTAGGTCCTGAGAACTGGGTCCCTCACAAGGTCACCAACCAGAGAGGTGGTCAGCGTTCTGAACATGGGACCTGGATGCTGTGAGCCCATTCTGAGTGAAACCGTGGCAATTTGGGGGGAGTTCTGAGACAGGGCCTCACTCTGCATTCAGCCCATCCTTGAAGTCACAGTGAATCCCAGGCCGGCCTGGGACTCACAGTGATCCTTCTGCCTCAGCCTCTGAGTGCTGGGAGAACAGGATCTGTCACCACGGCTGGTTTAAAACCAGCAATAATGTGAACAAAGGACAGCACACCTGTAATTCCAGTACTGGGAAGGCTGAGGCAGGAGGGTCACTGAGTCTGAGGCCAGGCTGGGATACAAAGTGAGCTCAAGGACAGTCTCAAGGGCCCGGTGGATCTACCTGTGCTGGGGTCCCGTGCCCTTCTCGTCCTCAGGGTCAGGCCCAGAGGCCATGTGCATGCAGTGTGTGTAGGTGGATGTGGGGACCCAGCAACTTCTTCCCCCCAACGGCCCTTTTCACTCCTGGGGTGCTGGCCTCAGGGAACCCTGGGGACGGAGGACACTGCCAGTCTGGTGCTCCCTACCAACTCTGCCTGGCAGTTGAGTTTTGCCCTCAGGGTGGCCCCCTGAGAATGCCCCACCCTGCAGCTGTGTCCAGCTGGAAACCATAAGGTGTGGGATATGCAAGGAATAGGGCAGGGGGCAGTGGTCACCTGCACAGCCCTGCCATTGACATCGGCTCCGACGGACGCTGCTGTGGTCACTGTGTTTGGCACAGTCGCTGTGCTGGTCTCCTGGATGTGCAGGCGGCACAGGGGCACCCGCAGTTCCCGGCTGGCCACCTGCAGAGGGGAGGGGTCAGGCACAGCCTTGGGAGGCCCGGCCGCGGCTGCCTGTGAGAACCACAGCTTTGCAGCCACATCCACATTGCTCTTGAGGAGGCCCCGGGAGAGGTTGGGATGTCAGGTCCTTGGGACTGCAGACAACAGGTGCCAGGCCACGGAAGGCTTCAGGTACATGCAGGGTGGGTGACAAGGACAGAGACAGAGACACAGAGAGCTGACTGATAGACCGACCGACCCGACCCACGGACGCAGTTTGGCCTCTGGGTCCCTGAACCTGGCTGCGTTTCACATGGAAGAGCTTAGAGTTTGAACAGAGTCCACATGCGCCCTAAGAGATGAGTCTCAGCACTCTGGGAGGCTGAGGCGGGAGGATCCCAGGGTGGAGTCCCAGTACCTGCAGCATCTTGGTGTGGATACCCTGTCCCAGCTCGTTCCCGCCATGGGTGACCAGCACAGACCCGTCTGTGTAGATATGCACCAGTGCTGCTGCCTGGGGATGACCAGGGCGCTGTTCAGGGAAACGTGCTCTGAGGAGAATGAGGCCGGCGAGGTGGCCACCCTGTCCTTCCTGCTCTCTGGGACACTGACGCAGGAGCATCCCAAGTTTAAGCCCAGCCTGGGCAATTTAGCAATTTAGTGAGACCCTGTTTCCAAAACAGGCAGGCAGACAGACAGACAGGCTCAGGTTACAGCTCAGCACCAGGGCCCTGGGGTCTATCCCAGAGGAGACACCAGTCTTGTGGAGCCAGGGTAGAGGCAGTGGGGTGAGATTGACTCCACCTGCTTTGAGCCCCACAGGAGTCTACTTTGGGAACCCCAGGGCCCCGCCCAATGTGACTGTTTATTCAGCGGGGTGAGCAGAGGCTCTGGGCCTGGATTCCTGATTAGGGTCCTCCCTCCAGGGCAGCTGGGGTCTGGCGATGGGGACCATGCCTGGCCCCTTGGAAAGCCCATGTGACATGGAGCTGGGCTTGCTCGAGGTGGTTGGAGGGTAGGAGAGAGAGGGGCCGGGTTAGGGCAGTGCAAGGACAAAGGTGTGGATGGAGTGATGTGTGGTTTCTGGCACCAGCAGGCTGAGCCACGCTCAGGGCGGGTGTGTGTGTGTGTGTGTGTGTGTGTGTGTGCTGTCCTGAGTGCTCCTAAGGGCTCAGGGGCCTGATGGCTCTGGGCGGTAGGCTCGCACTGGCACAAGCATCTGTCTGTCACCTGTGTGTCTATCCGTCTGTTGCCTGTGTGTCTGTGTCTGTCTGTCCTCTGTTGCTCATGTCTGTCGGTTGTGTGTCTGGCTGTCTGTTGCCTGTGTGTCTGTGTCTGTCATCTGTCTGTTACTCGTGTGTGTGTGTGTGTGTGTGTGTGTGTGTGTGTCTTTCTGTCTGTCTGTCTGCCAGGCAGAGGGGAGCAGCCCTCAGTACACAAAGCCTCCCGCCGGCTGGATTTCCGGCTGCCAGCCCCGAGGTGGCATTGGCTGTGTGCGCAGCTCCCTGAGCACAAACTAGCTTCTGGGAGCCTCCATGTCCCTGTTCTTGGGTGGCTTGGGGACCTGTCTGAATGCCACCCTCCTCTGTTAGCAAATGTTCCTGGGAGAATTTCCATCCCCACTGCTGCCTCCCAGTCCTGAGAGGGCTGGGAGCCCAGTGGCTGCGCGATGGAGACACAATGGAAGGCAAAGCGGGGGATGCCCCTTTCCTTACAAGGAGGCCTGGGGGACCCCTGCCCTGGGGCAGGGGCGTTGCCCTTGGGCCTCTTAATTGCCGTCCTGCTCCTGGCCCTGCAGCTGGTAGCTGGGGGCTCTGCTTACCTCTCGGAATGGCTGACCGCTTGGCCTGCAGCCATGGCCAGAGAAACGCACCTGATGGTAGCTGGTGGCTGCAAAGCCAACCGAGAACTTCATGGGGACCACAGCGATGCCCCGCTTCCTCCAGGGGCTCTGCCGGTTGAAGGCATCTGCCAGTGCCCGCCGGCCCGGCACGTCAGCCTGCTCCAGGCACTCGGCCCAGCACCGGTGCAGGGGCTCGGGGCTGAACGCCTGCTTGTAGATGGTCTTGTCCACCGTCCTGTACATGTTCTTCTCCCTGACCTGGGCGGGGTCACACGATGTGGTGACTACAGTGGATGTAAAGACTGGGAAAGGGGAGCACGTGCTTGTGATCCCAGCTCCTCAGGAGGCTGAGGCAGGAGGATAGCAAATCATGGCCAGCCTGTGCAATGTAGCAAGACCCTGTCTCAAAATGAAAGCTAAGAAGGGCTGGGGTTGTAGCTCGGGGTGAAGCGCTTGCCTCGAATGCATGAGGCTTTGGGTTTATCCCCAGAACCGGAAGAGGGGAGACAGGAGACCAATGCGCAAGGAAAGGCTCCCGCGATCAGTCTCGTGCCTAGGGAGTCGGCGTGCTGCAGGGGAATTTCACCTCTCACTGGGCTGCTTCAGTGTGACTGGGCCTTTAAGAGAAGTGATTATTTGTGTATACACTAAGAAAAAAAGGAACGGTATCACATAAGGGGGAGGAATGAGGAGCAAGGGGAGATGAATCCTGGCAGCTGTTCCTGTGTTGAGTCCTGAGCAGGACCAATCTGTGCAGCTCTGCTAGGGTTCTGTTGGGTCCCCGCCTCGCCGGAGTCTCCACCTGTCTTGGTCATGACCTTGATTGCAACCTTGCCTTTTCTTTTTCCTCTCTCCTGTTTTTCTGGGCACTGAACTCAAGTCCTGAACACTGAGCTACATCCCCGGCCCTGTTTCGTTTTTAACTTTGAGACAGGGTCTGGCTAAGTCACTGAGTTGGACCTGAACCTGCAACCCTCCTGCTTCAGCCTCCCAGAGTGCTGGGGTGACAGGCACACACCCCATCCCCAGCCCCAACCTCACCTTTTCTGGGAGAAGGCCACACTTGGCTGCCACAGCTGTGATGCATGATTCTATCACCAGGGCTCCTTGCGGGAAGCCGAATCCACGGAATGCCGTATTGGATGGTAAATTTGTCCTGCACGCCCTACCCCGGAACCTGAGGTTTCGGATTTTATATGCATTTTCCAGCTTCAGGATGAGAAATTCTATTACCTGCAGTGGGCAGATGGATGTGTACACGTGCTGGGAAGTGCTCTGAAAGCGGGTGTGGCACCACGGGCTCCTGGGCAGGCTCATTCCTGAGCCATACCTGCCCTCCGAGTGCTCTGTGAGGGCACAGATCCTCTCTGGATCTTCCTCCTCTGTAAGGGCAGCGGTGTCCCCTGCCCCCCCAAGCCCAGTCCTCTCTGCACCTCCCCCTGCTAGTGGCTCCACCCCGACTTCTTCCATTTGCCCTGTACTTGGACTTTGGAGTCTCAGGAGGAGAAGCCCTGGGCGCCGAAGCGGGCAGCACCCACCAGCTCGGAGTAGTCCAGCACGCAGCCTCCGTTGATGTAGCACTGGATGTCCAGCGCCTTGATCCGCCCACTGTCCATGAAGCCCACCTGGCACAGAGGAGGGACCTCTCAGTCAGTGGCAGCAAGCAACACCCGAGGTCCCAGCCGTCCCGGAGGATGCCCGGCCCGACCTCTGCTGTCACTGTGCGGCCGAGGTGGCAGGGGCTGGTGCCCTGGCCTGCCCGCACACGGCCACACCCAGCCCCTGTTCTTGGGAGACTCCCCGTGTCCTCACTGCCGGGGCAGGGGCACGGGTGGGGGGGGATAAGCAGGTACTGAGTGTGGGTGCCATCTGGTGGCTGCTGGGTGGGGAGGAGGGAGCTCTTGGGCAGCCCGTGTGAGCTCCTCCCGGCTCTGAAAGGAGCAGCTCACACCCATTCATTATGCTAATTTACAAATGGTGGCTGAGACTCTTAGCCCATGCTCATGGGAGGCGGAATGGGAGTGAAATACACATAGAAATACACACAGACCCAACACCTCGGTCCATGAATGCTGCTGTCTGCAAATAATTCTGTTGGCAAACAGAAGTATTTAGCAAAGTTTTGCTTGTGTCTGTGAACACCACATGCGGTGACAAACATCGCCACAGCTGTCTTCCCCAGAGTTGTGGACTGAATTAGTTCATGAATGTGCTGCCACTTTTAATGTTTTTTTTTTTTTTTTTTTTTTTTTTTTTTTTTTTTAAGTTCTGGGGATTGAACTCAAGGCTCTGGTGCTGATACATCCCCAGACTTTTAAAGTTAATTTTTTTGAGGCAGGTCCCTTTAAGTCACTAAATTGTCCAGTCTGGGCACAAACTTGTAATTCTCCTGCTGCAGCCTCCTGAGTGCTGGGATGACAGGTGTGTGTCACCACATCTGGTTTTAATACATTATTTTCGGGCACCAGGAATCGAACTCAGGGCCCATGCTTGCCCCGGCTTTAATAACTTTATCTTTAATACTCACTTTATATTTTCCAAATAACGGGTGCCTACCCCCAGTTATTAACATATCTTCATCACGATCAAGGACCAGACGAACAGGACGACCAGTCCTGAGGAAACAGAGCTCAGGCAGATTCTCAGCCGCCTCCCTGCTCACCACTGACTTAGCATCCCCTTGTGGAGCTGTCTGTTCCTGTTCACCCCCCTGGCATCCCGTCCAGCCCCGCCCAGGGTCCATCCACCTCCCTGACGGCCTTCCAGCCCCCACATGGACTCCCTGCTGCCCGTGAGGTCTCCGTGTTCTGTGACACAGTGGGTGGAGACCTCGCTAAGGGTGCCATGGCTTCACCCCATCCAGCCACTTAGTGCGTCCCACCTCGGCCACCAAGGGGAGGGGCTGAAGGCGAATGGAGTGGACAACAGTGCTGGACAACTCAGTCAGGCAGTGTTCACACCCACTCCTGCTAGTCCTGGCCCGGGGAGGAATGGGAGACGAGCTGCCTCCCTCCCTCTCTCTCCCTTGCTCCTCCCCCTTTCCCTTTTTCTTCCCCTCCCTGCTCCCCCTCCCTGTTCCCTTCCTCTCCCCTCCTCCCTCCATCTTTGCTCTGGAGAGCAAACCCAGGCCTCAGGCCTGCTAGGCCAAGGCTCCACCACTGAGCCCCACCACCAGCCCTCTTTTTTTCTCTTAGAAATCACTGTTGGTTCTGGGAATCACACTGGGCAAGTGCTACCACAAAGGCAGGAACTCCCAGGATCTGACCTCAGAGATTCAGGACAATGCCCTGGGGTTGCTTGGTGCCTGACACTTGGTGCAGTGTTAGGCACCCAGAGGCCAGCAGGGCTCTGGGCAGGACTGCAAGGCTCTGTCCTGTGTGAAAGCCCTGATGGGGATCCCAGAGCGACTGTGTGGTCGCTGGGTCCTGTGGGTGAGCACATGGGCTCAGGGCCTGCTGTCCCCATGCTGGCTGCATCTGGAACTTGCTCTGTGCCCTGCTGAGCTCCCAAAGGTGGTAGGGCCTGGGCACAGAGGGACAGCTGGGCAGGGGCGCTGCTGGAAGCAGAGACGTGTCCTGGGGCCCCGAGGAGTCCCTTCCTCTCCCTGCCCTTCTCATCCTGGGACCCAGGGCGGGAGGGAAACAGGAGCAGGGCACATCATGGCCCCACGTGGATCCTTTGGGACAGGGCAGTGTTTTCTATGTGACACACCCGGTGCGACATTGTGAGGCTGTGCAGGACTGGGAGGTGGGCAGGCATCCTCACCCACATCCCAGGACGGAGTGCCTGCGACCCTGCCTTGCCACCTGCCCTGCTCTGTGGCACCGGTGACCCGGGCACTCACTTGATGGCGCCCACTGCTGCGATGGCCCCCAGCATGGCTGATCTCCCCTGCTTGCCCCCGAAGCCCCCGCCCACGCGCTTCACGTGGCAGGTGACCCGGTTGAGGGGGACGTTGAGGGTTGAGGACACTGTTTTCTGGAAGAGAGATCACAGAAGGTTCGTAAGTGGGAGAAGCTCTCTGTCTCCCCATACATCTCTTCAGGCAGAAAACTGGGGTCCTGGGGGCAGCTGTAGGAGCCCACTCCTGCCTCTCCCTGGGGCTGGCCGCAGAGGATGTGCGGGCCTCTAGGTGAGCTCACCATCCAGGCAAGGTGGGCCCCTGTCACAGAGTCTGACCTGTGCCTGATGCAAGAAAGTGGACCTCATGTTGGAAGTGGCCATGGGTGCTTTCTCACTGAGGAGACCAGAGAAACCCGAGGCCCTGGGTCTTGTTGCTTTATGCATGTCCAGTGCTTGGGCTCCAGAATCCCGAGCTAAGACAGCTCTGCTGTCCCATGACCCTCACCTGCATGTGGGCTGGGTCCTGGGTGGACGCATAGATGTCCAGCTCTTGGTCCTCGACTTTGGGAATGACCAGTACCCTCTGGGTTTCCATGTAGAAATGCTCCTGCCCCCCGACATGCACCTCTCCTGCAAGTGGGGGAGGGGGAGACGTGGGTGTGGGCCGGGGCCTGAGCCAGCCCCACCTCAGAGCCAGGTGTCACCTGAGGGTGACTGTGTCAGAGGCCACGGCTTCAGATCTTTGTTCTGTTCTCCCTACTTGTCATGCCACACACATGTGTGCACACACACGGAAGAACAGTAGTGGACATGCCGCGACCCAGCCTTGGCAGTGACCTTGTTGGGGCCGTGCACATGCGGTCAATCCCTGGGCGCTCACCTTCTAGGATGTGGTCCACGTCCTCAAAGGCCTCCTCCGTGTTTCCAAGCTCAAGCTTCTTCTCAGGGCACAGGAAGGAGCTGTGCCCTATGGCGTCCTGAGGAAGGAGAGCACCGAGGTCAGTGGCTCCCGCCTGCGCTCCCTGGAGGCCCATCCTGGCAGAAGCTCAGAGCCCCACATCACAGATGCCAGGCCTTCCGGAGGGCACAAGCCAGTGCCAAGGAAACAGCGGTGTCCCTGAACGGGTCCTGCACAGCGAGGTTGCCTGGGCTCCGGGTTCTCCGGCCGCAGGGAGGGGGCAGCGGCCTGTGCTCACCTGGATGCTGAGGACCACGGGCTCCAGGTCCTCGTAGGTGACCCTGACGCTCCCAGTCGCTTGCCTCGCCTGCACATCTGTCTCTGCGACCACTGCACAGATGACCTGGCCCACACACAGCACCTGCAGACCGGGGCACAGGATGCTGGGGCAGGGACAGGAGGCACAGCCTCCCCTGGCTGGTGACTCAGGTGTCTGCGAGCAGGATAATGTGGGGTCATGGAGGGCATGGACTCAAGGGCCACTCGGCTTAGGAGTGCTTTGATGTTCCCCATCGCCCTGGTGCTTCCTCACTCCAGGGAATGGACAGAAAATCGGGCTGGAGGGGCTGAGGCCTGGCACCTCCACCGCCGGCAGAAGCGTGAGCTGTGACCCCAGGCTGGGGCACCCAGTTGCTGTACCCATGGAGTCACTGGGAAGGCGGCTGGCATATGTACCTTGTCCACTGCCAGCAGCTTGTCGTCCTCGGTGCCATTGGTGCCTGGGATGTCCTCGGCTGTTACTATGGCCACCACCCCAGGGAGCCTGAGTGCCTCGGCTGGGTCCACTGACCTGAGTACAGAGAGGGGCTGAGGCCCGGGAGGGAGGAGGAGTGGGGTGACCAGAGCCCAGGCTGGGGACAGTGTGCCACGGGAGCATCCCTGGGGGCAGTCACCGTGTCATGGTGATAGTGATGCAGGCGTTTCCCCAGTTGGTCAGCAGCTCAAGACCCACCCTGCTCTGGGCCTCCCCAGCAGCCAGGGCTCTGCAAGGCTGGGAAGGAGGCCTGGGCCCACATCGAGATGGCCTCCCTCCATTGCCCCAGTTATCTCCAGCCCCCCACAGTACCACGACCTCCCATCAGCTGCTTGGGCTCAGGATGTGCAGGGAAGGGCACAGCCCTTGGGGCACCTGGGCGCTTCCCAGGCCTGCAGCTCTTCCGTACTTACACGATCTTTGCATGCGGCCTGGTGCTGGTCACCAAGGCCATGAACAGCTCCTTGTCCACCCTGGGGAGGTCATCACAGAACACTGCCTCCCCCGTGGCATGTTTCAGGCCCGACAGGTGCATGATCGAGCGGCCCACCGGGTCCTGGGGTGGCTGCTGAGGGTCCACTCTCTGCAGGGAGGGTAGGTGGGGGCTCGTACCAGCTGCCTCTGGTGGCCTGGCCAGCCCCAGCTTTCTAGGGAGTATGAGGGACAATATGGTGACGTTGAGACAGGGAGCAGGTTGGGGAGGTGGGGAGCAGCCTTGGCCCCTTCTTCCTGTGGTTTAGAGGTCCCCTGCCCACCCTGGTTCACATGGGCACTGTGGGACAGCAAAGGAGCCCTGCTGACCTCATACATCTGCACGCCCCGGGGCACCATGATGGGGACGTCCTCTAGCGCACCGAGGGTCTGGTCTGGGAGCTGGGGATACTTCCAGGTGTCCTGGAGGACAGTTCAGCCATGAGCAGAAGCTGCGCAGTGCCCTGTGCAGCGAAGTGACTCGGCCGTGGGGCCAGGGGCCAGGAACCGTGTCCTCATTGTCTGATGTCCTTTCCCTAATTCGGGTGGACCTTGAAGGGCTGCTGGGTACTAGGGAGGGCGTGGCCAGTGGGGAGCCAGAGTTTTGCCTGCAAGCGCAAGCTCATGTCTTCTGTGTAGGTGTGTGCATGTGGGTACATGTGTGTGCACGTGTGCATACAGATGTGCGCACATGTGTATTGTGTGTGTCTGGGGGGAGTGCTGCCTAAGTCACTTAGAACAAGCAGGAGCCCACCATCCACCAACCGCCCCGGTCCTGATTGTCCCAGGCATTGAGGCCTCCCGCACAGCTGCTGGGTTGGAGGTCTCCTTAGGGTCTCGGGCACGGGGCTAGTCTGCACCCCAGCCAGAGGCGGAGACACTTGAGGACAGTGAGTGGCAGGCTGGTGACGGCGTGGAGGGTGGGCGAGTGATGGGCATGGAAAAGCAAGAGGGGGAGGACAGGGAGAGGAGGAGTTTTGCTTTGCTTAACTGACTCCAGAAGTTCAGCCCCAAAGGCAGAAGGCGCCCTGCACATTAGTATACTGCTGTGCCCATTAGCTTTGGCAGTTCTGGGAAATGAGACTTTGTCACACTGAGTGTAAAACTCTAGCATAAGGGACTGCCAGGCAAGTGGGTGGTGACGTGGCCAGGACAATGAGTGACCTGGATGACGTTTCTATGCAGGGCGATCACTGTGCCCAGGCACAGTGCTATCCAAGTGTGTGTGTCGGGTCCGTGTAAACTGTGCATCAACACAGTTTAGGGTGAAAGAAAAACCAGAGTCAGAAGCGTGGCGTGTTCAGTGTGGGGAGGGAGAAAGAAGATGTCTGCCACTGGACCAGGACAGGCGACAGGGACAGCCAGGCCACCCACAGGCGTCTGCAGAGGGCCTGGGAGCTCCCACTGTGGACAGCTGGTGTAGCCAGAGGTTGGGCTTAGCGGGTCCTCCCGTGTGTGCACGCCACCCCAACCCAGGACCTCAGAGAGAGACGTCCCAGACATGGAGGGTCTGATTTATTTTCTGTGCCCTCCTCCCCCGAGCTAGGGATTAGACCTATGGGTGCTCTACCTTGAGCTACACCTCCAGCCCTCTTCATTTGGAGAGAGGGTCTCATTAAACTGTTCATGCTAGTCTCAAACTTGCAGCCCGCCCGCCTCAGCCTTCTGTACAGCTGGGGTTACAGTGTGTGTCTTAGTGCCCAGCTGGAGGGGTTTTGCTACAGAGACCTTGAGGTACAGTGAGGTCCTTGGGAGGGACCCTGATCCAGCATGGGAGGTTAAGAAGGCGACAGCTGGGCACGTGCTGGGGGGTAGGGCACTGAAGGCAGGTGTGGGGTGAAGCTTATACATGGTAGAGGACCCCAAAGGTTGCCGGTCGACACCCAAAGCCAGGAGAGCGTGTGAGCAGAGGTCTCAGCCTGGGACCAACTGGGACCCCAGATGTTTGCCAACCATGGTACACTCACACTCAGGGTGCGTGGGGTGCACGGGGGCTTCAGGAACCGGTGGGCCTTCAGCTCCTGCAGAACCTGCAGGTAGAACCTGAAGAGGAAGCTGACCAGCAGGGTCCTCCTGAACTCCACCCTGCCACCAGGGGCTGCGCCGGGGATGGTGACCTCGCCCAGGACCAGCCTGCAGGCTTCGTCCAGTGTCTCCTCGGTCCAGTGCCTACAGGGATGGGGGGATGGGGGGAGGGGAGCCAATTAGAGGCCATTGGAGCCCAGGCAGCCGCTAGACAAAGACTCGGAACACAGGGCTCACATCAGGGGCCCGGAAGGTGGATGGGAGCTGGCTCCACCACAGCACAAAACCATGCTGGAACCAAGCAGTGTCAGACACAACTACATGGCCAGTGTCACCGCGCAGGACAGGGCTTGGTCCACACAGTCCTGTGGGGGCTTGGGGGCACCGGACCAGGCAGCACCCAGGAGCCAAGTCATGCAGCAAAATCCCAGACAGAGTGGGCAGGGAGAAGGTGCGGGCGTCCCCTCAACCTCGCTGGCCTCGGCTGGCTCAGTGCTCACTCACCTGCCCAGGAGCCGCTGGCAGGCCTGTGGTGCCATCACCGTGGTAGTCCCCACCCCGCCGTAGGCGATGCTCAGGTCCTCGATGGTGTCTGTGCCCTCTGTGAACCGCACGCGCATGCCGGCGCTCACGTGTGGTGAGGCGTTCTGTGGGGCCTGGGCCTGCCGGAAGCTGAACACGAATTCCCACTGTGGAGACAGAGCCACTGAAGTGAGGGCAAGGAGACGCAGGACCCAGCAGGCAATGCCACCTGCCCTCCCGGCCAGGGGCAGGAACTGTTCCCTCAGTGACACCTCCAGGAGCTGGGTGCAAATGCGGCCTGGGCAGCCTTCCCAGAGGAGGGAGGAGCAGAGTGCAGCCTCTAGCAGAGCGGAGCCACATTCCTGGCTTGTGGAACCTGGCACCTGCCCTTTGCAAAGCCCAAGAGGGAGCCGGACAAACTTTCCCCAGTGGATGGGCACGGAGCCGGGCACAGCTGCCCCCACACAGGCTCTCAGTCTCTGTACAGGCTGTGCTGGGTATGTGGGTGTGTGAGATCCTTCTGTCTCTCGCCACCCAGATGTGCTGTGGCGGGGACTGGGCAGCCTGCATCTATGGAGCGGAGCTCCATCCTGGGGCAAAGTGTGGCTTCGCTGAGGCCTGATCTGCACTGCAGCCCCTGGCTCAGGGTGCTAGGTGTGCACTGGGTGTGCATCTGTGTAGGTGTGCTTTCATGTCAGTGTGCACTTGTATTTTGTACACATGTGTGGCATACATGTGCAAGGGTGTGGGCTTGGCAGGTGTGCATGTGAGTGTCTGCTTGTGTGTGAGTGGGTATGTGCATGCATGTGTGCATGTGTGTGACTGAAATGTGTGTGAATGTGCAAGGTGTGTGTGTCAGCCTCCCTCTGTGAAGCTGGTCTTGGATTCAGGCACAACCTGGGGAGAGGCTGGAGGTCTGGAGTGGGTGTGAGTTTCTTCCTTGGACGCTGGATCTTGTGCTCCCTGAGCTGGTAGCAGAGTGTGGAGGACAGAAACCCAGAGCCCTGCTCCTGGAGAAGGGGCAGGCAAAAGCTGGGGCCCCGCTGGGACCCCATGGTCCTCTGGTACCTGTAGGGCCCCAGTGCTGGATCTGTCACCTGGCAGGACAAGATTCCCACAGGGCTTTCCCCCTGCCGTGCGTCACTCTCCTAAGGGTGACTGAATCTGACAGAGGGGAAATGGTGAGGGGCTCTGTGGGTTCTGACCTTCTGAGAGTGTGGGATGTGCACGGACTCCAAGATCTCCCCCGGCTGCAGGCTGGCGCTCACCACCCCTGCCAGGAAGTGCTCATCCAGGGAGATCAGCCTTGCACCCCCTGTGAAGACAGTGCCTTGCAGTCACAATTTTGTTCTTGTCCCAGGGAGCAGAGCCGACCCTGCGCGGCAGAGGACTGGGGGCTGTGTGCCCCTGCCACTCCAGGGCCCCTCTGGAGTCGCTGAGTCCTCTCCAGCCTGGCTCCTTCCCAGTACTGGGGGTGGGTAGAGAGCAGGGCTGTGGGACCTAGGCTGGGGTGCAGGGCCACTCAGGGGAGTGACTGTGGAGGTGGGGTACACAGAGGCCCTGGGCAGTGGCCCCTAGGCTGCGTTTGTGAAGGAGGTGACCAGAGAAAGACAAAGCCACCTGTCCTTGAGGCAGTGCTTACCTTCTGAGCGCAGGTGGAGGGCCGCCTGGCCCACAGCAAGGATGGGGTTCAGGTCTGAGTAGCTGTGCAGGCTCATGACGTGGCCCCCAAGGGACTGAACAGAGAGAAGCACTCACTGGGCCCTGTGCTTTGGGCCGGGAGGAACCTCCAGCTCCCGGTGTCTGGGCCTTGCTGCCCAGAGTCAGGGGGAAGGGGAAGGCCCACAGTGCAGTCCTAGGGGAAGTCTATGCCCGTCCAGCCACAGTGACCATTACTGGGTCCCAGGAATGCCTCACAGCCCTGGCGAGGTGGACTGAAGCCACACAGGAGGAGCCCTTGGCCAAGGCTCTGAGCTGGGAGGGCAGAGCCTAGACCCTGGCCCCTCCTGGCCCGTCCTCTTCAGCAGTGACTGCCCCACTGGCCAGGCCCCCATTGCCCTGGGTGTGGCAGGCCTCCTGGACCCTTGCTGCCACCCATATGATTGTACCTCTGTTCCCAGTGTGTCCTGCCTGGGCCCCGTGGGCCTGGGGAGCCCTGACTGGGAGAGGACATGTGAGAGGGCTGTCACAGGTGCCAGTCCACCCAGGGCCTCCTGAGGCACCATGCAGGGTGCAGAGGCAGCATGGCCAGCACAGTGCTTTCCCTTGCTTGGCCAATTGTCTGTAGGGGACTGCGGGGCGCAGACGGAAAGGCCCCTGCTTGATGGGCCACTCCGCCTCTGTGAACGTGGCTGAGTCTAAATCAGGTGCTTTGAGAGGCTGCTTGTGAAACAGGTGGAGTCCTGGTGTCCTTTTCTCACCAGTGTGGCTGCCGAGCCACTTCTATGCAGGGACACTTTGGAGGTAAAGCACTCTGCTCAGCCTGTAGAGGCCCTGGGGCAGTGAGCCTGCAAACACAGCAGAACCCCGAGAGGCTGGCCATGCCACGCTGGATGCGGTGCACGTACCGCCAGGTTCCGGACCTGCAGGCCGGCCACACTGCGCAGGGCCTTTGCAAGAGCTCGGAGCGTCTGTGTCTTCTCGACGGGCAGCTGGGAGATGCTCTTGGCCAAGATGTCCTGCAGCTGGGCCAGGCTGCAGCTGGCACCGATGGTCAGGCCTGGGGAGCAGGGCTGTGTTGGGTCTCGGTGCTCAAGGAGGGCATCGTGTCCACTCCAATCCCTGGGCACGGGGCTGCTTGGGGACTCCTGGGCCCCGCAGCCAGAGCAGCAGCCCAGCCACTGAGGTGGAGAGAAGGCGGCAGCAGCAGGGGCAGGCGGGGTCCTCCTGGGGCTGCCTGGCTCCCGGCTGACCACAGTTGCCACTGACTGAGCCTCACCCCGACCAAGAGCAGCAGCACAGGGTCACTGCTGCCCAGTCCCATCGATAGGTCCGTGAGGGACATTGGCTGGCGGGACACACACGGCCTGGGCAGCTCCTCTGCCATCTGCTGCTACTGCTTGGCATGAGGAAGACGGGGCTCCCAGGAGGGAAGGGAGTAGGGGAGCCAGTGGGATGGGCACTGTCCTCCCCCAAGGGCCAGGTAACTCCACTGTGGCCAAGGTTGTGCCTGTGCATGTGAGGGTTGTGGGGGCACTAGCACAACCCTCAAGGTTTCTCTTCGGGAAGGAAATGAAGGGTTTAGGTCAATCTTCAAAATGAGGATTGGGAGCCAAGCATGGTGGCACATGCCTATAATCCCAGCACTCAGGAAGCTGAGGCAGGAGGGTTTCTGTTAATTTTAGGCCAGCCTAGCTACTCAGTGAGAGTCTGTTTCAAAACACAAAAGATGAACAAACAAAGATGTGAAGTGGTCACCCAAGCAGCAGGGATGCCAAGGTCAGCCTTTAGGGTGGACCGTGTGTCCCCAGGTCTAGAGCGGAATTGGTGCTTGGAGGCTGCCTGCCCCTCACCCCAGGGGGCACTGGGGCTCAAGCTGGTCTGTTCCCATCTGGGCTTAGGCCAGCTTTATGTTTCTTCTTGTGGAACAGTTTTGGAGACGATTTCCCCTCCCTAGAGCTGTGGTTATGAATACTGGGAATGTACTGAGCACAGCACCCCCTGCCCCTGCAGCACCTGACTGCCCCGATTCCAGCCCTTCTCACACAGTGCACCGGCCTCTCCTTCCTGTCCCCACCCTCAGCAAACCCTCCACTCCCCACTCCTTTCCTGTGCTGGCCCCGCCCAGGTCGTGCCTGTGCAGGGCATAGGTGCTGAGTCTGGCAGCCCTGTTCACCTCCGGATCTGCCCAGGACCCACTGCATCCTCATCACCACAGGTTCCCCTGGAATCGGTCTTTACCCACTGCAAGAACCCTGCCTTGCCAGTCCTGATGACCCACACCTGCAATCCCACTACCTGGAAGACAGGGAAGAGGGGTGGCAAGTCTGAGGTCCGCCTGTACACCTCGGTGTGATCCTTCCTCAGAAAAATAAAAATGAAAAACAGCCAGCGTGTAGCTCTGTGGCAATGCACTGCCTGGCACACTTGAGGACCTGTGTTGCACCCGCAGTGCCACAAACAATCGACCCCAAACCCTGGCTTATCCTGGAGGAGCCCGGGAAAGCAAAGCCTGTTCCCTACCATTCAACCCCTCTCCCTTCCTGGTGGAGGACACCAAACAGGGTCCTCCCACGCGACTGTGAAGGTCCATACCCGGCAGGTCACAGCCTGGTGCCTCTGTCATGCAGCTGGAACAGGCAGTCCCGCCAAGGCTGCTGTACCTGAGTCCTCACACGCCATTCTGCAGCATGTGTTTAGGGATTTCCCTCCTGAACTCTGCCACTCCTCACTGCAGTCTACATAAGCCCACACCTCTGGGAGTCGGAGGCCCACCGGTCAAGCTGAGCGTCCTGGAGACTCCCGATGCGGAGGTCCCAGGGGAAAAGGCACCAGCCAAACACGTCCTTGCTGCGCAGGTGCGAGGTTTGAACACACAGCAAAGTCAACACGAAGCAGAATAGGAACTTGCTCCCCAAAGAGCACCAGAGGCAGCCTGGATGCAGGACCCTAGGGCTGAGGGTGCATTCTTGGGTGGGTGTGTCCATGTGTGTGTACGTATGTGTGTGCACACATCTGTTAGTGTGCGTCTGATCTGCATGTGTGTATCTGTATGCAAGTGTGTCTATACCTGCTAGTATCTGTGTGTGCACGTCTATGCACGTGTTGCTGTACGCACACATGCATGAGTATACATGTGCGTAACAATATGTCTTTGTGCACATGTCTCTGTGTATGTGTATATCTGTTACAGGTGTGTCCATGTCTGTGTGTTTATCTGTGTGTCTCTATGCACAGGTGTGCCTGCATGTATGTGTATATATGTGCACAGGTGTGTCTCTGTGTATGTGAGTACATGTGTGCATGTATATGTATGGGTATATATGTATGCCCATGTGCATGTCTGTGTATATGTGTATGGATGTGTATATCTGTGTGTGCATGTGCATATCTGTGTGTATATGCATGTGTGTGTATATCTGTGCATGCATATGTGTGTGTCTGTGCATATGGATGTATCTGTGTGTGTGCATGTGTGTGTATGGGTGTGCATATCTGTGTCTATGTGCACATATGTATGTGTGTCTGAGTGTATCTGTGTGTATGTGCACTCATGCATGTGTATGCGTATGTATCTGTATATGTGCAGGCATGTCTGTGTGTACTTGTATGAGTGTGTATCTGTGTGTGTGCATGCATGCACATGTGTACATGTATGGGCATATCTGCGTGTGCATGTATGAACATGTATGAATGTATCTATGTGTATGGGTGTATATGTGTGTCTGTGTGCATGTGTGCATGTGTGGCAGGACCACACCAGGCAGCTGCAGGAAGACCCTGGCCCCGCCCCGCCCCACCCTGCTGGTCTGGCCCCCAGCTCCCAGCCCCAGGCAGCCCCTGCGGGAGGAGTAGTGAGTTCCAGCTGCCTGTGGTACCTGGAGCCCAGCACCAGCCTGCAGAGCCGCATACTCTGGCACTGCGATGCCTCAGCTGTCAAGTGAAGGCCGAGGTTGAGTGAGGATTTTGGACAGGCCAGGGTCTCCCTGGACAGAGGACCAGGAAGCCCCTTCCTTATTTGACGCCCGGCCCAGGGCTGTGACCCGGAGTGTGAAAGTTGCCGGTGAAGCCGTGGGGCCTCCTCCTGTCTGGACCTGGCCCAGCCTGGCTGTCCACAGCACTGCACCTGCTCTTCCATCCCCACCGCCACCCCAGGTGTGGACCAGCTGCCCCGAGTCCTCATTCCCAGCCTTGAGTGCTCAAGTTAAGGGCATCCAGTGCCTTCCCGCTCCGATCTGCTCCTGAATTCGTCCCTGTCATGGGCTAAGTTCGGTTGGGGACACAGAGCACAGGTCCTTGCACCCTGGAGCCACACCCTGTGTGTCCCTCCCTGCGCTGTGGCCCACTGTGTCTGGAAGCCCCCTGCACAGGGGCCCCTAGGGTTTCGCATCTGTGGGGTGCTGACGTGTGAGTTCCTCTACCTGCTTTTTTGCCCAGGAGCCGCACATGATTCTGCCCCTCATCCTCCCATCAAAGTCACGCCGGGCGCTTTCCCCTCAGGACCCTCAGCTTTTGGCACACAGAACTCCTGTGGATGGGTGGGTGCCTGGAGTGGCCTCACTGGGGCCTCCTGTCCCCAGGAGCTGTAGCCGGAGGTGTCACCCCAAGGAGGTGCTGTGTCAGGGGAGTGGTGGACAAGGTCCCACGAGACCCAGCCAGGTGCAGGTTGGACCCCAGCCAGGTTTGGACACTCACCATCACTAGTTTCCGTCACAGTGCTCAGCTCTGGGATGCGTGCAGGAGAGATGAGAAGTGGGTGGACCCGGCCTTGGGACCTCTGGGCGGGGCCTGAGGGGTAAACACACCCGAGTCAGGAGGGGCAAAGGCCTCTTCTGGTGCCAAGCTTTTCCCACAAAACGCTCATGTGTGAAATGTAAAGACTCGAGGGCGAGCATAAGCAGGGAGAGCCAGGCACTGCTGGGCCAGGGGTGCAGTTTTCTCCCACTTGCTGGCCCGCATCTGTGATAGTGGAACCCGCACAGAGCCCAGGACCCTCCATGAAGTTTGCAGAGCACAGCGTGGAATAGCTCGGGTGTCGGGTTGGCACGGTTGTCCACGCAGGGAACCCATGGTGGGGGCTCGGTGGTGACTCTGGAGGTGGTGGAGCCAGAGGAGAGCGCCGGCACGCCTAGCCTGGCTTCCAGAGCCTGTGTGTGTGTGTGTGTGTGTGCAAAGCTTCAGGACGAAGGGTGAGTGCAGAGTCTGACCGCAGGGCTCCTGGGCGGGGAGGGAGCGACTGGGCCTGGGGTCCTGTGGGATTTTGAAGCTCTCTGCAAAATTGGAGGGTTTAGGGTGTTTTCTTCTGTTTTTGCTTGCTAGGGTTGGAGACAGGGCTTCCACTGGAGCTACAGGCCAGGCCCTTTTTTATTCTTTATTTTTGGAGATGAGGTCTCACTAAGTCACTGAATTGCCCACAGGTGAGGCTCGAACTTGTGATCCTCCTGCCTCAGCCTCCCAGAGGAGGCTCCAACTCCTGCCACATGCCTGGCTCACGTCTGTGCTGACAGGGTCTGGAGGCTCTGGGCTGCCTCGCCTTGTGCATAGCCCCACACTGCTGGCTGACCGACAGAGCAGGAACAGGAAGGAGCCAGAGTGCAGCACCCGAGGGCCCAAGGCCTGTCCTCTCAGCTGCCCGTCCAGGGTCTCGGCTCCTCCAGCATTGCAGGTCACCAGGTGTCTGGTTCTACGGGACGTGCTCGCCATCCCAAGACACAGAGCCAGGAGGGTGGCGGGGGGAATCACACTGACCCAGGGCTGTGTTGCCCAGCACCAGGGGGGCCTCGGGGTGCCTCGCTCTCAGCGCCAGCAGCTCCTGCAGGCTCCCGGGGGAGACCCAGGTGACTCTGTCTCCACGGAAGGTCAGGCTGGGCTGCACTGGGCTCTCCGCCATCCTCTGGGAACAAAGGACAGTGTGTGTGTGAATGGGGAGGCTGCAGGCTGTGGCCAGCACCCGGAACAGTGCTCAGAGGCAGGGGTCCGAGCTCTGGGAAGCAGCACCTGGCACGGCCCATCACCTGCAGCATACAGTGCGACCTCCTCCTGGCCCTGAGCTCCAGCCATGCCGTCATTCTACTTGGGCTCGGGCTGGCTGCCCCTCCTCTGTCTGGGGGCTCAAGTTGCCTCTGAGGGGTGGCAGGTGCCACGCTTACTCTGTCCCAAACTGAGTGCCTGCTGTCCTGTCCCTTCCCATGACCTGAATGGAACCCAGGGTTCCCCAAAGCTCTGCTGACCCCACCCCACTATTGGCCTCCTTGAGCTCTTGATTGCATCTGCTGGCAAGTACGTCCGCTCTGCCCACCGAGAGCACCCAGCTCCCCTCACCTGGTGTCCCTCACAAGCCCGTGTCTTGGTGTTAGCTGGGGTCCCTCTCTGCCCCACAATGGCTTCTGTCTCACGCAGGGTAAAAGCTGGGGACACTGAGTTGGGTGACACCTCATGTGCTCTTGGACCCCAGGACTTTTGCACCTGCTGCCTTACCACCCAAGTGCCCTCTGCTGTTCTCTGTGACGGCTGCCTCCCTCCCCAAATGTCCACATGTCACGCTCTGGTCAGAGGCTTCCCTGGCCCGGATATTTAAATACAGCAGCCTGCATCCTATCTCTGCCTTTTCTTTGTCTTCCTGACCAGTCTGCACTTGCTGACACTGTTTCCTGTCTATTGCTCAGCTCATGTCTGTCTATCTGTCCCCAGAGCCTCAGGTCAGCTGGGATGGCAGGAGGGACAGCTAGGGCAGTGAATTCTTCCGTGGACGGGTCACCCAGCTGACTGACAGGAGTGTCCTGGGGAGGTCACCGATGAGCCCAGCTGAGGCCTGGGAGGGGCAGGCAGCAGGGTTCTAAATATCCTTGAGGGGGCAGTGTCCCAGGATGGGCGGCCACGAGGCTCAGCTGCCCTACCCTTCAGCAGTGCCGGGCCCAGCCCCTCTCACCATGAGCTCTGGGGGGAAGATGGGCTCCTGGGTCGGGTCCCAGGGCTGGAACTCCGTTCTGGGGATCAACTCCGAGCACATCTGGGGAGGCAGAGGCGGGGCATCAGCGGGGTAGGCCACTCCCTCCTCAGTGGGCGTTCATTCTGCTGCTGCAAGGTTGGGGCTCCCTCTGTCCCAACTGCACAGGCCAGGCAAGGAGAGGAACCTGGAGCCCCCAGGTTCCCCACGTACAGCTTCTCCCAGCCAGTGCTCCACACTCCAGTCGAGGACACTCACGTGAGCTTGTGGGCCATTGCGCCCCGGAGGGCAGGTGCCATCCCCTGGCTGGTCCAGGCAGCACTGCCGGGCTCCGTGCTGCCCGCAGCTGGCCGAGTCCTGAGGGGAGAAAGCTTGGCTGTCAGTGGGACACAGTCGTCTCCCGGCAGTAACCGCAGTGCCTGCTCTGTTGCCTGGTTACTTTACAGAGCTGCACATGAGTAACAGGAAGTCTTACATTATAGATACTATGTGTTATACGGTGGAAAATGATGTATAACGAACTCTGCAACATGCGTGTATAACATGAATATAACATAAATAAATACAAGACATAAAGTAACAAGATACGGAAGTCTAAAAGAATAAACACCTTGAATGACATGTTTTGAAATTTTGTTGTTTTTCCTCTTTCAAATGGTTTTTTAAAAAAGAATAAACAGTCTCCTCTGCTTTGTTGTAGTCTGACATGGCGCATATTTAGGAATGTACTATATTAATATAGTACAGACTTACACAGTACATGGTATCTGAGCGTTTTTATTACACACGCAGTTTGTATATCCCTGAAGTTTTTAGGTTAATTCCTAGTGGTAAAATCAGTTTATAAATTGTTTATGCTGGACATGGAGGCACACATCTCTAATCCTAGCACTCAGGAAGCCAAGGTGGGGGAGCACCAGGCAGACAAGGCCAGCCTGGACTTCTGGGGCTCCTCGAGGCCCCGTCTGCTTTTGTTTCCTTGGAGGGGTCCGGTGCTGCAGGGTGGACGTCCCTAACTCCAGGGAAGATCCAGACCCGGGATGCTGAGTGGCTCTGTCCCCGAGGGTCCCCACCCCGGCCAGCGGTCCTGCCGTGCTGCCCTGGAGCCACCCCTCCCCACTCACCAGGCAGAAGGTCCTGCCGCTCTCGAGGATTGGCCGGTAGCCGGTGCAGCGACACAGGTTCCCTGGGAAGCAAGGCCCTGTGGTCAGTGTTTCCATGAGAGGTACCCGGGCGGCTGGTGACCGCCAATTGTCCATCAGCGATGGGTGTTGGGACTGAGCTCCAGCCTCGCATGCTGGGTGAGCAGCACCCTGATCTGCACCTCCAGCCCCATGAGTTAGAGGACATCAGAGTGCTTCAGCATCTGCCACGCAGTCCCGTTTCCTCCCTTTCCTTAGGCCACCGCCCTTCCTGCCACCGGTTGCAGGCTGGTTCTCTGTTCCAGAGGAGATGCGTCTAGCGGTGAGCTCACTTCACCATCTCCGCTCACTCCACACCCATCTCTCTATCCCTATTATGTGTCTATCAATCATCTATCACGTATCTATTATGAATTGCCTATGTATGGATTATCTATGTAGTTATGTGTTTATCTTCTTATCTATGCATCATCTATCATCTCTCTATGTACCAGTGTGTCTATGTATTGTTACCAACCAGGTATCTATGTGTCTCTATGTTTTTCTATCACTCATCTGTCTACTCATCCATCCATCAGACGATGTGGGAATGGCACCCCTGGCCTCTCACATGCTAGGTGAGCACTCGCCACGAGGCTGTCCCTGCCCCTGTGCAGCAAGCTGCTCTCAGACGTGAGCCCGGGATTCTGAACAGAACTGGTGGACCAGGTGGCACCGCGCCCGGTGTGTCTGTCCTGCCTGGGGTGTCTGTCCCGCAGTGCTGGCGCTTTCTCCGGGTCAGGTCTGCTAACTGTGCAGAGCCTAGCTCTGCTGCGACCCTGTGGCGTCAGTGTCGGGGCGGCACCAGGACCTGCACGGTCCCCACTCCCCCAACCCGGCTCCCAGGTCGAGGGCAGGGCCAGGGCGGGGCCTGCAGCCCTCGGCTACGCCCACCCGCCAGGGTCTCCGCCCGTCTTTGGCGGCGGGCTGGTTTGGGGGCGGGGCATGCCGCAAGGCCACACCCACCTGCGAGGGTCAGTCTGGGACCCTCGGGGCGGGCCCGGCAGTCCAGGCCACGCCCACCCGCCAGGGTCTCAGCCGGGATGGCGGCGGTGGGCGGGGCCCGGGGCGGGGCCTGCAGCCCGCCACACCCACCTGCGAGGGCCTCCAGCAGCTGCTCCTCCGAGGGCTGCGGGTGGCTGCGGAGCAGGGCGTACAGCGACATCACCATCCCGGGCGTGCAGAAGCCGCACTGCGTGCCGTGGCTCTTGGCGATCCGCTCCTGCGGCAGAGCGCAAGGTCAGGGAGGGCCCGTTAGGGCCTGGGGGCCCTCGTCGCGATGGAGCCCGGCGCCCCTCCGGTCGGAGCCTCGCGCCGCTTCCTGAATCCCTGTGCGGGGGACCTGACTCGGAGACGCGGGCTTCGCCCCGCATCCAGCTGAGCTGCACTTCGACCCCCCCCCCCCAGCCTCCAGGATGGGCTTGGACTTGGGCCGTGTGCACCCGCCGCCTCAGGTGGCAGCTTCACTCGCAAAGGCCTGGTTATTTAAAGCGCACCCCCTGGCCAGCAGTGGCTCACGCTTCCCTCCAAACTTCCCGACCGGAATCTGCATTTTTCGGCTCCCAGGGGCTCTTGGGAACAGCAGCGCCTGGAGTGCCTGGTTCCAGGCTTCAGGGTGCGGTGCAGTCCCGGATTCAGGATTCAGTCCCAGCCTTGCCTCGTGAGTTCAGCTTCTCTTCCCGGGTGCCCCGGCTGGTCCTTCACCTCTATGGAGGGCCCCTCTCTGAATCTCAGGGTGAGGCCCTTGCGGGAAGGCTCAGTCCAGTACTCCCCACGCCCCATGGCAGTGACAGGAGCCCCCTGTACTTGAGGTTGGGGTGAGGGAGGTGACTCCCACATCCGCAGTTACTGTCAGACTCCGATTGTCCCCTTTGGTTTCACTCCGGGGCCTCTGCCGCAGGAGGACCCCGAGTTTTATCCTGCTAACCCAGGGCTGCTTTGTCCTCTGTCTTCTGCTGCATGTGACACCTCTCCCACCGCACAGGCCAAGGATGTGTATCTTGGTGACCCTGCTGACCTCGCAGGTGTAACACATGCCGAGAAGACATCACCCCATAGAGGGCTGGGTCCAGCATCCTTCTGAGTCCCTGGGCTGAAGCAGTCCCTGACCAGGCACCCAGGCTTCCTGGACCAGAGATGGCCTGGAGGCTCAGGTGGTGGGAAGTGGGGAGCAGATTCCACTCACCTGCACGGGGTGGACCCTGGTTCTGATGCTGCCCACGCCTTCCACAGTGGTGACAGCCGCCCCGTGCAGAGAGCAGAGGGGCACCAGGCATGCAGTGACGGCGATGTGTCTGTGTGGGAGACACGGGGGACCAGGGGAGTGACCTCTGGGGGTCTGGAAATAGGGAGGGGGCACCCTGAGGGCAGCTGGGGAGTCCTGACTTCAGAAAAGCTTTCAAAGCCCATTGCAGACCCCTGGGCAACAGTGACCCCTTGTAATTAGGGCAGCACTTGTTCGTAGTTTTGGGGATTTCGAGGGCTGCTCCTGCAGGGAGCTGGGCTGGTGCTACCTCGGCTTCCTGGAGGCCAGGTCGAACCGGGACAGCATCACAGTGCAGGTGCCGCAGCTGCCTCCCCCGCAGGCCGACTTGGTTCCTGTGAGGCCGACTGGGGGGCTGGTCAAGGAAAGGACCTCGCTGCCCTGTGACCCGGGGGGTGGTGGTCTAAGGCCCTCGCTGTCTCCTGGGCATGTAGGGGGTTAGGGGACTGAGGCCCTCTGTGGCGGTGAGGAGGGGCCCAGGTGCCCCTCTGGCCCAGCCTCTTGCTTCAGCAGCTCTGGTGTTGCCCTGAACAATGTGGCCATGTGTCCCTGGAGGTCTCTGTGGTCCTGTTTCAGAGCCTGCTTGGCCCCCCACCCCCACTCTGGCTGTGAGGACTGGAACGCAGGCTCTGCCTTGATGCTTGCTTGGTGCATCCTTCTCTCTGAGAGAGACGTGTCCACAGTGTGCTGGCTGGTTGTGCCTGACTGGGGCCACTGGGACAGGCTCATGACCAGGCTCGGCCGTCTGAGTGGTGGAGGCAGAGTCTGAAAGCCACTGGGGAGGTGACCAACAAGTGACTGGAAAGCCCGCACCAGGCAGTGGGCAGCAAGGTGTCAGGATGCCCCAGCCTAGAACCCACCACTTCCCTGTTTGTCATGAGAACTGTGGAGGGAATCTTAGTTCTTTTAAATGTGAAAGCCTCTAATTTTCAAGTGTTGACAACTAATTAGGAACCACCAACAGAACTTTGTGGGAGTGGGTGGGGAATGGGTGGGGGGCCATGCAGGTGTAACTGTCCTTGAGGGAGGATTAGTCCCTCTCATGCTGAGTCACACCTGAGCCGCTTGGGGAGCCCTCTTTCCCTCAGGCCAGCCTGCAACCCGACACCCATAATCCCACAGGAGCCACAGGAGCCAGGGCCAGGGTGCTGGCTGTAGGTGGGTAAGGCTTTGCCAGGACTTGGCTGAAAGGGTCCGGTTCCTTCGCAGGTAGGTCAGCAGGGTCACTTCTGGGTCCACATCCCGCTCTGTCACCTGTGTTAGGAACAGGGAGGTTGTCAGACAGGGACAGGTGGGGTGTGATCAGGGGCTGGCCTAGACTGGACCTGGCTTTCTGCTCCCTGTCTGTGCTGGGTGGGGGTGGGGATGGAGCCCTGAGGTGCACACATGTGTGACGAGAGGGCTCTCCACGTGCTATGGTCCGGGCGAATTTCCTGCTCCATCTCCTGTGCTCCCCCAGACCTCACATGGGGGTGGGCCTTGGCATGTGCCTTTGCGTGTGTGCACGTGTGTGCACGTGTGTGTGTGTGTGTGTAACCGAGGGCCCTGGAGGGTGCAAGGCTGAAGAAGTCGGAGTGTCTCTGAGATACTCTGGGGAGCAGCTTTGGTGACATCCAGGGCGTCAGCGTTCATGGCAGAAAAGGGAGAATAGCCATTGCCCCAGCAGCCTCCTCGGGGCCCCAGGAGATCAGGTGTCACAGGTTCCACACCCTACAGCAGGAGAATGAGCAGGAGGCTGGAGCAGAGAGTGACAGTGGCTTGGAAGGAGACTGGGCAGGAGGCCATGGGCAGGCGGTGGCCGGGAGGCCTCCTGGGTCTGCCGTGGGGGTGGGGTCACCAGGCAGGACCGGCGCAGGGAGGGGAGTGGGAGAGTGGCCGGTCCCCAAGGTTGTGTGGCCAGTAGCAAATGTGGGCTTCCAAGTGCCTGTGTCGGTGGCCAGGAGGGAATACAAGTCCCCCTAGAGCTAGCCCCCACGGGAAGAGGACCAGGCCAGCCGTAACTGCCTCAGCCATTCCTGAGGATGGGGACTTCACCGGAAATGAGGACGGCAAAGGGAAAGACTCTGAAGGCTGCATTTGTGTGCTCCTGGGTTCCAGGGTCAGACAGGCTCGGGGCCTGGGGCCGCCCGCCCTGTGAGCATCCACTGTCACCTGTGGTTTCCATGCAGTCCCCTCAGCTGCAGGGAACCAGAGAATGGACCGGAGAGGTCTCAGGGCACTGGGTTTGCACAGCGCTTACCTTCCTCCCATTCACGAAGAACACCAGCACGTCGGAGCCTGGAGGGTGAGGCATGGCTGGGGAGCAGGTGCCTGGCAGCTGAGGACAGTGGTGGGCCGGATCGAGGCTCGCTCTGGGAAGGGCTGGAGGAGCCGGTGGCGGAGCAGGCTGGGGTGGCAATGCCCAGCTCCTAGCTTTTAAGCTGGGGCCCAGCCCAGCCTCATGTCCCACCCACTTTGGCCCAAGCTGACTGGGCGCAGCTGTATCTCCTCAGGTTCCTGGTAGCTGGAGGGGACAGTGTGGAAACCCAGGTGATGGTGGACCTCACGCGGCAGTCTTGCCCCTGTCCTGCACGCTTTCCTGCTAGGGTCACTGCCGGGAGCCCCCAGGGCAGCTCGGGTCCCTGCAGCAGTGGGGGAGGGTGGGGCAAGCCCCTCTCAAGAGCAGTGCCCAGTGCACTCAGCCGGTGGATCCTCAGGCCTGCGGGGACCTGGTCCACATGGGGCAACACTGCCTTGTCGTGGAATTCGTGACCCCTCTGTGCCCCGAGCTCAGCGAGCCTGGGCCCCTGCTGGGACGAAGTCTTCTTGGCCCTGGTTCTGCTGCTAGATTAGGAGGGGATGGCTGGGGGTCCTCTGAGGGATTTCTCCATCCCGCCGCCCAGCGGCTTGGCCACCCTCCCCCTCAGGGTCCTGGGAACACTGGTGCCGGTGGCACTGGAGTCGATCTCTTCACGACTGCAGTGCCTGGGTCCTTGTGGGTCTCTGAGTCCTCCCAGGGGTGTGCTTGGTGTTTGAGTATGCGTGTTTCACATGTGCTAAGGAGGTGTGGAGCTGGGTGTGGTGGTACATGCCTGTAATCCCAGCAGTCAGGAGCCTGATGCAGGAGGACCATAGTGCAGCCGTAGACAATTTAGAGAGACCTTGTCTCAGAGTAAAACAGAAAGGAGAATGGGAAGGGCTCGGCCCCAGGGTCACAAAACAAAAGCAAAACCCCAGGAGCAGTGGCGGGCCGGAGGGAGCTGCGGTGCACTCTGGGCACACAGCCGCCCGGGCTCCTTCCTGCTCCAACCTCACTGTTCTCCTCCTGTCCCTTGGCCTGGCCTCAGGGTCTCCAGCACTGCGCACCCCAGGCTGCCCCACTCTGATGGGACCTGGGCTCTGCAGAGTGTGTTCCCGGCCTAGCCACGGTGCCCAGTGCCAGGCAACCTCTGCTGCCCTCTCCTTGACCGTGGTGAGCCTGGGCCCCATGGTAGGACTCTTGGGTGTCACCTGTGCTGCTTCCTGCTGTGGGCTCAGCACGCATTTGCACCTCGAGGTTGTGGCCATGCCTGACTCACATCCCCGAGCTGTGGCCCTAATCTAGCAGCAGAACCCACTGCACTCCTTGCAGGAGCTGGAAAGGAGACTCTGATAAGGATGGGGCTCGTTTCCTGGAGGCAGTGGCTGCGCTCGGGTGGGGAAGGCAGGGACAGCTTGGAAAATAGCCACGGGCATTGTTTCTCAAGGTCATGGTTTCCTTTGGCAGCTGGCATTCCCTAAAGGTTTCTGCCTTGCAGAGGAATTAGCCATGTTTGGGGACGAAGATGGGGTGGCACCTGGGGAAGACGTGTGGGCTGGAGGGTGAGTGCCAGGGACACGAGGAGGAGCGGGGTCCCAGCCCTACTGTGGTCACTTCTGCTTATGGGAAATCAGCTGGAGCTGTGTGCAGTCCACCACCTGTCCCCTTCCCCTGCTCCCTGGAGCACAGTGGCTCGGGTGTCTCAAATGGAGCCGGATAAACAGTGCAGGTGGGAAGAGGGCAGTGATGCAGAAAACAGCTCGAGCTAGTGCCTGACCACAGCGCTGGAGCTGGACGGTGCACAGCTACTTGGATTAGGGGCCCAGTGACCGCAGTGGCAGCCCTGAACCGGTCGGAGCAGGAAGTCCTCCTCTGAACGTGGTGTAAACAGAGAGCAGGTGGCCCGGTCAGCTGGGGATGGGGAGGGCGGGAAGCGGTTCCTGCCGTGGAGAGAAGCCGTGACTTCTCTCCATTTTTCTTTAATGAAAAGTAGAGAAAAAGTCCTTCCACTGTCTTCCTGGCCTCCAGCCCCCCGGAACCCCTCAGACGCCTCCATCTTTGTCCCCAGCGAGGCCGAGTTCTCTGTACTGTTCCATGTGGTGGTCCAAGTGCGGCTGAATGGTTATGCAATAGGTGGGTGTCACACCTGTGTCCCTGGCAGCCACGGTGAGCAGTGCCAGAGGCCGCTCAGTCCTCTGTGAGTGACTGAGCCTGGGGAAACCCGAACCCCATGCTGCCTGCACACCCTTGGGACTGCAAAGGCCTGGCAGGCGCTTTGGTCTGCTGGGGTCTTTGGACCCCAGGGTGGGACAGGGATGGCAGGTGGGGGCTCTGTGTGATTCCTGAACACCCTGGGGTTCTGGGCCATGGGGTCACTCTCTTCCTCCCTGCCCCACATCAGCCTTTCCTCCAGGCCTGGGTCTGCAGAAGGGGGTTCTGACACCGGTACTCTGGAGACCAGGGATCTGGCATACCAGGAGACTTTGGTCCCTGGTGGGTGTTATTACTGGGCATCTGCTGGCCCGATGGCTGCACTCCTCTTGCCTGGCCAGGGAGTATGAAGAGGCTGGAGGGTCTTCCCCTAAGCTTCCTGCTCCTATGCCCTGGGGACAAGGTTGTAGATCAGGTCACTCAGCCAGGATTTAAACTGGCATCACTCACAGAGGGTGGGGATCACTCACCAGTGTCCCGCTCTCCCCTGGGGTTGGGCCTTTGCAGGTTGATGGGGTTAAGGTGAAATTCTGGGGTCATCTGAAGAGAGGAGCTCAAGGGACAGCAGAGGGCATGGCAGCGGGAGCTGGGACAAGTGCCGAGGCCTGCACAAGCCCAGCGCGCCCGAGTCAGCAAGCCAGAGGACACAGGCAGACTCTGCTCAGGGCTGCTGGGAGTGGGCGTCTCCCTCCGTGGGCTTGTGACTCAGGCCTCGAGGGAGAGAAGATGCTGCTGGCCATGCGGCCCTGGGAACCGAGGACGAGGCCAGTAAGGAAGTGTGGCGGGACAGTGTCTGCCTCAGCTGAGCACGAGGGCGTTACACTGTACCCAAAGGAAGCACTGTGCAGAGACAGACAGACACTGGAGAGCAGGCGAGGACAGACAGGCCGGCGCCCAGGGAGACGTGAACACCGGCATTGCAGGACTAAGTACAGGGAGCCGTGAAGCTTGAGGACCGAGAAGCTGAGCCGCAGGTGGCACTGAGCGGGGCGCTCTGAGATGGACACTGTCCTCAGCCCCTGGCCGGGAGTGAAGCACACCCAGCCGATGGCACCTGACACTACCCCTGGCTCCAAGGGCAAGGGCAGCCTCTCCAAGGTCAGAGGCCGGGAGAGCAAGTGTTTACGGCTCAGCAGCTGGTCTCTCAGCCAAAGCAGATGCCAGAGGGCGCGGCCAGGAGTCGAGGGGCTGAGGGCATGGTGGGCGGCCAGACAGCGGCGGAGGGGATCAGGAGTCCTCCCAGGCGGGAGGAGTGAAGGACAGGATCCCCGGGTGGGCGCTTGGTAATCTCAGGCTCCCAGGTGCCAGCTGGTCACTTCTGGGCTTTGGGGGAGGGCAGCTGATGGTGGGGGAAACAGCAGAGGAGAAGTGTGTGTGTGTGTGTGTGTGTGTGTGTGTGTGTGTGTGTGTGTATGTTTGTGCAGGTAAATGCAGATGGATAAGGAAAAGTACCGATGAACTTCCAGATAGAGCAGCAAAAATAATCAAACGGGAGACAGCACAGTAAAAGATATACTGCAGTACACATGGCATACTTATTATGTATTAGGTGGCAGATCAGATCAGAAAACCCTAACCATGGGGCTGGGGATTTAGCTCAGCGGCATAAGCATCTGCCTTGCAAGCAGGCGGTCGTGAGTTCAAACCCCAGTACCGATTAAAAAAAAAAAAAAAAAGAAAACCCTCAACGTAGATATCTACTGTTACAGGGAGGAGCAGCCCACAGAGCTAACACCCAGTGAGGCTGCCCACTGTGGAAGAGCACTTTTGGATGAAGACCCAGAAGTGCATGGATTTATAGATGAATTTTGTGTAATCATTAGAATAATGGCAATATTATTTAAATTCTCTCTGACATATGTAAGTAGAAATTCTGCTCAATTCATCTTATAAATCTAATAAAAACCTTAATACCAAACCTAATATCAATAGAAAAAAATTGTCAGTGAGTTCCATTTGTGAATATAAATGCAAAGATTCTAAGTAAAATAATAGCAAAATAGAATCCAGCAGTGTTTCATGGGATGATATACCAAGCAAGGATTGTTTCTGACCCAGCGAGTTTTTGGTCCTCTGCCTCAAGAGACACAAAAGACAAAACAGAGAAAGAAAAAAAAGAGGCCTTTATTGTGGGCACAGGAGAGCTGCTGAAGAGACGCAAGCACCCACTGAAGGGAACAAAGAAAAACTTAGGGCTTTGTTTGGAATTGGGTGGAGTTGAAGGGGTGGCGGAATGACGTATTGACAGCTGATTGGGGGCAGGAAGTTCAGCTTTGGGATTTTCGAGAAGAATGGGGGATCAGTGCTGAAGGGAGGTGCTGTCTGGTGCCATGGTGATTCGCACTTGGGAAAAGCACGTCAGGAGGGTAGTTCAGTACCAGAAACGCTCTCATCATAAAATCTAACTCTGTGTATTGAATGATGGTTTGTGTCTACGTCCCGCCAAGGCCCCATTCAGTCATGGAGCAGCGGAGTCTGGCCTTTGTGACTGGTTTGTGGTCTAGCGCTGGGCTTGGTGGTGTGAGCGCTGCCCCTGCCCAAGGGTGGGGAACCAGCACACGACATAGGGGAGGGAAGGAGGCCAGATTCTCCTCTTTTGCCCTTTCACTCTTGTTGCTTGTGGCCGCCATGAAGGCTCCCCTCAACCACACCACCCTGTCTTGGAGCCAGCTGAGTGTGGACTGAAACCTCCAAAAACTGTGAGCTAAATATACCTTCCCCTCCTTCATTTTGGGTGCCAGGTATTTTGTCTCAGCAATGAGGGAAAAATAACTGAGACATGGCATTAAAAAATAAAGAAGGTAATACTCTGGTTTTTCTTCAGATCAAATAAATCTTTCGCCTTTTACTAAAAAAAAAAAAAAATAGAGAAGGCAAACTGATCAAATCAACGAGTGATTGGACAATCCACTCAGCAGCCAGTCCCTAAAATATGAAGGTCAAAGAACATAGGAAGGAACTCGTGACATAAGACTACTTAGGAAAACCAAGAACAGAATTACCTTAGACAAAGTGAAAGAGACTTTGGCCAGGTGTGCTGCTGCACACCTGGGATCCCAGTGCTCAAGAGGCTGAGGCAGGAGGATCGGTGTGAGTCAGGCCAGAGTAGGCCACATAGTGAGTTCAAGGCCAGCCCAAACTGCATCATGAAACTCTGCCTCAACAGAAAACAAAAGAGACTTTGCTTAAAATTTGCTACCCTTTCTGTATTGTTCTGTAACATTGCCGAGGAGATTGTAACAGATGTAGTAAAATAATTAAAAAGTGAGAAAATGGATTATTATAAACATTGGTGGAGAAGGAAACAATCTAGTGATCGATGTGGCAGAAATATTGAAAAATCAATAGTTGTTGCTGTTATCTCAATAGGTAGACAGAAATGGAAGTGGAAAAATTTCCACTCACAGTAGTTCAAAAACACATTCAAGCCCCGTCCTGCCCTCTGCTCATGGAACAAAATCCAGGCAAACAGAAGTCACCACGTGTCCCCAGAAGAGGGGTGCGGCTGCCGCACCCGACTCCTCACCCGGGTCAGGCTGCATCCTGCAGCCTGGTCTCAGCTCAGATGTGACAGGCGACCGTTGAGGTTCCGGATGGGGTGGCCTGTGGCGGGTGGACGCTCTGCATCAGTTTCTGGTCTGTCGCTGGCCTCCTACTTAATTATCATCTGAGTCTCATGGTGCCAGGGCTGTAACCCAGCCCTTGTGACCCTCTGTGTGTTGGCTTTCTAAGTTCTTCCCTGCCACTGGAAGAACTTTCTAAGTTCTGCCATGGTTGTTGGGGCCCATTTATGGTGTGAAGGCACCCTTACAGGAGAGCAAACTTACAGGCATTGCATAGTAAAGCTGGCCATCAGAGGCGTGGAACCATGCCCCTGCCTGTCCCTGGAGCTGGCCTGTCAGCTTCAGTCGGACCATCCGGGTCCAGCTGCTTTTCTTCTGGTGCTGCGCTGGACCAATTTGACTATTCTCAGCTATGTTTCTCTTAAGAAAATATACTGCTTCTAGCTGGCTTCAAGGATTTTGGTCGAAGTAACCCAGTCAAGGCTACTTCATCTCTGCCTGCTTGGCTTGACCCCTCCCCTCGTCCCCGGGATGCTCTTGTTAAGATAAACAATTCCTTTTAAGCAAATGTGTTTAGAGTTTGTCCACCTGACAGTATGTGACTTAATTCCGTCCATGTAACCAATTGTGCAATGCCTCGTACTTCCTGCTTGCAGACTGCATTTAAACTGAACCCAAAACTGCCTCGGTGCTGATGATTTGGAACTGAGGTTCCGCTAGCGTAATAAACAATGGTGTTGTAACTGCTCCTGCAAACTCTTCCATTCGGTTTGATATTGGCTCTTCTGTAACACAGTGAGAGTGTGTGGGTTAGGATGCAGAATATTGGGTGAATTTAAACACACGTACCCGCCCATCGTGTGCCGAGGCAGACCCCGGCTGCTGCGACTGGTCTGTGGAAGGACCCATGTTTTCTCCGCCAGCCTTCCCTTCTAATCTGCTCTGGTCTCACAGCAGAACAGGTGTTGCACGGATCCTCCCTGCACAATGTGTATGTGTGCAGGTCACAGCCTGCAGTCCTCGCCAGGACTCCCCAGCCACTGCTGTGAGACTGCAGAAGCGACAGTGCGGCAGGAGAGGACCACGTAGGACCTGAGGACTCCATGCCACTTTGAGGGCCAAGGGAAGAAGGCCTGGCTTCCCCTTCAGCTGTGAGCCAAGGCACACCCGGCTGAGAGGATGTGAGGTCCCCTCTGGCTCCGAGGCAGGGGCTGTGGAGTATGGGACCAGCGGGGGCAGCTGGACGCAGCCTGGGCCTGGTGCTTTGTGCAGACAGGAGGTTTACCTGGTGCACAGTCTGACCCCCAGGCGAGGCTGTGTTGTGTTGCTGAGTGCTGGCAGCATCAAGCAACAACAGGCATGTGGCAGGGGGCACAGAGCCCGGGGAAGCAGGGATGAGGGGCTACCGGGCCGCTCGGGGACTCTGGAGTGCACCTCGCAGTCCTGGGCAAGCCTTGATCCGTTCCTTGGGATCCATTGCCCAGTGACCTCAGGAGCCCTGCCTGGGGACCACACGATGTTCCTGCCCAAAGCCCTGGAGGATAGGCCCTGGTAGCCAAGCCTCAGCCCAGGTTGGGCGTGTGGTGGTGTAGACAGGGCAGCACGCTTCTCCCTTACCTGGGGCCTCTCCCGTGCCAGAGCATTTACATCATGGGGCTCGTAGACACTGTGGATTGAGGTTTTATTACCAGCTCACTACAGCTTTGGGGGGATTTGCAGTAACCATAATCACAAAAGATGATTAAAACTGCTGGAATCTTCCTTGCCAAGGGAATCAACACATCTACTCTGGTTTGAGAGTTGGAAGTCAACCTTGTGTCTTCATTTTCAGAAACAGGATTAAGACACGCAGATGGACCAAGGGGTGAATGTGGAGGGGTCGTCCCTGGGAATCTGGAAGAGATCAAGGGTAGGAGGGTGGTCATCGAGACATGTTACCGTGCGAGAAATGTTACAGTTCACAGCCAAATCAGGCTTTTAGAGAAAAACAAGCTGATGGCATTTCACTCTTGTCAGACTTGCGTGGCTTTCATTCGTTCCCCTTTAGTTACAAATCTCTCTGCAAGTGAACCTTTGCTCCTTTGGGCTTTGGAGCTGGAGGCCAAGCGGGGAGGAGGCCGAATGAGCTTCACCCGAGGCGACCAGGGCTGGAGTGAGCCATAATCACACTGTTGCCCGAGCTGGCCAGGAGCCGCTCGCAGAGGGGCATCTTCTGTGTGAGGCTGTCTTTGGCCTGCTATTTCCATTTAAGTTATCACTGTCAGTATACTAACGAGACTTTTTGGTTAGCGTGATTAACCAGATTAGATGTGTGGTAGACGTGATTTGGTTATGAGGTCATCAGAATGGCATGTGAAGCTGCCGAGTGATGTGCCCTTGGAATCCCAGTACTTGGGAGGCTGAGGCAGGAGGACTTCTGCAAGTTCCAGGCCAGCCTGGACTACGTAGTGAGACCCTGTCTCAAATAACCAAAACAAAGATGAGAAACCCCCCACGGTCTGTCAACTACGTTTTCTTAAAATGCTGGAGGAAGCAGCTTTCCACATCTGCTTGCCAGCAGTCCTCTCAGCATGATTTCTCCGGGGTCCGAAATCGTGGAACCCCTTGTGGGATGGGGATGGGGAGGTTCCCTTGCTTCTCGGGGCTCATGGGAGGCTGGGGGGCAGGCTCAGGGGAACCTTACCATGTCAGTGAACTGATCCACACAGGCCATGCGGATCCACTCGGGGGTGGCTGGGCTGCGCACGGCCAAGGTCTCAGGGACACTCTCGGCCCCCTTCCTCTCTTTGCGGGCAGCGGCCACCGCGTCCCAGATGGCAGATATCACCGAGGAGCCCAGGAACATCCCTGCCTCGCCCAGTCCCTGGCAGACACATGGGCCAGAGATACAAGGTTGATGGGGAAACACACACTCAGGTACACTCACAGGAAAGGGCATTGGCACAACTGCTCTCATACACAGAAATACACAGATACACTGATGTAGCCCTCACACAGATACACCCACCCACGGGTGCTCTCACACTCACACAGACACACACTGTCTCCTCCGGCTCCGTCACCCTGAGTGGCTGAGCTGAGTCCCCCTGCAGAGAACCCCACGCCCTAGTCCTTGCAGCCCTTGGGCTGTCGCCACCTCCCATGGGGCCTGGCTGGGGAAGAGGAGGCAGCAATGTTGCTCCCGGTGGCCTGGGCCTTGGTGACGGAGGCCTCAGCTCATCCTCTCCCTGCCTCTCGTCTCGTGAGGGGTGAGGACCTGCAGGGGCTCCTGGTCAGGGGTTTCGGGCGCAAACCCGCCTTCCTTTCCCTTCTCCTCTGGGGTCTGCAGCTGGAGGAAGCCGGCGCCCGGCGCCTCCAGGACTCCTGTGCAGAGTGCTGATCTGTGGCACCTCCCAGAGCAACTGTGCGGTGGGGTCTTATGTACAGAGGCCACCCTGTGACAGGGGTCACCTGGGACATGGAGTCGGCATGGCTGGTGGATCCACAGAGAACAGGGCACCCCAGGAGCCGGGGAAGGTACGGCTGCCTGTGTGCCTGCCCAGGAGGCCTCAGGAGCCCAGCACTGCTGGTCACCGTCTGGACTCCCGGATTCTGGGAGCTGAGCACTGAGTCCACGTTGCTCCAGCTGCCCTGCCTGTGCTTGGTACTACTGCAGCTGACTGCAGTTCAGGCTTCAAAGGGAGCCCAGGGCCACGGGGTGTGGAAGGGGCCTGGCCTGGGGTGGTGTAGGTGCCAGCTGTCAGCTGGGGCTTGGCTGGAGCGTCACTTGGCATGGCCTGGAGTGTCCATCTCCCTCCAGGCTGCCCCTTCTGGCCCTGCTGCCGCCAGGTGGGGTTTGCCGTCCTCCGCCAGGTCCGTCTGCCTGCCCCTCCTTGGATCCGACGGGCACACAAGGACTGGAATTCTAAAACCTGAGTTGACAGACCTCTCGGATGGACCTTTAGGGTTGCAGGGATTTTGTTCCAGCAGCAACAAAAGTGGCTGAGACATAGCCCTGGACATGGATGAGGACGCCCATGCTTACCTTGGAGGAATAGATGGCCACGGGGTTTCGGGAGTGCACGAGGGTGACGTGGAACTCTTCTGGTATCTCCGTGACTGTGGGGATCTTATAGTCATTCGTGCCCTGAGAACGCAGTTTTCCTTTCGGGGAGTATTTCAGTTCTTCCGTGGTGTACAGCCCCATTCCCTGGACAAAGGCCCCCTCGATCTGCAACAGACAGGTTGCTATTCCAGGCATGCGCCACCCCCAGTTTATTTCCAGACCACTGCGCGGCAGTCCCGGGAGAGGCCCTCTGAAGAGGTGTCTGCCTGGACTTCACAAACGTGGGAAGGGAATCCCTGCTTAGTTTATTGCGACTTCAAGTGTCAGAATAAAGTAAGCAAATTTAAGTGTTAACTTAGAAAATGACAGCACTTGTCCCTAAAGGAAAAGCTCTCGGGCCAGGGATTCAGTCTGACATCACTGGTTCCCTTCCTCTTCTGATGGAGTTTTTGGGGAGAGTGGGGAGGGTTCTCTTGGTCCTGGTGCGCTGCCTTGCTCATCAGCGAGGGAGAGGCAGGGTCAGCCAGGAGTGGCGGGGAGGTGGGAGGTGAGCCTGGGCTGACGCCACTCTCGGCCTTATGGATTTAGGGTCCATTTGAGGTGGACTCCAAGTCCCATCCAGCAGGGCTGTGACGGTGTGGATCTAGGCCTGGGGCACGCAGGGACCCCCACCTCGGGGAGATCGAGGTCTGTGGCTCAAGAGACAGTGACACAGTTGGTTGGATGAGGACTGGTCAGGGTAGGATGAAGCTGATCCCTCTGGGGACAGGTGGGTACAGGAGGGAGGTGACTGCCAGGCAGAAGCCACTGTCTGCTGGGGTACGCCAGTACAGCCTTTTGAGCTCCAGATTGCTGGTCGAGGACTAGGGACCCTGTCTCAGCCCTGGACCCCATCCCTGCCAGCTGGCAGGTGTGGGGTGGACCAGGCCTTGTGCTGAGAAGGCCAGAAAAAGGCAGAGCGGCCTCGCAAATGGGATGGGCTTAACTCTAAATTAGGGTACAACTGCAAGGAGTTAATTTCTACAGCCTCCAGGATTGCGTGCACTTGTGTACGTGTGCATGTGTGCGCACGCATGTGTAATAGGTGCTGGTGTGAACACCTGGGTGCCTGGCTGCCCAGCGGCACTGACTGGGTCCCAGGGAGGGAAGGTTCTGGAATCACCCACCTGCCCAATGTCCACCGCGGGATTGATGCTGAAGGCGGCGTCCATGAAGATGTCTGCCCTCAGGAGCTGCGTGAAGAGGAGGCAGGGTCACTGGCCAGGACCAGCTGTGAGAGGCCTTGGGTGCGCGATGGGGTCACACGCGGACGCTGCACCTTGTGTGCTCCCGAGAGGCAGTCGACATCCACCTCGGCGCAGGCCGCTCCATACACGTAGTAGGGGAACGCGTCCCCGCGCTCCTTGTCCCAGTCCATGTTGGTCTGGAAGCCTCTGCAGAGACAGGGTGAAGGTGGGGCCCCCCGCTGTTGCTTGTGTGCCCTGACCACCAGGTGGGGACTCATGGTGGAGCTGAAGGCAGTGTCTCCATGAGGGTTCACCCCTGCTGTGCCCCTCGTCCTTGCCAGCCCAGACCCTTGGATGCGGGACCCTGCCCACATCTTCCCTGCCCAGGTACAACAGCGTCATGTGAGCGGATTCACCTGAAATATCCGGTGGCCGAGAGGCTGATGGATTCCTCGAAAGCCTTTTTGATCTGAAAGAGATAATTTGTTACCAGGAAACCGGAGTTTCGGGAAGGCAGAGACTGTCTCTGCGCGGCTGTAGCTGGCACCTGCATCGGCCTCCTGGGAGCTGGACGCTGTGGGGACACTGGGCTGAGAGGGCTCGTGGTGGCTGCTAGCCGAGCCATGAACAACTGCTGCTTTTCACATCTCTTGGCTCCTAACACGGGGGTGGGGAACTCACACTTGTGTGCACTGAGCGTGTGGGTGGGATGGACACTGGAAAGGTAGATGAGGAAAAAGTCACGCCTGGGAGGGCACACAGATGTCACTGCCTGTCTTGGTGCAGGATGTGAGAGCGGACGCAGGGCTGGGCAGTGATGATGATGATGATGATGAAGAGGAGGAGCATGGTGGTGGCGACTGCCACACTGACTGTGAAAATCAGCGTGGCCTCTGGTCTGGGCTGCTGTCACCCCTGGCACGGCTGGCCTGGTCCCTGCCCTGGGAGCAGCCCTCGGGGCCTCTGCCCGCAGATGCCTCCTCTGCCCTTTGGAAAGGCGTGGAAACGCTCATCCCCCGGCCCGGCCCCGGGGGACACTCACCCACTCCTCCCACTTCCCTTTAGGGTTCCTCCTGATGACAGGCTGAAGACGGGCCATGAGGGTTTGGCAGGCATTCTGGAAATGAATATTTGAAATGACATCAGAAATAAAAGGGGGTTGGGGATTTAGCTCAGTGGTGTAAGCGCCTGCCTGGTAAGTGCAAGGTCAAGGGTTCGATCCCCCATACCAAAAAAAAAGGAAAAGAAATAAAGGGCACAGGGAGTAGGGGGTCTTTTCCTGTACTGCAGCTGAATTTGAGGCGCTGTACCACAGAGCTGCATCCCCAGCCCCGTTACTCAGGGTGGCCTTAAACTTGCAACCCTCCTGCCTCAGTTTCCTGACTTGCTGGGACTGGAGGTGTACACTGCCAGGCCCACCTGAAAATGGCACCATTCCTATGTGCATTCACCAGCTGTCCACACCAGCACCCTTCATCCCTCCCCGCCTCCTGCGTCCCCGGCCTCCACAGGCCGCAGAGCCCTTGCCCAGTCAGAGGTGTCTATGAGGAAGGGGTCACGAGGACACCAGCAAGTGTGACCTTGCGCAGTCTCCTCAGACTCAGTGGTCTGAACTCCCGGGAAGCTGGGTGGTGGGAAGCAGCGGGGGAGGGAGAAGCCGCCAGACCTTGAGGGGATGGAAGTGGACTTTTTGTCTGACCCACGTCCCCTCCCAGTCCTGTGATGTGGGTGGGGCTGTGTCGCTGGTTTTGCAGAAGGGGGCAGATTCCTGGGGAGGGTGGTCACCTGGCCCAGGCTCACTGCAGGACTAAGCTGGGACACCCTGCACTGCTGGAGCGTGTGGAACAAGGACAGGATTCTCTTCCTGACATAAGGGGATGCCAGAGGGACAGCTTTTGCGCTTCCCCCATGGGGCGGGGCAGGACAGAGCTGGTTGACTGGGACCACCTGGGTTGGAGGCCCACACCAGCCCTCCCTGGGTCTCCACCTTTCTGAGCGTTGAGAGGCGGGAGTGTTACCTGCACGGCCTTCCCGTTGATGTCTGTGCCCATGGAGCCCGCGGTGAAGACGGCATTGGGCACCGTCACGGTGCTGGTTTCAGAGAGGTGGATGTAGGATGTGGGGATGCCCAGCTCCCGGCTGGCCACCTGCCGGGTAACGGAGTGACTGTCAGCCACAAGCCCCTGCTGAGTGAGGACCTCCTGTTCTCCAAGGAATTGAGTATGAAGCTCGACTGTCCTGACATGCAGGCAGCACTGTGGAAGACCTGCCTCTTCCCCATGTGTGTGTGTGTGTGTGTGTGTGTGTGTGTGTGTGTGTGTGTGGTCTCCCCACCCCCACCCCACCCCTGCCTGCTATTGCCAGGGGCGCTGCGGGCAGCGTGGCTGCCTTGGGACCCGGGCTCTGCTTTATGTTTATCTTCATCTTGTTTTCCAGTGACTTAGCTGGGCATTTCTCCTTCATGGGGTTTGGTTGTAAAGAGTCACGATATATTTAGAAAGGCCCTGTGGATTTTTGATTTCCTAATTCCAAGAACTCTATTATTAAATAATATTCCTTCCACAAAGAATCTTCTATTTCTGATTGAGAGAGAGGCTTTGTTTCACATACTTGTGTGTGTGTATCTTTCTGAGATAGGGTCTCAATATGTAATTCAGGCAATCCTCCTGCCTCAGCCTCCCTAATGCTGGGATTACAGTTCTGCACCACCATGCCTGGCTCACATACACATTTTTGATTCAAATATCATATTAAAAAAATTCCTATTTTGCCTTTAAAGAGGAGACATTTTCCTGTTGCAATAATCCCTCAGTTTTTCAACAGTGTGAGATACACACCTAAGTATCACATGATGGTCAGCTCTGCAGCAAAGCCTGCTCCTGAGTGGGTTATGCACCGAGAGCGTGACTTTTCATTGGTTAAGCACAACTTGTCGCCCTGAGGATCTGGATGGACACATTACGCCGTTACTGCTCTGAGCAGTAGCCATAAAGTGCCAAGTATTTTATCCTTGAAAACTAGAATATGTTTTCAGAAGACCTAGGTGCTGGGCCTTCGCACACGGAAGAAAGTGGGTGCTTCCTCTGTTCTGGACCTGCTTTCCTTAGCCCTCCCCAGCATTCCTGTCTTCCTGGATCCAGGATAAGCCTTGCAGCCCACCTGCACATTTAGCGAGGGGGTTTCTCCTGATCACTAGGAAAGCGTGTTGGACAGCAGGAGCTGTGTTCCTCCCTCGGAGAGCGGGGCGCCCCTGCCTCACCTGCATCATTTTGGTGTGCAGGCCTTGTCCCAGTTCACAGCCGCCGTGAGTCAGCAGGACAGAGCCGTCTAGGTAGATGTGGACCAGAGCCGCCGCCTGGGAGGGAAGAGCTTTGTGACCAGTCTGGGAAGGCCCGTGGCTGCACACTGCTGGGAGGTGAGCTTAGTGTCCTGGAGGAACCATCGCTCACGGGCCAAGCCTCTCCTTTTCCTGTTCTGGAGAAGAAAGCCAGCACTGGTGGCTGCAGACAGGACACCCTGACCTAGGCGGCCCAGGAGGGGGCTCTTTGTGGGTGTCTTGAAGACCCACCTTCCAAAGCCCCCACCTGCACAGTACTTGGTTCTTCCCTCCCCACAAGTGGACATTAATTTAAAGCTAAGGGAACCTCAAGTCCATTTCCAGGCACACTTCTGTTTGTTAGAGGAACGGGGAGAATTTGAGATCCCTTGATGGTTCAGGGCATGGTGTTGAGGCCGGGGCCCAGCCTAGAAATTCTGATTCAGGGTCTGATGGGGGTGGAGCCCAGGAACTCAGGTTTGAAGCTCCCAGCTGATTCCGATGACTGGCTGGTTTGGGATCTTCATGAGTGCACTACAGGTCTAGGGAGAAGACTTGGCCAGATGGGCTGCCCAGTGGGTGGTACGGTAGGGGTGAGGATCCACAACCCTCGATGTGAGCCCCGTGTTGTCAGGGGCCAGGCCAGCTCTTCAGACCCACCATGTCCTTCCCTGGGGGAGGCTGTTCCCATGGGAGGGGCCACCCAGTGTGCACAGAGCTTGGTGCCCAGGCTGCAGTGGGCAGCAGGCTGGGGTGCATGGCTCTGAAAGTTACTGGGCTTCTTCTTTAGAGCAGTCCCAGGACACATGCAGCCACCCCTGTGGCCCTGTCTCCATACTGAAGAGACAAGGCAAGGGCCGAGGGTTGGCCAGGCCCAGAATGCCTCGGTAGAAAGCAGGCACTAACTACGAGATCTCCACATTAGCGAGTCTTCCCTCTAGCAGTGACTGCAACCCTCATTGCGCGTGTGCGCGCACACAATGAAAAAACAAGCCAGCAAAATACCTCTAAAACCTCCCAACTCCCATAGCTGAGCCAGGGGACATCCACGGGGAGGAAATCAACACCTGAACAACTGGGCTGTACAAAGTGCATAAAGAGAGACAAAAGAGGAAACAGGTCGGTAAGGAGCTCGAGAAGCTCGAAGATGATCTCACTAAACAGACAGCAAACTCAATAAAATGATCAGTGAGCTCACGAAGACACTGGCGAGAAGCGATGAAAAGCATGAACAGTCACTTTAGTGGAGAAGTAGCGTCCACGAAAGATACCAAGCAGAAAGCCATGTGATAAAACTATCAAAAGCATGGAAAGGAAGGGGCCAGTGTCGGAACTAGAGATGGGGCCCATGTGGGAGATCGCGCTCCCAGAGACGCCTCGGCAACACGAGAGCCTGAGACGTGGATGCGGAGAAGTCTAAGCCGAGATAAACGGAATTAGTGAAAAAGCGCCTATGACATAAAAACCTGTTTACAGAAATAATGGCAGAAAACTTTCCAAGTATGGGGGAAGAACTGGACACCCAGAGGGCCAACGTTTATGGAACCCCAAACAGCCACATCAGAAAACAGCTTCTCCATGACACGTCGTAGTCAGCATCCCAGCAGTCTGACATATGGACAGAATCCCTAAAGCTGGGGTGAAGGGTTTCAACTTCTGAAAGAAAACATCTTCCAACCCAGACTAATGTACCCTGAAAACTATCTTTCAAGATTGAGGGAGAAGCTAGGAGAGGTCTATAATCCCATCGCTGCAGAGGCCAGTGCGGGATTCCTCAGAAACCTAAGGCTAGAAGTTCCACTTCCACGTGTCTTCCCCGAAGACTTAAAGACACCATTTTACAGTGATCCACGCACACCCATGTGTATAGCGGCACGGCTCGTAACAGCCAAATCTTGGAAGCAGCCTGTGTATCACCTACTGATAGCCGGATTAAGAAAATATGTTCATGCACAATGGAGCACTAGTCTGCTGCAAAGAGGGATCATCCTGGGCATGTGTGAGGAAACGGGTGCACCCTGAGACCATAATGTTACGTGACACAAACCAGACACCCAAGCCTATGTCATCAGTATCACATGGTTTCTCCTACCTGAGAACCCCAAATTGTAAGCAGCAAAGTAACATAATAGAAAATGGGGGCTCAGGTCTTTCTGCAAAAGGGAAGGGACCAAGAGATGGAGGGGAGCTGGGGAGACGAAGGGTGGTGGGAAGCATCACGTGGCCTCCTGTCCATGTGCCTACTCCCCACAGCCGGGATCGCTCCGTCCTGCACGCAGGGCTGGTGCATGTGGGAATCAGGACGGGGTGAGGCACCAGCCCCCCGCTCAGTCGCTGTTGGGGTTGGTTCTCTGAGCTGCCATTGCTTGCAGGACTGAGTTCACTTTGCAAATCTGTGTTTCACAGGTGCACAGAGCTCTGAGGGGCTCGAGATCTGTGGCAAATAGCATCACAGCAAGTGAGTAGCCGCTGACTGTGGGCCTTGGTTTGGGCTCCCTGACTGGGCTCCTGCGGGGCACAGCCCCTTGCTCTCAGGGTGGGGGCTGATTTCTTCCCCGACGTGAATTCAGAGGTCAGTGGGGGAGAAACGAAACCAAAGGAATTGGCGGCCGAGCGCAGGAGAGACTGGTGATGGGAGGCTACACGGAGGCCGCCACAGCTCCATCGAGACAAGGCTCTCCGTGACCCGGTGCTCTGTCTTCAGAGGGCCTGCCGCTGTTGCCAGGTGGGTGCCCCAGCCCCAGCCACCACGCCCCGCGCTGGGTTTGGCCCCTGTCCCTGTGGCTGGTCTCCTGGGCAGGACCTCACCATTTACCATCCTCTGGTCCAGCTCTGTGTGCTGCTGTCACCCAACCAGCCCCTCTGCACCTGCAGGTGACACACAGCCCTCACCTGGTGGTAGTAGGCTACGGGGACGCCAATGGTATACTTCATGGGGATCACGGCGAGCCCCCTCTTCTTCCAGCGGCTCTGCCTGTTGAAGTCCTCGGCAGCCCGCTTCCTGGCGTGGAAGGACGAATGCTCCAGGCAGTCTTTCCAGCACCTCCGCAGGGGCTCGGGGTCGAACCTCTGCCTGTAGGCCGTCTGGCTCGGCCTCTTGTACATGTTCATTTCTCTCACCTGAAAGATGAGCAAAGGCAGCAGGTTCCCAGGCGGATCTGATCTGCACAGGAAGCAGATGTGACGCGGAAATCCTTCCAAGCAGACAGCTGTTAGGTGAGCACAGGGGTGCAGGTGCAGGGTCCACAGGCAAAACGAGCACTGATAACATCAGCAGCCTTGGGAACCTCTTCCCAGGTTCAGGTGCTTCTGGCTCTAGACTTGGGTGTCTCTCAGGTTGCATAAGGACCGCCTGTCCTGGGGGCAGCAGTAAGACCCTAGTCTCGCGCGGTACAGCCCGGCAGCATCTCGAGCCGGGGCTCAGAGCTGGCACACAGAAATCACCAGTCCCCTGTTTCTGAGTCTTGGGGATTTCATGAACTCAGGGATTGGCTCAGTGGCTCAGGCCTTGCCACTGCCTGAGACCTCAGGGTGCCCTTGCCGGGCCCTGGCTGGCCTTGGAGCTGGGGGCTCAGACCTCAAGCCTTCCTGCTGAGGACCACGGGACATGGCAGCTAGGCCGCCGGGACCAGAGGGTTCCAGAAGCAGAGCTTTGAACCCATGGAAAAGTGAGAACCACATTACTGTCTTCAGCCTCCTGCATGGCCCACTTCCTACGGTAGCCCAAGGCGGCGGCCAGGACAGTGCTTTCTCGGAGCCCACACTGGGCTCCCGTTGCACTTGGCTGGCCCTGTGGTTTTCCTCTGTGGCCTGAGCATTCACCTCTTCGGGGAGCAGGTCACAGTGAGATGCCACTGCAGTCACGTATGCCTCCACCACCACGGTGGCCTGGGGGAAGCCGAAGCCCCGGAAGGCCGTGTTGGACGGGAGATTTGTTTTGCAAGCCCTGCCCCGGCACCGGAAGTTAGGGATGTAATACGCGTTTTCTGATTTCAGCACGACGTACTCGATCACCTGCACAGGAGCAAAGCAATGCAATGTCATGCCCGTTGGACTCAAAACCACTTAACGGAACTTTATTTCAGGCTGAGCCTTCACAGCCATTTGCTGATCTGTAAAGAAACCCCATGTAAGTGGATCTCCGGGCTGTGCCTACAGGAGTGTGGGAAGGATGCGTCTCACTCACCAGCTGGGACTCGTCTGGTGTGCAGCCGCCATTGATGTAGAACTCCAGGTCCACGGCTTTGATCAGCCCGCTCTTCATGAACCCAACCTGTGGAAGCAGTGCAGGGCGCCAGCTTTCCCACGGCCCTCCCCAGCTGCCTCACGTGGCCACAGGTGTGGAGCCACGCTTGGCTGTGTCTTTGGTCTGACGTGATGGTCCCCACGGGAACAGGGGAAAGGGAGTTTTAGGCAGCACCCAGCTGTCCTTGGAGAGATGGGGACCCAGTACTGTCTTCACCATGGTCAGCCCCATAGCACGGCCACCAGGCACCTGCCAGGCATCCTTCTCACGCACCTTGTATCTTCCAAGGAGCGGGTGGCGGCCAGCAGTGATCAGCATGTCATCGCCACGCTCCAGGACGAACCGGATGGGGCGGCCAGTCCTGCAGGGAAAGTGCTCTTGATTGGGGATCACCATGAACCGCAGGAATGTGGGGTGGGGTGGGTGACTGAGGTGATCAGCTGCTCTGTTCTCCGCAGAGCGATAACAAAGCTTACATAACACCCCAGGCGGAGGGGAACTGAAATCAGCACCACATTTTCTGCTCAATCACGCCTGAATGTCCTATGTTCCCATGAATGATCCCCCCTTCTTGTTTATACTACACTGGAGAGTTACAATCAATTTGCAGTGAAGCGTAGAATTACAGAGTAGGATTTGGTCTTGTGCATTCCCTTTGCCGTTGTAAAGGAGACATTCAGACTTCCTGCCAGGGATGTGGGGCGGAAAGCTTGAGCCCTGCCCTCCCCTCTGCTCTGCAGTCTGTCCCAAAGATGCTGTTTCCCTTGGACCGTCCCAGCACGTGCCTGCTGCCTGTGGGGTCCCTGTGCACGAGCTGTGGCCTGAGGCCAGTCATACTCGTCCTGTCAGGGGGGAGGCGGAGCGAGCGCTGCCCGGCGGGCAGGGCCTTGGGTTGCCCTGTCTGGGCCCTGAGGCAGCCCGAGGAGCCAACTCTTACTTCTTGGCGGCCACTGCTGCAACAGCTCCCAGCAGAGCAGGCTTGGTCACCTTGCCCCCAAACGCTCCTCCAGCTCTCCGCATGTGACAGGCGATTCTGTTCCTTGGGACGTTTAGAGCTGTGGCCACAAACTCCTGTGGAAGAACCGAGGAGCTGAGTTCTCCCCACACCGCCCTCTGCACACAGGGCTTTGTACCCTGCGGTGCAGGCATCTCCAGGGGCCTGTCTTAGAACATTCCTGGCAACCCGAAGAAACCGCGCACCCATTAGGCAGCCCCCTCATCCTGCTGCCTCCTAGTCCTGGGCTAGACTCTACTCTGGATATTTCAAGGAAAAGGAATTGTGCAACAGGTGGCCTAAAATTTCTACTTGTAATTGTTTTCAAGATAATTTCTGTGGCTGTGTGTGCACTGCTGTTCATGGCTGGGTAATATTCCTCTGCAGGGATGTGCCAGCCTCCGTCTGTCTGTTCTGCAGTCGATGGGCCCATCTCTACCCGCAGCTCTTCTGAGTGACGCTGTTGTGAGCGCTGTGTAGAGGTCTTCAGTGGATGGCCTTCCTGTCTCCTGGCAGAGGCTTGGTTGAGGAACTGCTGTGGTACTGGGCACCTTCGGTATATGCTGAGGAGCCTCGCCTGTGCCACATTCCCCACCCTCAGCCAGGTCCAGAGGCCCAGCTTCTGTCTATCTTTGGCCATGTGGCTGTCATTTGCTGTTGGTTCCAGGGCTCTGGGGGGTGTGATGTGGCATCTTGTCACCTTCTGTGCCCTCACCTGGTCTTGGCAACTTTGGCTCATGTCTCCAGGGAGCTGTTGCTCTGGGCTCTGGGTGGTGGCTAGTGGGATCCAAGCCCAGCACCCTGGGGGCGCCTGCAGGGCAGGGCTGCTGGGTTGTACCCTCTACCAGGGAGCCCAGAGCCAGGAGACAACATGGGCCCTGCCCGAGGCCGAGCAGCATACTGGTCCTTACAGGAGAGGGACCTGGCCCACACGTGGGTGTTGATGTTGTCCCAGGTCCCTTTGAAGGCGGCACCCCCCACCCTGGGGTGCAGGTGCAGCACCCATCCCTGACCTCTCTCCCAAGCTGTTACCTGCACGTGGGTGGGAAACTGGGTGCCCAGATGCAGCACCATCTCCTTGTCCTCTGCTCTTGGCACAGCCAGGATGGTCTGCGTCTCCATGTAGAAGTGCTCCTGGCCCTCCACGTGTACCTCTCCTGGGGACACAAGTGGCACTCAGTGGTGCCCGCAGGGAAGGGCACAGAGGGCAGGACCCTGGTGAAGACTCCCTCCTGCTTCCTGTCTGCCCTGCCATGGACTGTTTTCTACCATGCGGCCCCCCGTGGAGCCAGCCAACTGTGAACCGAATGCTCTGTAGAGTGTGAGCTAAAATTACCCTCTCCTCCTTACAGTTGTGGATGTTGGAATTTGTGTCTCAGCCATGAGAAAGGAACCAAGATAACACCTATCAGATTAGATAAAACTAAAAGACTAACAATATCATAGGAACTCCCTTAATTTGACAACTCACATATATTCATACAAACCGTACAATTATTTTAAAATATTTGGTAAAACTATTCAAGCTAGGCATATAAGTATGCTAATATTCAACAGTTCGTCCCTTCATCAGAAAGAAGTGCCACATGTTCACTAAAGGACAAACATCATGGTGTGTACAGAAACTTTGTTCGGAACAGTGCCAGACCTGAGTGTCCACCCACATCAGCAGGAGGGAGAGGTGCTCAGTGGGCACCACTGAACCACGGTAGGGCTGCGGTCTAGGAGACGCGTGGACGGCCAGCCCTTCCACACACTGTGAAGGGACGGGCGTGGAAAGGCTGCACTGTGAGATCCACCCTAGTGGGAATTTAGCCGGCCAGATGAACCCACATGGCTGGAGGGGCCAGGCTGGCTGGGCGAAGCTCTGTGGTGCGAAGATGCTTGCCGTGCGTGGGACCACTTGGGTTTCTATGGCTACGGAAACCCACCTCGTAGCACACTTGCTCTTTTCAGCTGTTGGTGAACAACCACACTGGGCTACGGATGCTGCCCAAGTTTCACCTGCCCCCGGAGCAGACGTCTGGAACCCGCCATCAGCCCCGGTTCCTCCCGCCAGGTGCTGCCCTCACCTTCGATGACCTGGTCCACGTGTTTGAAGGCCTGCTCCACATTCCCTTGCTCAATCTTCCTCTCAGGAGAAAGAAAGGAACTGTGCTCCAGGGCTTGCTGCAGAGGAGAGCAAACAGCCGAAACAAATTAATCAGGCTCGTTTGTTGCCTGCTAAGAAGGCATTCATTCCCACAAGACGCTGTGCGGCCCCTGCTGTGGGCTCCATACACTGGACCACGGAGCCGGTAGGTGAGGGCGCGGGGGAGCAAAAGCTGCCATTCCTGCGGGGAGGGGACAGGCTGAGCAGAGGGTGAGGAGTTGGAGGCTGCCAGGCCTGGGCGCTCATGAACAACTTGTGCTGGCCACCGGAAGGGAGCCTGAGCCACCTGCAGGCAAGGCACGAGTGAGTCCACAGGAGGAGGCCCCTGTCCGGTGGGGCAGCAGGGTTTCCACCAGGAGGCAGCAGAGGCCGGGCTGGGAAGGGGCCCTGTGCCGTGCTGCGCAGAGTGGCCTTGGGTGGGAACCCAGGGACCCGGTAAGGAGAGGAGGCCTGAGGCCCTGTGGCTCGAGAGCGAGGGTGGCGGGCGATGGCCGAGGTCGCTCTGAGGGTGAAGGGATGAAGACGGGCCGTGAGGGGGTGAGAAGCAGGGCTGAGGGCGTGGAGGGCAGAGCAGGGAGGGACTGGGTGGCTGGGGCGGGCTGGAGAGGACGCAGAGGAGGCCTCGTCCTCCTCCTCATGCACCTGTCTGTCCACGCGTCCCCCCGCCGGCCACCACAGCCCTGCCCCATCGTGCCCCGGGCTGCCGGCGCTGGGCACCTCGATGGTGATGATCCTGGGCTCGATGTCCTCGTACTCCACCTTCACTTTCTGGGCTGCCTCCCGGGCATGGGCGTAGGTGTCGGCAGCCACGGTGCACACAATCTGACCCACGCAGACCACCTGGGGGAGGCCGCAGACTGCTGAGGAGCGGAACACGTGGTGCCCTGGCTCTGTGGTCAGAAGGAAGTGAATGTCCTGCCCACGAGAACACACTGAGAACGGGCCTGTGTGGACTGGGCCAGGAAGACATGTGGAGCTCAGTCACTGGTGTGACGACCTCCTCCTTACACCCCACCTCCAGCAGGACACGAGACGCAGTTGACACAGATCTGCCACCGTTGGGGCCCACGGCTGTAATGCGGTCTAGAACCTTCCTCAGGGGTCCTAGGGCTTCATCGGACCTCAGACGGAGCCACAACTTAGGAGCAGTGTGGAGGATCATGAGCTTGGGGTCCCCGGATCCCAGCAGGAGGCAGAGGTGTCGCCACACAGCAGGACTCACGCCGCCTCCCAGCCACCCACCTCTCTCTGCGCATAGAAAATCTCTCCTTGGTGGTTGTTTTCCCCTGGAACGTCCTCCGCTGTTATCACTGCGACCACACCTGGGAGCGCCAGGGCTTCCCCAGTGTCGATGGATCTAGGAGGGAAACCCAAAGAGGTGGTGGTCAGCGGTCGTGGGTCTGGGTCATGGGAGGTGAGCTTGGGGGCTGGGAGAGGGCCTCCTCCACCCACAAGCTGCAGCGGGCGTGGAACCGATCTCTCAGAGCCTGGCCCGTGCTGCAGACCTGAGTATCTCACTCTGGGCCACTGGTTCTTTGTGGCTGTGTGTATAAAGTGAGGCCCTCACCCTAAGAGGAGCTGTGATTCCTATTGAGGGTCTACACGTCCACACACGTGTGTGCTGAGGAGCAGGTGGGTGCAGCTTCTAAACAGAGCACTTACACAGCTTGACCGTGAGACTGAGACCCTTGGAGCAGCCCTGTGGACCCTTTGTCTCCTTACATGATCTTGGCATGAGCCCTGGTGCTGGTGACCACGGCAAGGAAGAGCTCCTGGCTCACGAGGGGCAAGTCGTCCACAAAGGCTGCTTCCCCGGTGGCGTGCTTGAGGCCTGCCTGGTGCATGACTGGGTGCCCGACTGGGTCCTGTGGGGGCTGGTGGGGGTCCACACACTGCAACGCACAGAGCGAGTTATTTCACACCAGGGTTTCCTGCCCTGAAAACTGGTCCCGTACAAGTGGCTTCCCGAGAGTCAGGAGACGCTGTAGGCCAGCGATGGTGAGCCTGTGCGTGCACACTGCAGTGGGCGCTGGGCAAACTCATCCCAGAGCTGAGCACTGCACGACAGTTGTTTCTCTAAACTAAAACCCACAGGTTTAATTGCAGCGTAGGCACTTGGCGGTGAGTAAGTGGGTCTTGGGGTGCAGTTTAGATACCCACTCTCTAAAAGGGTCCCTGTGGTGGTTTAGGCTGGGTAGCTCTGTGTCTGTGGGTCCACGTTAAAAGTGTCCATTGAGTGCTGTAGTCAAGGCTAGATTTTGGTCAAAATCCAACCCCTTTCTGCCAACAGAAGACAGATACTGTTGAAAAGGACAGACATAAGCCAAGCCAAGGAGGAACTACAGGATGATAAAGTGAAAACAGCTGAGAAGGGACAGGCAGCTCCCGATTGGTGTCACCCAGAGAGAAGCAACCTGGGGTGATGGCAGGCACACCCTCCACCTTCTGTCCTTAGAGGCAATCAGCACACAGGAGTGGGAAGCAGCAGGGCTGGGCGCCCGGCTGGAGGCACAGATGCACCCACCCGGAATATCTGTGTGCCTTGGGGCGTTCCTATGGGGAACTCTTCCAGGGCGCTGGTGTACTCCTCTGGGATATCGGGAAACTTCTGGGGATCCTGGAGAGAAGAAGATTTCACACTGGATTTTTACAATAAGCTAGTTGCTTGGAAAAATATGTCCAAATACCTCTATCCAATCTAGTCTTCAAGATTGAAGTCTGCAGTTCTGTTGAGAGAAAGCCCCAAGCTTCAAGTTCTCTAGAGTAGCAGCAGTGGTTTGAAGAATACCAGTACAGGCATTATGTACACACAGAAGTATACATGAAGCCAGATGTGGTGGTGCACACATGTAATCCCAGCTGAGGCAGGAGGACTGCCTGGAGCTCAAGGCCAGCTTGGGCTACATAGTGAGTTCAAGGATAAGTCTGCATTACATAGTGAGATGCTGTCTCAGAAAACAAAGACAACCCCTCCCCCAAACAAAACAAAAAGCTAAAGGAAGGAAGGAAGGAAGGAAGGAAGCAAGGAAGGAAGGAAGGAGGGTATGCCTTATCCCCAGGAAGTGGAGGCCTCCTTTCAAACGAGTGGAAATGTATCCACTTCCACACGGACAGTTCAGGCCGATCTTCCAGTCATAAATCCCGAAGCAGGAATTGGGGACCTGCAAATACTTATTTACAAGGGTGCTCAATTGCAGATTATTTGTGGCTGAATTAAAGTAAATGTTGAACAATAGGGAAGATGGCCAAACAAATCATGGTACAGACACAATATCTGCAACCATGCAAAAGACTTTGTAGAATCTGCTCACTGACATTGAAAAAAGATACTTCAAAATAGGTGAAAGAAGAGTTTCAAAAACTTATGTACACTGTGATTCTTATTTTGTGGAAAAAATAGGAAAACATAAAAGTAAATATTCTGGGCCGGGCATTTAGCTCAGCAGCATAAGCGCCTGCCTTGTAAGCAGGCAGTCATGAGTTCGATCCCCGGTACAAAAAAAAAAGTAAATATTCCAAAATGTTAATAATGGTTAAGGTAAGATTATCAGACTACAGTTGATTTAACAAATTTTAGGTTCTCTGTAGTTTTAATTCTTCTGTGATGAGAGAGTATGTGATACACAAGAGAATATACAATAGTAAGAGGCATAAAATAAAACATTTAATAGATTATATATTAGACACACAATTATATATCTATATGCTGAGTATATTATATAAATAATACTAGACTATATGAATCATGATTCCAATCATGAGTAATGTTAATTAAATAATAAAAAGAACCAGCTGAACTAACACAGCAAAGCTCTCAGACCTTAGAGGGCTGATCATTTGCTAAGCTGGTCCCTTTGCGGTTCACCAGGGGAGCCTCAGGCAAGGACCCTGCTGGGAAGGTGGTTTTAAACTCTGGTGGATAAGGAAAGTAATTAACAGAAACACTGGAAATAAATGTCTGAAAATTAAGAATGGCTCAAATACTGGTATGCAGGTGCTATGCAAGCCACGCCCCGCGGGCCTGGAGGCCGATGTGGCTGGACCAGGCGGGAAGACGCCCCCTACCGGGAAGACGCCCCCATTGTAACACAGGGCTTGGGAAGTGCAGATGGTGACTGAATGCAGTTGTGGGATGAAGAACAATCTACCTCTCTTCTGGCTTTGTTCACATTTTCTAGGTACTGCAGTATCAGTTTAGTGAGAAAGTTCAGGAGCGGACAGTGCGTCATGACTGACTATCTGAGGCTTCTCTCTGCCGCTGGCCGGGCTCCTGTTGGTCCTAGCTCTGTCCCCAGGTGAGCGGGCCCTGGCAGGGTGCCATCTCATCCCCACTGGGTGGAGCTGGGCCTGTGCCCACTCACAGTCCCGCGAGCCACTCACCAGTTTGCTCAGTGCCCGCTGCACCCTCAGGTAGAATTTGAAGAGCAGGCTGAGCATCAGGGTGTGCCGGAACTCCACCTGGCCACCTTTGGCCCCGGGGGGCAGGCGGAGCTCATCCAGGATCCCACGGCAGGCCTCCCCCAGCATCTGGTCATCCCACTGCCTGGGGAGAGGACAGAGAGCTGCAAGGGGCCGAGGCCCTCCCGAGTGGCGTGAGGGGAGAGAGGCCCAGAGCCGTTGCCTTCGAAGGGATTCCTGGGGGTGTCCAGGCCGGGTCAGGCACCGTGAGAGCCGTGCTAGAGGCCAGGCTGCCTCCGCGCCTCTCTCCTGCGAGCTGCTCAGCCCTCCCCTTCCGACCTCAAGGCCGCGATGCACACAGCCTCCATGCTCAGACTGTGTGCTCGAACAAACCCTGCCTGCGCAGGGCGAGCCTCGGGGCTCTGGTCCAGCCACAGAGCTGCCCTCCCACAGATGCTGGCCATGGCAGGGAGCCCAGGCCCCCCACGGACCCCTCCCCTTTCTTACTGTTCCTCCTCCTCGAGTGGAGCCTCCATCTGCCTCCACCCACTTGAGTGAAAAATGATGTGGGAATTCGGTGATCGGCCAAATTATTAAAGGCTCTTGTAAAATATTTCCTAACTGAAGGTTCCCACATCACTATTTTGGAAGTATACATTTATTTTAGTATTTGAGAAAAAAATCTGTCATAAATTTTAGCTATTAACGATGAAAACAATAGGTTAATAAAATAATTGTGCAAGCACTAGTGAAAGATTTTTTTTCTCTTTTTCTCTTCTCCCTTCCTCTCTCTCTCTCTCTCTCTCTCTCTCTCTCTCTCTCTCTCTCTCTCTCTGTGTCTTTCTCTTTCTGCTGCTACACGTTCTCTCTATGTAGCCCAGGCTATCTTTGAACTCGCAGAGATCCTCCTGCCTCAGCCTTCCAAGTTTTGAGATTCTCGGTGTGCACCACCACACTCGGCCTAGTTAGAAGAATTTCAAAAATTTACTTTCCAAGTGCTGGAAACTGTGGGAGTTACAGAAAGACCATTTAAGCGTTTGATTTAATTGTATTTGTGTGTGTGGCTCAAGGAAATTTTTAGATGTCTTTCGACCCTGCGTCAGAGGTCTTTACTAACTTTGCGCGTTATTCTGAGCTGGTGTCTCGCCAGGCCTGTTACTGTGCATTAACCTTACCGCAGAAGCCTGCAGGCAGGAGTCCTCGCCTGGAAGGATGGCCCTTGGGTAGCTTGCACTTCCTGTGCTGCCCCCTGCAGACCTCACATTTTCTAGATGAGTGCATATTTAAACCAGAAACCGGCAATACCATTTCCATCCTTGGTGTCCCAGCCCTGCCAGAGCCCCACCTGCCGACCAGCTGCCCGCAGGTGCGGCTCGCCGAGAGCACGGTGGGGCCGATGCCGCCGTAGAACACCTGCAGGTCCCGGATGGTGCTGCTGCCGTCCTCCAGCCGCACGCTCATGCCCGCGTTGACGATGGCCATGGCGTTCTCTTGCCGTTGGGCCTGCCGGAGCCCTGACACAAACTGCCACTGGGGATGGAGACACCGGGTCTTAGTGCTCACTGTGGGGCACTACCTGGGACACAGGAGGGGGAAGGGAGCCACCCCGGGTGGGCGGGTGCTGCTGGGCCCTGACTGGTGCCTGTCTGCAGGCCGCAGCATCACCAACAGGAGAGGCTGGCTGCACAGGCTGGGGAGCAGGGGCTGCCCCACGCCCCCGGGCCTGGAGCTCTGGTCCTTTCCCTGTGGTTACGGTCCTTGCTGAGAACCAAGGTCCCCTGGGCTGTGCCTGAATACGGGGCATGGTGTGGTCGCTGGTGCGGTCCTGGGCCGGGTGTCCTGTGTGGCCAGTGTCACGGGGACCGGAGAGATTGGATGTCAACCCTGCCTGTCCAGCACAAGCCTCCTCAAGGAAGACAGTCCGGAGACCACACATTGGGGACACACGGCCATTTGTACACCACGCTCGTTGCCCAGTCCTCTGGCCGGCCGCTTCTCACTCTTCCCACTGGACCCTCCTCTTGAATACTCTCCATCTTACTGGACCTCACAGTAAGCCTTCGAAGGGGTCCCTCTGCTAACATCCTACACACTCCTTACAGGAGCTTTCCGTGGGGGTTAGCAGTCGGGATTGAGCCCAGGTCTCTGCACTGAGCGGCACCCCCAGCAGTGTTTCTACAAATTATTTTGGGTAGGATGTGAACTTGCAGTCCTCCTGCCTCAGCCTCCTGAGTGGCTGAGATCATCGGTGCAAGCCACCACCCCTGGCCTTTATTAACTCTGGCGAGCCTTCCAGGCTTAGCCCTGCACAGTGGAATGGCCTGGGGCTAATGAACCCATAATTAAACTGTTTGCTGATCGTGATTCGTGATAGGGTGACTGGGAAGCATTTTATGCTAATATACTTTCAGTGTATCAGAACTCTCTGGAGCTGCCGTGGGCTACAAATGCTCCCTATCTTGGCTAAGGGGCACATTCATGGGAAGTCGAGGTTCCCCTCTCGTGAGGCTTTTCCTTGGGGACTCGGGGGCCCATGGGGCCATTCTGTTTTCAATGCATTTTAAAACCCAAAGCAAGAACTGAGCAGTAATTAACAGAGGTGCTGAGTGCAGCCCAGATCAGATTCATCTCTCCACACGAAGGCCACACCAGACACCTCATTTCACAGCTCCCTTGTGCAGCCGGGGCCACACTGTGGTGCCCCCACCCACCTCGGCTCGGGCTCCTGCTGGGCAGTGGTGCCAGGCTGGGCAGGGCTGGGGCTCACCTGAGAGGAGTAAGGGATGAAAACGGACAGCACAATCTCTCCGGGCCTCAAGCCGGCCCCGGGGGACCCCTCGAGGAAGGCGCCGTCCAGAGGGATCTGCCGCTCCCCTTCTGTGGGGAAGAGAGGGGTGAGCCCCGGGAGACACCAGGGGGAGGGCACAAGGCGCTGTCCATAGCCCTGGCCGCCCGGCCACATCTACTCCCAGGAGCTCAGCCTGGCCTGTGGGACGTGGGTGGAGTGTGCTGCCTCTGCCGCACTGGCCCTGAGTGGGAGTGGGAGATGGGATGGCAAGTGTGTGCCGGGCGTCACAGATCCGCCGTGACCAGGCACCCGGTGCATAACCACGAGCACCCCAGGAGTGCGGAGCCGTGGCTGGTGCCTGTCCGTGTGCTACGCCGTGCACTGATGTGGGGTGTAAGGAAGTAACCGACTGCAGTGCATGCACTTCACAGATGGTAAAATCGGGGTCCAGAGACAACGAAGACCTTTCCGAAGGCCAGAGTGGGGCTGGGGCTGAGCTGGGCCTGTGGGCACTGCTCTCCCGTTAGAATTACACAGGGACAAAGGCCACAAGTGTCCACACGGCCCTTTCCCTAAATGGCTTGTCACAGTCTCTTGTGAGGGTGACCCTTTAAAAATGTGCAAACTCGACCATCAGCAGCCTTTGAAATAATACGCATCGCTTTCATTTCCCTCCACGAAGCTCAACTGTCTTTGCAGACAGAGAGGGAGTGACAGCCCGGCTACTCCACATAGTTTAATGTGCGAAGTCCTGTGAGAAAGAACCCGTCTGCATGAATTAGAGCGTGATGTCCTCCAGAGCACTGGAAGCTGGAGAGAGATGCTCCTTCATGTTCTTCCTCGGCTGCTTTGATGCTACTTATCAGTTGGTCAGTTTTAAGAAAAATACTCGGGTACAGTACACTGTGTGAGCTTAAAGATCAGCCCCTCTGGGCATGGACAGCCGGGCCTGGGCTCCTCAGCCATCTCCCACCCCGCAGACCTGCAGCCCGCTCTCACCCTTGGACACTAGGTGGATGGTTGTCTTTCCTGCCGCAAGGATGGGATTCAGGTCAGAGACCGTCGCCCGGGTCGCCACGTGGCCTCCTAAAGTCTGAGCAGGAAGGGACAGCCTTAGGAACCACACTGAGTTCCTGGACAAATAAGGAGTAAACTTTTAATTCTCTTCTTGGCTTGGTGGGAGACCCGGCAGGGTTTGGAGCTGCTACTTCGATCCCGACACTGTGCAGACCAGGCTCCCACACTCAGCAGGGGCTGTGCTCTCCCTGCCAGGAGGTCTCCTGTCAGTCTGCGTCCAGCGCCCTTTGGTCGGCACACTTATTGAAGAAGGTGGACCTCGAGGAAATCGAGGAGGGGTTTGGGGGCTGGGGCGTCAGGTTGGGGAGGGAGAGAGTGCAGGCAGCGGGGGACAGTGTCCACCCACACAGGAAAGTGGGCGCTGCAGCCGGGTGCATCTGGGGAGGTGCAGCTGTGTCCAGGCAGATCTCGGCCCTGCAGCCTCGCCGGGGTCCTCACCCTCCAGCGCAGGCGGCTCTGTGAGGCCTAACCACGGCCTTCTGGGTCACTTGGGGACAAGCTGGCACTAAGGAGAGGGACACTGGGGCAAAATGGGAAAATGCATGGCAGGTTTTGAGGCCAGGGATGGCAGGAGGACCCCAAACCTGCCGGTCAGCATCCTGTGGGACAGTGAGGCCTGAGCCAGCCCTTCTGAAACCTTCACCCAGGAGGGACCCAGGCTCACACCGGGTGGACTGAGGACACAGAAAAGCCATGTGAGCCACAGGGACCGGCCTTAGGCTGAGCCTCCGCAGAGCCCAGCAGAGCCTTGGTGAGGACACACATCACGGATGCAGCATGTGCTCACACGCATGCTGTTCTCATGCTGCATTGTGCTCCCCACTGACTTGGGGCTCTGGCGTGTGTGGATGGGCCAGGGCTGGCCCAGGGCCTGGTCTTATCTGCCTGCAGGCGCACGCACAGCCATGCTCCGGATCTGCACCCCGGCCAGTGTCCGCAGGTGGTTCAGCAGTGCGCGGCAGGTCTCCGTCCTCTCGCTCGGCTGCTGGGAAACAATGGACTGCAGGGCGTCGCTCAGCTGCGCCAGGCTGTGTCCTGAGCCCACGGTCACCCCTGAAAGTGAGAGTGTGGGGGAGCTGACGGGGCACCCACAGATGAGGCTGCAGGGGAGGCTTTGTGCACCCGTCCCCTCATCCCGAGAGCGCCGTCTGGCCCTGTGCGGTGAGGCCCCGGGGCATTGGTGAGGACCGACACGGGGAGCTCAGAGAGCACGGCAGAGTGTGAAGGGAGTGCTGCCGCCCTCAGGTCTGTCCTCCCCTTCTGGTCTCCCGAGGTGGCTCCTGTGCCCCGAAGGCTTAGTGGCACCTTGAGCCCAAAGGACATTGGGTGGCACTCAGCAGGGGGTGGGTGGGTGCGGTGTTGGGTCCCCTGGCGCCTCGGGAGTGGGGTGCTGTCACCGAGCACTGACAAGGAGGGCAGGGGATGCTCACCGTCACCCTCGGAATTCAGCACACAGAGCTCTGGAAGCTCGAGCGGGGAGACGAAGACGGGGTGGAATTCACCTTTAAATTTAATGTCGGGCCCTTAACATGAAAGAATTTACAGCATTAGAGCAAGAAGGTGCTGACGATGCCAACAGGGCCCTGCGAAGACCAATCGGAGGGGAAGCTGCGATCGCAAAGAGAAACCGCAAAGCGCTTTATAGCTGAGCTGTCCTGGCGAGCGGTGGACAGCGCTTGGGATGAGTGTGGGGTGCAGAAGCCGGGTCCCCTCGGGTGTGGGAGCCACCTACCCACGGTGGTGTTCCCCATGATGAGAGGGGCCTGGGGGAACTCGGCTCTCAGTTCCAGGAGGTCTGGCAAGGTCGCGGGGGCGAGCCAGGTGGTCCTCTCCCCCTGGAACGTCAGCCGCCTCTTGTTGGGGTCTTCGGCCATTCTCTGGGGAGAAGCAGACCACTGAGCTTTCCAGCGAGCTCTGGCCCCAGCCTGGGTTCCGCCTGCAGGTGCTATCATGGCTGGGCCAGGAGGAAGGGGAAGCTGGACACCTTGGATTGGCCCAACTCTGTGGGTCCTGCACAGGGCAAGCCACAGGGCAAGTGTCACCGCTGCTGGCTGTCACCTGGGGAGGGTGCAGGTGGCAGAAGATGGGACAGAGTGTCAAGGTCTGCAGTGCCAGGGCCCGGTCCTTGTCCTTCCCTGAGGGGACTCAGTGGAGGCCTGGCTTTGGGGTTGGGTCTTTTGTAGGACAAAACCCACTTGTAGGTAAAATTATCCCCGAAAAGCAGCCCTGGACCCCCTTAGCAGGTACGGAGTGAGTGGACAGTACACACTGCCTGCTGATGCATCCCTAAAAACCAGGCCTGCTCCCCAGGAGGTGGGGACAACTTCCCCTTGCTGGCAAGGGAGGGTCTTACTATCAGCTCTGGGGGGAAGATGGGCTCCTGGGACGGGTCCAGCGGCTGGAATTCATCCTTGTCGTACAGCTTGGTGCACATCTGCAGAGTGGATAGAGACACAGAGGCTACTTCAGAGGCCCTACGGGGCGCAGGACCGAGGTGTCCTCCGTGCAGCCGCCCACGGAGCGTTTCCTGCTGGGGACCCCCGCCTGGTCCCCTGCACGTTTGCTGGGCTTGCTTCCTCCTCGGACTGTGTGCTCTGGCGGTGGCCCCTGGGTTGCCGGAGGGTTCCACCCTGGCTCAGGAGAAAAGCTGTTCTCTTTCAGTTTCCCCTTTGGCTGCCTGGCTCTGGATGGGAGGCCCTCCCGCTTCCAAGGGAGGCATCGGTGGGGTCAGCCTTGTGGGGTCCTCATTTTGCAGGCCTTTTGGGCTTTTTATGACCTGAATTCAGTCATTGTGCTCTTTACTCATCCACAAGAACAGGAAACTTGCACACATGTGGACTTAGGCAGGCGTTTTGTGGGGGAAAACCTGGTACCCACCTTCTCCCGGGTGTGCACAGAGCCCGCCTCCTCCTCCTCCTGCTCCAGGCAGCACCTTCCTGGCCGCTTCACTTGGCAGACAGTGGGGTTCTGGGGGCAATGGGTGTCAGTCAGATGGGATCCTGGCAGACTCTTTAGTTCCTTTGCCTGTCCCCAAACCACACTGAGGTCTTGGTTGTGTTCCACTGGGCAGCAGCTCCGCGTGAGCTCAGGCCGGGTCCCAGGAAGACGTGGAGCCACCAGTGCCGGGGTACAGGGATCCAAGTGGGAGCAAGGTGGCACCTCTAACTCGGAATAGCATGGTGGGGAGCGGGAGCATGGTCCCTGGCAGTGAAGTGGGGATGGGAACACAGGGACTAAGCTGTGACGAGCTGTGCCCCGCATGGATGGCCCCAGATCTCACAGGAGCAGTCCTCCCTCACTACTGCTGTGTGGATTTTCTCCAGGAGGCAGGCTGAGGTGGGAGAGGCTTCTGTGTCCGAAGGTCAGGAGCGGTGGAATTCCCTCCCCTCCCGCCTGGTATCCAACAGAGACAGAGGTTCCCCCCACCCCAGGAAGGGGAAGGAACCAGCCTCTAGTGGGTGAAACTTCTTGAAATTCTTTCATACAGACACAAAATATACCCTTTCAAAGATTTTATGGTATTTGAAATGAACAAGAGTACCTTGAGTTGTTTCTGGCCAATAAAACTATATAAAATTAAGCCAGAGCAGTGGCCCAAGCCTGTATGTAGTCCCCACTACCTGGGAGGCTGAGGCAGAAAGATTGCAAGTTCAAGTCTAGTCTCAGATAATAAAATGGCTGCGATGTTAGCTCAGTGCTAGATCTGGCTCAAACCCAGTGCCACAAAAACAAACCAAAAACTCTGGTGTCTCTGTGAACATGTTAGGTCCATTGATCTTCTCTGTGAGAGTCTGGCCCTGGCAGGATTTTGTGGAGATGCTCGGAAGGCATGCATCTCTGACATTTGCCTCCTGAACACACCCCCAACCGCGCTGTGCCTCTCCTATCCTGTGTGGCCCTGGCTCCTTGAGGCTCAGGGGGCCAGGATACCGCCCTCTCCCGTCCCTGTCTGTGGTCACGACCCTGGTGGTCCCCTTGTGTAGGTGCCTGCACAGCCGCACTGCTGTTGGCTCTTCCTCCCTTCTGAACATGGCTCACGGCCGCTCCTGTGCCCTCAGCCAGCCCTGTGGGGATCGCTCAGCTCTGCATCCAACCCTACAACCCAGGGCGACTCAGCAGGACCTCCATCGCTGCCCATCTGCCCTCAACTGTAACTTCCTGTCCTCTCCTGGTGCTCGGTGCTCAGCACTTGGTGCTCCAGCCTGGCTCGGCCTCGGGACCCAGCTTGGAGCTGGAGTCCAGCTCCAATGTGTTTCCGCCCCGCGCCCCACCGGTTCTCTCCTGCCTGCCTCACGGCTCTGTGTGCTGCCTCCGTCATCAAGCCGTGCACTCTGCTGTTCCTTAGTGTCGGGCTGGATTTAGGCCATCAACCAGACAGACGATGATAAAAGCTTTACTTTAAAAAATACCAATAAGGACAGCTCAAAGCTTTCAGAGCCTGGAAGGTCTGCAGGGGGTTCTTGAGAGATTATTGAATGCCGGAAGTTCACCAGTGTGTTAAGCCAGCAGACCGAGTGTTCGTTTTTCAAACTTACCGCGCAGAAAGTCTTCCCGCTTTCCACAATAGGTCGGTAGCCAGTGCAGCGGCACAAGTTACCTGAGTGACACGAGGTAGAGACTCGGGGAGTGGCACCGACACATTGCCTGTCGGCATTGCTTTCAGTGAAATAGTGGTTTTCATAATTAGATTACTTTTGTTTCCCAAGCCCAGCCACATGCTTTTTTGGATAAATTTTCTCTTCCTAGGGTTTGTAAATAGCTTTCTCCCAAGAACTAGTGACCAGGAAACAATGTAGGTTTGTTATGGAAAACCACATTTGTTCACATGCCTTTAGGGGCAGAAAATTGTATTTGTAAATTTCAATTTTGTAGCTATTGGCTATAAAAGAATGATTGCTCATTAAGTTGTTAGTGATAACTGTTAATGATGATCGCCTCGATCTTTAATTACAAACCAGCCAGGATGCATAGACCTGGAGAAAGTCTCTCTCCTTTGCAAAACTTACTTTTAGTAGTAATGTTAGTGAGTGAGTTTGCAAAGCCGACTCTTGCTTTTCCACCCGTCCAAGCATCCATGCTCGGTAAGGGTGCTTGGGGGACCCAGGCCTCCAGGGAAGGAAAGGGTTCACCCAACACCACCGCTGCTCCACTCTGAGCGTCCCGTGGCCCCAGCCAGCCAGTGCTTGCTAGAGCAGACTTGGGCGAAGACAATGGAGGCGGCCAGTGTGGGACTTGTGCCTCAGCTTCTCTCCTACGGTCTCCCCTGGGGTCCCTGGGGCCCGGGCTCACCTCCTAGTGCCTCAGTGACCTGCTCCGGTGTCGGGTCTGGGTGGTTCCGCAGCAGCGTGTAGATGGACATCACCATGCCAGGGCTGCAGAACCCGCACTGTGTGCCATGGCACTTGGCCAGCCTCTCCTGGGGGATGAGGGTACACTGTGGGCACCTTAGATCTCTCAGTTCCCTGGCTGGAGTGCCAGCAAGGCGGAGCAGGGCAATACGGGGGTGTGGGGGGAAGGGCAGAGGAAGACAGGGCAATGCAGGACAGGGCGATGCAGGGCAGGGCGATGCTGGGCAGGGCGATGCTGGGCAGGGTGATGCAGGGCAGGACAATGCTGGGCAGGACAATGCTGGGCAGGACAATGCAGGGCAGGACAATGCTAGGCAGAGCAATGCAGGGCAGGGCGATGCTGGGCAGGGCGATGCAGGGCAGGACAATGCAGGGCAGGACAATGCTGGGCAGGGCAATGCTGGGCAGGGCGATGCAGCGCAGGATGATGCAGGGCAGGGCAATGCTGGGCAGGGCGATGCAGCGCAGGATGATGCAGGGCAGGGTGATGCAGGGCAGGGCAATGCTGGGCAGGACAATGCTGGGCAGGACAGGGCCAGGCAGGACAGGGCAGGGCAATGCTCGGCAGGACAGGGGAGGGAAGGGCAAGGTGACAGATTCAGCACCACAGAAGTGAGAGCAAACAGATATTGCTGGGAGACATGGCTGCATTTCTTGAGGTCAGATCTGCTATTTTGCCCTCAAGGTGGCCTGCTGGCCGCTGGCCTGGTGGCTGGAGTCACCCAGCCACTGCCTCTGTCCTGCTGGGCAGAACTGCAGGTGAGGACAGAGCTATTCTCGGGCTCGGGATCCTCCTATGGCTCCTGAACCTGTATCCAGGTGGTTCATGGGATTTTTCTTAGTCTTTAAAGTCAGGACAGTCATGGCACTGGCAAAGGAATGTGTTCAAATCACCTGGCAGTGCCCCTGGCCAGTACCGTCTGTGCTGGTCTCACTAACAGCTTTGGATGGCTAACCTGTGTGATCTGTGAGCCCAGATAAGGGCGCCTATCATGTGGGCTGCCCGTGAGTTTAATTTACACACTCAGCACATCGAGGTACGATGACACCGAGGAGTGGGAAGTGCCAGTTACGCTGTCTGCTCCCCACAAAGACCCGGCGTGGAGAAGCCGCCGATGGAGCAGGACTCCATGGGACCCCCGCACTCCTGTGGCAGGACAGGCTGGCTCAGGGCGAAGTGCAGGTTTGCAGTAAACATTTCCGCATGGTGCACCTCCCGTGTGGAGGCAAAGACCCCATCTGTGGCTTGCGGAACCCAGAGGCTCTGGGGCCCCAGGAGAGCGCATGGCTGGCTTCAGACTTGGCAGGAGGAGCTTGCCGAGTGTTCACGCCCAGGCTTTGGGGGAAGCGCAGGTTCACAGCCCAACCTCTCTATCACATGTGATTCTCCTACCACGGGGATAGGACTTTCAGTAACTGAAAGTTTGTACTTTCTCTCATTTATTTTTGTGGCCCTGGTGACCAAACCCGGGCTAGCACCTGAGAGGCCAGGCACCACCCCTGAGCTACACCCTAGCTTAGTCCTCGTCAGCGCTGTCTTCAGAGGATTTGAAATTCCCAGACTCAGCTGTTGACTCTCACGGGCCCCAGAGGGCGACTCCAGGGCATGCTGGAGAGAAAGCTCTGCCGGCAGTAGCAGGTGGTGCTTGTGTAATTAGGCTGCACCTCGAGAGCACACAGAACCATCCGGTGGGTGGCTGAAAACAAGCCCTGTTTGCAAACATCCATCAGCCAAGTCTCCACATCCCGGCCTTGGCCTCCAGGGTAGGGAGGGCAGGCAGGCGCTGTCTACACACTGTCTACACCCGCAGAAGCGCCTGCTCTGGAGAAGGACAGCACTGCCCATCCTCTTACCTTCAGGAGCCTGTGTTACTGCCACGTTTGTGTGGCACGGTACAGGCTACCTATCAGCCTCGGACGAGCACTTGCAGAGTCTGCCTGCACAGCTGGCTTCCCTGTCAGGGCTCAGTGATTTCAAGGTGCAGGGGGTGAGCTAGTATCTTCTGTCCACCTCTTCTTCTCTGGTCAGCCTGGACTTTTCTTTTAGAACTGTGTTGGGCTGGGAGGATCTCTTGGATTCATGACACATTACGGTCAATGAAAGATTCTTGGAAAGATCTCTGCAAAGCTCCTTAGCTGTGAGACTTGGGACAACTTAAAAGCACAGGGAAGGACGCGAAAGCTGGTGTCCACTGGGATCCCTCAGGACATGGGGCCACACATGCACATGACTCCAGCTGCGCCTGCTCTTACCTGCACTGGGTGGACCCTGGTTCTGATGCTGCCCACGCCTTCTACCGTGGTGACGGCTGCCCCATGCAGTGAGCAGATGGGCACCAGGCATGCAGTCACTGGATAATGGCTGTGGGGACCGTGTCAAGGGAACACTCTGAACCTGGAGCAGCAGGTGACTCAGGGAACCACGTCAGTCCCAGAGCTTCAAGTCCCCAATAGCACAGTGCAGGCTGGAAACTCCGACCACACGCTGAGCCCAAGGAAGGCCTTCCATGGGTTTGGTCTGAATGGTGGGGGGTGGGAAAGGACCGTGAAGCCCTCCAGTGGGGCTCTTGAGGGCACTCGTCCTCATGTACCCCAGGCAGGAAGCCCACAGATGACACACTGGCTTGAGGGAAGCCCATAGTGTACGCTCCCGACTGTGGACGCTTTAAAATGCAGATGTTCTCATCCCCTTGCCTCAGTACTGGGAGCCTCCTGGCAGAGCTGGGCTGTCAGCACTGGCCAAGCCTGGCGAGGGCTGCACCCCATCTCTGCTCTGCTCATCTCCCTCTGCTCTCTCCCTCCTTCCGAGCCCTCCTCTCGGCTTCCGCTCCTGTCTCTGTGGTGATGTGGCCCAGCTTGTCGCCTTCCGGACCCTTACCCCATGTCTTGTCCTGGACGGAGAGACTCAGAAACCTGCCTGGCAGCATCCGACTCCCCCTGCAGTCTCCTGCTCCCCGCTGCACCCCTGTCCTGCTGTCTCCACAGGGTCCCCCTCCGAGGAGCCTCACTACGGCCTTCCTTCCTACTTGTGGTCCCCTCTATTCTCTTGCACTTAGCAACAAGTCAAGCCTTTGCTGTAATCAAAACGAAACACGCTGAAAGTCCACATCTCTCCTGGCGCTATTCCCTTAGTCAAGCTTTGCCAAAAGTGCCCTCGCCTCCGGGCTCTCGGTGCCAGCTGGGCCCCAAACCCAGCCCTACCCTTCTGCTGACCGTGGGAGTGACCCACTGTCCCTGCCCCTGCCCAGTGTTGTGCTAGTAAACTCGTGGACCTTGAGTGCTTCCTGAATAGACGCTCCCTGAGGTTCCTGCCTGTCTTGCTGTCCCCTACGCCTGTGATGGATGATCCGTCGTGTCCCCTTGAGAAGTCTAGAAGCTTAACTAGTAACTCAGCAGCTCTGCATCCAGGTGCAGAGGGCTTGCTGCTCTCTCTCTGGGGTGCTGTCCAGTGTCAGTTTGACCAAAAGACTCAGCGAGGGGCCAGGTCCTTAGTTTGCAAATATCCTCAGCCTGAGCTGGTATGATGCTGCACCCACCCTGGGGGTGTAAGGGAGGAAATCAGATTTGCTCTCCCCGACTTTTGCTCTTTTGCTCCACTTGCTGCTGGTGTCCATTGCAGCCCCCATGAACTGCTGCCCCTCGCCAGGCCACCCGCCTTGGAGCCAGCAGAGGGTAGACTGAGACCGCCAGAAACTCTGAGCTAATAAATCTTCCCTTCAGGTATTTTGTCTCAGCCACAAGAGAAGAGTAACCAGGACACTGGGTACCCCACCTCTCACCCAGGATTATAGATTTTTCCTCATGTATGGGGTTCCTCTGGCGCTAGATAGCGCCCCCTTGTGTTCTTTTCACAAACAGGCCAGTTAAACCTCCCGCTTTTGCGCATGAGCACAGGTTCCTCCTATCAGCTGTCAATACGTCATTCCGCCCGCCCCTTTAGCTCCGCCCCTGTTAAGTTCCAAATAAAACGCTCGCGGTTTTCCCTGTCTCTCCCTTGCCTCTTGTCCCATGGGAAGCAAGCAGCCAAACGGCTGGGCTGCATTCCTGTTGTCTTCCTGGTGTCCTGGACTGAAAACCTGCCTTGGAGGCCAACTGCTTGTTAAAATGTTTCCTTCAACTTCCTCTTTTTAAAATGCTGCTATCTGAAGGCCCTGGACAAGGCGAACGTGATCATAGGTAAGCTCCGTTCCACAGTGCCTGGTAAATGGCAGCAGCTGCTGTTTGACTGGCCATGTCTGAGCCACTAATGAAGGATGGCTCTGGATAGGGCTCTTCGCTGGCGAGTGTCTTCCGGGTGCCCAGTGGGCATCTAGGTGCCTACAGTTACCCCAGATGCTACGTCCCTAGACGTCTTGCTGGCTGCTCCTTCGCTGCTCCTCCTCGTCCAAGCCCCCAGTGGACACCTGCATCACTGTCACCCACGCAAAACCTTGGGGTGCGTGGACACCCTCTCTGCCTGCACACTTGACCAGCGGGAGGTTTGCGATCCCAGGACGAGGCTGGCGCAGCAGCACAGCCCCATCAGGCAGAGGTCTGAACACCCAGGACGCTCACTCTTGTCTGTGAGCCCCTGTCTCCTGACCGGCCTTGGAGCCTCGGCTCTGAGAGCAGCGGCCCAGGGAGGCTGGGCGCCCTCCGCAAGAGGCAGTGCAGTGAGTTAGCTGCCTGGGGGGTGGGAGGAGGGCCAGTCCCACAGCGCCACACTCGGGCTGCCTCACAAAGGATACCGGATCTGCTTGCTTGAGGCGCTGTACCTGGACACCATGACGGTGCAGGCGCCGCATCCGCCTTCTCCGCAGGCAAACTTCGTGCCAGTGAGATGAACTGGAGAGGTAGAGTCAAGGAAAGGGGCCTGGGCACCGGAGCAGGGACACTGAGTCCTGGACTGGTACCACGCTGGCATTGTTTCTTACTTAGGTTTTGTTTATAAATGTGTGCATAAGTGAAATAAATCAGACACGGGTTTAGATAGCACACGGCTTGTCTTATATGAGAAACCCAAACACTAAAGAGCAAGCGAGAAGGTAAATGATAGGAAATAGTGGTAACTTTTGCAAATGGGAAGGAGACCAAGAGGGAGGCACGAGAGGAAGGGGAAGAATGAAGCTTTGATGTGCACCTGCACCCACTCCCACTGGGTGTGATCATTACGGACTGCAAACATGGACTGATAAAAAGAAACGGGCCCATGGAGGAAGGAGGAGAGCTCCTCAGAGACACCTTTGCTCATCTGAAAGCCTCAGGTCTGGAAGCATTTCTCATGACAAAGCTTCAGATTGCAGAGTGCTCATAGGATGGCGTTCTGGCAGCGGAGGCAGCACCTCAAAGCCATTAGCATCCACAGGAAGCTGCCTGGAGATTCCCCTGTGGGGGAAAGAGAAGCCTCACATTGCTTGGGCCAGGTGTGCACCCTTGTGGGCGATGAGGCCGAACCCCAAGGAATCCCACCATAGTGGGCAGTGGAGGACTTAGAAAAATAATCGCCTGTGAGACTGGAGTTTTCTCTGGTGCAAAGCTCTCACCATTCATGGAATTGGCAAACATGAATCAGGTACCTGTGCTGCCAGAGCCAGCAAGCCTGCAATTGCTTTTTCCAATATTTGCATATTTTCACAAAGGGAGGACAAATATATGCAAATCCTCCACCTCAGATTTTCTTGGAACTGCATCTAAGAGTTGACTGCAATTTGCTTGGGTGATTTTCTGGGTGCAACTTAAGAGGATTTTATGGGTGGAGCTGGATACCAGCTTGGGTGGAGGCAGAGGCTGAGGTTGAGGCTAATTCCCATCTTGACAATTGATGCCTGACAAAAGGCGAGGCAGAGTCAGAATGCTCCTGGTCCCTAAGGGAGAGCTGCATTCTCTGTGGAGCCCAGAAGGGCTGCACACACGCCACAGCCCCCAGTCTGAGTCAGTTGGGCCATGCCAGGGGTCCGACTGCCTGAGTACTGTGGGGCGACCCTCTGGTGCTCCACTGACTTGGGTGTGGAAGGCAGCCTTGGTCCCTGCCTGTGACATCCTGTCACTTCTGAGTGAGGGAGCTAGCTTCCTTCTGGCTGTGGACAGTCTCTGTTCACAGGGTCGGTGCTGAGGACAGCTCCCTGCATGTGTTTCGAGGTTGACCTGGACACAGTATAAAACCTCCACTGTCCCCCGGGCAGCGCCCCATGATCGGGACAGGGCCTTTTGTGCAATAACTCATCCAAGGCTCATTTTGGTTTTTTTTTGGTCTTTTTGAGACCTGCGTCTCGCTATGCAGTTCAGGCTGGCCTTGAGCTCACTCTGTAGCCCAGGCTGGTCTCGAACTTGCAACGATCCTCCCACCTCAGCCTCCCGAGTAATGGGATTACAGGTGTGAGCCACATGCCCGGCTCAAGGCTCATTTTTAAGTAGAGTTGTCACATAAAAACTAGGATTCTCAGTTATAGTTGAACTTCAGATAAATAGTGGATGCTGTTTTAGTGTAAATATATCCTGTGCATTTAAATTCAAATTTAATTGTGTGCATCGCATTTTCATTTGTGAAATACAGTAACCTTTACTCTGGTTGAACACAGTACATTAAAGTTTAGGTTTTGGTTCCTTACATAGCTGAGCTTTCTCAGGGTCCTATCTGGAAGTTTCCTTGAGACCACGGGGCAGCCAGTACCCAGGCACTGTGACATTAGAGTCATGCCTGGTATTGCCTTCATTTCCTGTCACGTCCTCCCATCCCCACCTTCAGCTGTCCAGTCAAGACCAAATTCTTTCAGTTCACCCAAAGCACTGTTCTTTGCCCCTGCCTGTGCTGCTGACTGGCCCCAAACCTCGGTTTGCTCTGAGGACCGCTTAGCCCTGGCCTCCTGTCTTCCCTGTCTGCTCTGAGTGCCCCTCCCTGGCTGCAACATGGTGCCCATCACACTTCCCCCTCACTAGGTACGGGTGGAGGCTGGGTGCAACAGGATTTGTTAGGCAATAGCATAAGAATGGTAGGATCTGCAGGTGAGGCAGGGCCACATGGAGATTAGGCAAAGACAAACATTCGGGTGTGTCAGAGACATCCCTGGCTTTGCCCCTGAGCCAGGATCTCAGGGAGATTAAGTAGCACTTGGAGCCATCCTGCCGGCCTCTGGCAGCAGCAGTGCATTCACTCTGCCACATTATCTGGTCTCCGTTATCTGGTCTCCGAGTCACATTGCTTAAGCTCTCAGGAGTCACTGTGGGAAGAGTGGCAGATCCCTGGCC